CCCCCCCGCTCTCTTCACCACGAGAGGTGGTCCCATGCCCCCCCCCCCAGAGAAATTTCCTAGCTACGCCCCTGGTTGCACAGAACCAAACGCTACGGAGGTATCCACCTACGGACCTACGGAGCCTGAAAACCTCGAAAATTTCCAATACCCCCTAGACTGACCATACCTAAACATTGGGAACTCATCTGTGAGTGTGTGAGTGCATCAGGTTGTGAGTTTTTACACAGGACCTTGTGGGACGAGGTGAATAAGTGAAATTAAGAGTAACATGAGATGACTGGTGACCTTAAGTTATCTTTTCTTGGAAGTATAACATTCGTGGAACGTAAATACCAAAAATTTGCCACTGAATCACATTCCTGGCAGAGAATTTAAAACATTTAAGTGGATAACCACATCCCCCTCCCCTCCTCTCCATTCCCTTGACGGATGCAGTCCCTATGTAATATGTACCTCCACTATTAAATTTTTTTTTTCCCACCCAGAAACAGATTCAGCCGCCGAAGTTAAACGCATTCAAGGCCTTCATACTTGAAGTTTAAGGGAAAAAATCCTTCCCCGTCAAATTTTACTTTAAGGAGTGAAAAATAGCTTTTTTCAGGTTTTCCCCATAAGAGCCGTGTAAAACGTTACAACCAGATGTATTTTAACCTCAAAACAAATGTGTAGGTATGGTCAGTCTAGGGGGTATTGAAATTTCACGAAAAAAACGGTGCCTACTCTGACCCATTTGGTCAAAAATTCCAAGAGCTGAAATAGGTTAAAAGTTAAGTAAGTTACTCCGAAAGCTCAACGAGGTAAAACTTTTTATCGCCATCTTTCATCCGTCTGGCTACGTTCGGAGCGTAAACCGCATGATCGAATGAAATTGGGGGCGCAACGTTTGGTTTCCGCTCACTTTTGGCCGAAAACCCTTTATTTATTTATTTATCTATTTATTCGGTGGGTATATAGTTTGTAGGCTTTTTATCTGAAAACAGCTAATTTTTCGATGGATATGCTGCGATACGGTTGTAAAAAAAAATGTTGCCTCCTGCTGCTGCTGACACGGTAAAGGGACCCTCGGAATTACTTTCCAGACTGAAAATAGATAAAAATACTTCGGCGTAATGGATGTTGCAAAACTTTCACAAAATACCTTCTAAAAAAATTGAACGACGTTCGGAAGGGAGCACTTCACCCATTGCGCCAAACACAGTGCGGTCAGGAGCGGTTGGCGTGAAACGCATAGCGCCTACAAGACCGCATGAATACTGCACGCATTGCGTCAAACAGTGCGGTCAGCGCGAAACGCATAGCGCCTACAAGACTGCATGAATACTTCTCGCATTGCGTCAATCGCAGTGCGCTCAGCAGCGTTCGGTGTGATACGCACAGCGCATACAAGACTGAAGGAATACTTCACGCATTGCGCCAAACACAGTGCGGTCAGCGCGGCGCGGTGATGGAAGTTAAAATTATTAAACCACATTTATGTTTGTTCTTTCATAATTTTTTCGTTCATTTCTTTTAAATGGAGGACCTTGTCGACACTGAGATAGGTTTACGGAACTTAACTTTCGCGCTAAGTTCTGTGAACTTTTGCTAGTAGTGTTGACAGGACTTTCGCAAAAAAATGTATCCAACACGAGTAGGTAAACGCGTCTTATGCACCCCTCCCCTTCCGGCACGTTCACTTGATGGTTTTTATTGATGTTTCAAAACGAATGAGAAGGGGGCGGCAAAATACAGGCGGCCCAAGGGCGGCAAGTAGGTAAATCCGGCCCTGATCCCATGCATAAATTTGATCGCATTTAGCAAAAAGGAACCAGCGCAATTACAGTGTTGTAAAAATGTTGCTTCTTCATAAGTATCTAGAAATTGTCCCACGATAGCAAATAGTTTTGGTTTCCCACCAAAAAATTGTTAAGTTTAAAGGAAGATAATTGTGTAAATTTTAATACTGTACAGTACAAATATTGAGTATTTTTAAAGGAAACGGAGAATGTTGCACCGTTTTGAAAACACTGTAATCGCGCTGATTCCTTTCTGCCAAATGCGATCCAATTCGCCCGCAGTTCTAGGGAAACTTCGATGGTTTATTTGATGCAATTATTCATTTCATTGCATCATATCATCACTGAAAAAACGAGATTAGGGCTGGGCCCTAGAATTGCTTCACCTCCACCGCCACAGGGGCAGGCCCTGCGTGGGTAAGGCCCAGCCCTACCTGGACAGGGTCTACCTCTTACCAGGTAGGGCTACGCGCGCCGGGCCTGCCCCTATGGCGGTGGAGGTGAAGCAATTTTACCTACCCGGTTAGGGCTGCTGCATGGGACCTTCGGTGCAGGTACCAGCCCTAAACTCGTTTTTTCCGTGATCACATTTTATGAGCGAGATATTTAGATTAACGGAAACAGGAAACGATATTTTTCATCACTGATCGTCCTGGGGACCGCCCATAAATTGCGTCACCCACGCAGGGAGGGGAGGTCTGGAGGCAACGATAAATGACATTTCTATCTGAAGTCTAATGAAGTCTATTTGAAGTTCGCCTATAATTTTGCTGCATAGGCTACAAACATACCGGACAGCACGAATATTTATGCCTATTCGAAAAAGATACCTCAATCTCTTCCCATTAAACTTAGCTAAACCAACCGACCACTCGTAAACCTATTGCGAGCATATCGTCCTCTTGAGTTCGCCTTCAATTTTGCTGCGTAGGCAACAAACATACTCCAAAGCGCGAATAGTTACCTATTCGAAAAAACAAGTTGATAAGGCTACGTAAGCTTCGATTGAACTGTTAAATGATATGGTGGACTCATCGGTGCATATCGTCCTTGATGCAGAGTCTTTACTCATTACCTTATCTCTAGGATCATGCGTTTTTCTTGGAGTTCATGGGTACCTAATATTTCATCACTCTAACTAACAAAATCGCAATTTGAAAATAATCGGATTGCGTTAAATACGAATTCATAAATTTGAGTCGATGGCTTTTGCTTTGCTCCGATTTAAGAAAATATGTTTTAAGTCTTAAACTTAAAACTTAAACTTACTTCGTAGAACTAAACAAAAAATATTTCCAGCTCAGAGAGCATCCTCACTTTATGAAATGAAAGTAGATCGGATTTTTAATTTTACAATCAAATAATTATTGCTATTAAAAATTTATCCCATCCCCTCCCCTGAAATAAAATAGTAAGAAAAAAGCACACTGGTGAAAAGTTGGTAGATCGGTTAATTCTGTAAGAAAATCTAGGGCACCTAGGACGGGCTCTTTCAAGGTTTAGTGAGCAATCCACGTAACCTTGCCACTAAAAGGGTGCCACCAAAGAGTATATTGTAACAGTTGTTGGAGGACTGATTCCCCAGACTTGACCCAAAAATCCAAGTATGATACAGAGCGCCCCTTCATGTTTACAGATATGCAATTTCAGTGGGCAGAATTACGGCAACTTTTTCAATTAAGTCAAAACTACTTATTAGATTCAAAACGCTATCAGAAGATGGTACTGTGACAATTTTTCAGCTGACCTAATACTACCCCTAATTTCGGACACAATCATAGTCTGATGATGTCAGACTTCTAATGGATGTAACAGGAAAATAATGTAATCTAACAATTGATACATTACTAAAACATTTTAATTAACATTAACAAACACTCACAGAGAAAAAGTGACAGATATAGACACATTTTCTTCTTTTTTTTCTATTAAGGTCTTTCAAAACACAATAAATTAGTAGAAAAATAAAGTTAAGAGATTTCAACAAAAATCACAGTGTACACAACTATCAAAAGTTACAAACCTTGATGGTACGAAGAATAAACTTAAAAGTTAAAACATTACTGTTTTTGAGGTCAAAAGTTGTTATTCTTTAGAGACAGAAATGAACATTTTGAATAGAACCTTTCTGTACTTAAATTTGCAGTTATTTGCGATAGATTTCCTGAAAATAAACATTAGAGCTCATTACAGGAAAAGACCAAACATTAGGAATAGTCTTTTTCTAAAAGTGGTTGCTACCAATGATTCTTATTTCTTGCGGAAGAATACCGCCTTCAAGGGAAATTCTATCATAGTTTAGCGAGAGTCAATACCTAACTTTTAAGTATTTCTTTTTTCAAATAAATATAGGTCATACTTGTTAAGCACTACTTAACTGTCATCGCAAGAATTACACTGAAAGTACCTACCTAGTCTTATTAATATCAAAGAAAAAAAGAAGGAATAATTTTAAAATATATAAAATTAATCAAAGTAGTTTTATCAAATTTTTCATGTATAAGCTATTAAAAGCGTAAAAATTGTTTAGTATTTCTCAACACACTTTTCATAAATTTAATTTTCAACCTAAGAACTCTCATTTCTTTGCAAATGGAAGAATTATTGAAGAATTCTTGTATTTTTCTCATCCAGGAGAAAACTTTAAAAAAAGAGATGCTCGAGAAGATGCATTGGGTTACCTGGTTACACAGTAAATATTTTGAAACTGAATTATAAAATTCAGTAAGTTCATAGCCTTCAAAGAGGAATCTTCCTTTTTTTTATTACCATCAACGTTTTTGTACTTATATCTTGTACCTAGTAAGGAAAAATTTTAGATTGCTTCAAATAAAATTTTACATACGTCATGACACAATTTTGATGAGCAACTGATGTTCCAGGCCCATGTTAGCTCACTGGCAAAGCTTCAGCATTTTCAAATGCCCTTTGGATTTGCCAACAATTCTTAGGGGTAGATAATTATTTCTCTACCAATACTGTAGAAAACAGGACATTTTTAGAACCAACTGCTTTTCCCAATGTCAGTCTATTTTGCACAAAATCTAAATTCCAGGAATAAAATTTATGCAATTCAAAGCAGTCAAAGGATTAACAAGAATCATGGAAAAAAAATAGCATAATAAATGCATTTTTGGAAATCAAGAATTTCCAAAATAAAAAATAGCTTACAATAGTTGAGGTAAATGCAAGGTTCTATCACTTTCAGAGACAAAAAAAATTACTGATGAAACCAACTTTTCATCCTCTTTCTATCCTTTTGAGTGAAGAGGAAGAGAAGAAAACCTGATGTTCAGCATTTAGTTCCTCTCTTAAGTAATTGTCATGAGAGTCTGTTTACAGGAAACGAGAAAAATAAGCTGCAATGTATTAAAAATTTCAACCCAGGTAATTCAGGAGATCAGATCTAGTAAGATTAGTAGACTTCTACTTCTTACGAAGGAACATGAAAGAGGGAGTGCCTTTCAATAAATATAGAGTGGCCAGATAAATATAAAAATGGAATTCCTTCACTTTATAGTTTGTTTTCTATAGATGAAGGCCTGCAGCTTCACTTGCAAAAACTAGAGTAACAAAATAAAAAAAGAATACCCGGCAATATAAAAGAGTTAGGTGAGAGATGGGAAGGTTAAACTTTTCAAATAACAGTTTAAGAACCTAAACTGGAAAACTTGGATTAAAAAATAGATACATTAAACAATTATTTATGAAAGCAATGGAAATTTTCTCTTCACCAGTATGTATTTCATATATTAAGCACCAAATGCTTTGTACACCATTGAGACATGAAAATATCATATTCGTATTTCACAGCTGATTGAAAATAAGTTCTTATTGGTGTTTCAATATTCTTTGGAATGATAAAAAAAAATGCAAGTCTGACAAGGATACCTGTTAGAACTGTGGAAAATCCATAAAATTAAAAAAAAAAAAAAAAAAAAAAAAAAAAAAAAAAAAAAAAAACCCATACCTACTCCGGGAGTAGTTTTGCCTACGAAGAGGGACACGATTTTTTATTTTAAAATTTTGTGGCGTTTGATATTTGAGTATGCTTTCCTCGATGTTCAAGAAAGTGTCACCTTGCAGGCGAAACACCGAAATTAGTTTTCTCGTTTTCTCTCTTTGTGTAATGCAAATATGATGAATATAAGAGCTATTGCACTTATCTGTTGTTTATTAAATTATTTCTTCTTTGTACAAAGAAATGTACAATTTTCATCGTACATGTTGTAAATAATTAACACGATTCAACATTGCAAATGACAATTCAAATTATTTATCGTAGTGTTTTTTTTTTTTTTGGAAAGTACTTAATTCTAAAAATTGCTACTGAAGACCTTGTTATGTTCGATATCATTGATATGATTGTATTTATACATTAGCATTATTGTAACTAGTGGCCATTTACTCAGTGGTACTTTAAATGTTCCGCCGCTCTGAAACTGCGGCTCCCTGGTTCCCTGCACGGTCCTCATGCCCTAGCTTTAGGGCATAACCAGAATGTCTACATCTAAACCCATACCCAGTCATCAATAGAATAATTAACATTGGTAGAAATAGGAAGAAATTAATTCCATTGTCTACAGCTAGCAAATTTTGTTCCTTTTTTTTTTCTATCACTTATTTCACTTGCTTCACCTAAGATTTGTTCATTTCTAGGATGCTTTCTTGAGCAATTTTTTTTTTCCAAAATTGTACACCTCGAGTTAAAGCCCGAGTGAAAACTGCCCAATTATTGTTCAGGCAGTGATTGCATCCCACAGAGCACGGCAGTACTTAGTCTTTTGGAATTAAAAAGTCAACAAAAGTGTCTGATCAAATAAGTAGGCAATGCTTAAATAAAAACATACATTGAATTTCTGAAATTCAATTCAGTCAAATTGCCCTGGAGTCAGCGGATTAAAGCTTTTTGAAAGAGCTGTAAGTGAAATTCATGAGGTTTAACCATCACAGATACATGCCGTCGATTAAGTAATCAACTCGGCGATAATTTTGATGGACCGAGAATTTATACTTCAGCCTAAGAAATAGAACGATACTCAATACGATCAGAAAAACAATAATGACACACAGCGAAAAAGTTGTTAAGAAACTACTAGCATTAGAAGAATACGAGTTTTTTGTTTCATCATAATCAGCGATTGAATAATCATCAGATGTGAAAGGTGGTTTTGTTACAGGTTCTGCAGTAGTGGAGGCTACAGTTACATTCTTTTTTCCGAAAACTGAAGACACATTTCCAGGAACAGGCTTCGTCTCATTAACCACATTACTAATATTTTTTGCACTAATATCTAATTTGAGAACTTTCTTTTCTGGACTCTGGGCCACCCCACTTGCAGATGAATGAATTTTAGACGATGAATTAGAGCTTGAATCCGAAGATGAGCTAGTCTCCTCGTCTGACAGACTAACACCTTTCCGAGCGACGACGGTGCTGGAATGTTTTTTATGAAGTTCATTCACCTCCAATTTGTCATGTTTAATTGGAAATAAGTGACCTAGAGACAGAGAGATGAGAAACAAAATACATCAGAGAGTGCTTCGAGTAAAAATGGGGCACCAACAAACAGCTGCTTCGGTTCTTAAAAGCTTGCTCGATTTCTGCTTGGTTGAAATTGATCTGATTGAAAGAACCTTAATGAGATTAAAATGAGCCTTTCCGTGTAAACCACTAGGTACTGCTACATTAAATGCACCTATCACTAAACCTAAAATTGAATAAACATTATTTTTTCTTCCTTTTTTAAAATTTAATTTGCATTTTCAAATAGATTTAAAAGGAGAGCTCTGGTTTGACTGAAAAAATCACTTAATAAAATACGTAGAGATTTTATTTATTTCCTTTCACACCAAAAGCAATACTTGTCCAAAACTACAGTCCATATACACATTTGTTCCCAATCACACCAAGAGCAAATTCCAAAGTTATAACATTTTATATACATTGACAATTGAAAAAAATATTGAACGAAAATGTTAACAGGGATTAACCAGGCTGAGGCGTCAAGTAAAAATGGATGATAAGGAAAAATTGACAGAACAAAGATGCCAAGAATAAACAATAGAGTTCTAAGAAGCAGGATTAAAAACACAAGAGATAACTGTTAAATTAAATAAGAACGATGTAAGGCTTCAAGGCAGTCAGTAATACACCCATAATTACATACTGAAAACTGTCATCAAAGAGCACTTGCAATTAATTATCTAAGTACCTGTATCACCCTGCTCTAATGAATGAAAAAAGTCAAACTCTGTACTTACTGGCAGATTCCAAAGCCTGACGATGATGAAACTAAGTGCAAAGAAAAAAGTAGGTGCAAAACAAATGAGCCAAAAACGAACAAATGAAGGAGTTAGGGACTTCCAGCACAACTACAAGGCAACTAAAAATCATTGTCTTCCGCTCGAGTTTTCAGACTTCAGTTACTCTATACAGTTAATGTATTTCATGTTGATCCTTTGTGGGTGGACATGGGCTGCCCAAATGATTCCGTTAAAATTAGAGTGATAGATGTCTGTTTCGGTCATCTGATCAGCTATTCACTAGGCCAGAAGAATTAACTCGGATACATAGCCAGGGGTTTTTTGGGTGGTACGTTCACCAACGCCTTTGAATACCCGTGAAAGAAACGGTCGGTACTGCCTCGTCTTGTCGGGATGTCTCGCCGGGAGAACCACCGGTCCTTGCGACAGGGGGGGGGGGGGGGGGAGCGGAGTTTTATAGTCGAAGTCTCGATCCCCCTGTCAGCCGAATGCGGCTGTCGGGGGTGGGACGGGACACCCATTCCTGGCACACGAGCAGTAGTTGCCAGTTTGCTCCCCGCTCAAAGCAATAAAAAAAACTCAAATACAGTGAAAAGCGAAATTGCATACAATCTCCCGCCAGATTCTACAGTTACTTAGCATATGCACTAGAAACGCAAATCATCCTTATGGCTGATCATTAATTGGTATCATTAGATTCAATAGCTGATGCTCCACGAATCATGACATCGGCACGGACGAATCAGTTTAAGAACACAGTTTGGTGATTAGGGGGACCACTGATAATTTACAGAAAACCTTGATAGTGACCGCTGCTAGCTGATATTTACAGTTGTCACCACGGTTGCAGATCTTTCCAAGCACCACAGATGCTTTGAATTGGGTGATCTTCCCTTGTACCTACACCACAACTGATGCGCGACATCAAGATTGAAACATGATAATAAGTACATGCAATAATGATTGCATGCACCTGTGGAGTGAGCTTCAGTATAACCACATCATGGCTTCAGACTAAAATTTATTTTATACCTTGTACGTTGGGCATTTCCTTAAAATGTTATTTATGGCTCCCAAGCAACCCATATGGCATATGTAGCGGTTATCATGATGTTTGTGCTAAATTAATGGTTCAAGGATGGAAGAAAGTGCACCAATGGTAAGATACATGCGGAGGAGGGAATAAAAGTTAACATGACTTCCAAGCGTGTGAAAGCTTACCTGATCCTGAGTTCACAGCAGTGCTATTTGAGGATGTGACATCTAACTTGGATAGCTTCTCCGCGGAACAATCATAGTAACTTGATAGGAGAGTTAGAAGAATGAGAATATTCATCCACTGTGACACGAAATACTTTCTGGACATGATTGAGTCATTAGAACATAACGTACCAGAATTGATCTAGTTGAGTGAAAGGATTAATTGAGCGCACAGTTCAGTCATACTCAGTAACTTGCACTCACCATTCCTGGTTGCAGAATTAAAACAGGTAAAATGTTGCGAAATGAATTACTTTCATCGCGGTGACCGCTGTCGCACGTTCGTTCACACATTTCACGTTCACGGGTTTGTTGTTCTTGTTGTTTTGATATTCTCATGGAAAATTCTGACGTCATAGGAAAATCTCCCACTGACTTGCAGCAGCCAATCAAAACCCAAGACTCGCTTACGTCTCTTTTGGGCGGTAGTTTTAAATTTTGCGGTCATCGACTCGTTTAGTTGCCCGGCTCAGGCCAATATAGAAGGAATTTTTCTCCCCTTTTAGGTACTGCTTTGAAAGGAGAGTGATTCTACGTAGGAAATAGGCAAATACCGATAGTACTGACACATTTTCTTGAATGCTGGGTTATATTCAAATAACCTATTGAGAAAAAGCGGAAACGGTACGTCTCCGATGGACAGATTTTTTCTTTCACCGTCCTAAGCTAAATAAAGAGAGAACGGGAAAAAACAGGGCCCCCGTTGGATTTCAGAGGTGCTGGCCTCCTTTGAGGGTCTTGGTAGACAAATAGGAGGTGTAATCAGGGCCGCGTTTACCTACTTGCCGCCCATGGACCGTCTGTATTTTGCCGCCTCCTTCTCATTCGTTTTGAAACATCAATAAAAACCATCAAGTGAACGTACCGGAGGGGGAGAAGTGCACAAGACATGTTTACTCGTGTTGGAAACATTTTTTGCGAAAGGTCCATCAACACTACTGGCAAAAGTTTACAGAACTTGGCGCGAAAGTTAAGTTCCGTAAACCTGTCTCTGTGTCGAAAAGGTCCTCCATGAATAAGAAATGAAAGAAAAAATTATGAGAGAACAAACATAAATGTGGTTTAATAATTTTAACTTCCATCACCGCGCCGCGCTGACCGCACTGTGTTTGGCGCAATGCGTGAAGTATTCCTTCAGTCTTGTATGCGCTGTGCGTATCACACCGAACGCTGCTGAGCGCACTGCGATTGACGCAATGCGTGAAGTATTCATGCGGTCTTGTAGGCGCTATGCGTTCCACGCCGACCGCTCCTGATCGCACTGTGTTTGACACAATGTGTGAGGTATTCATGGAGTCTTGTAGGCGCTAATATGTGTTACATGCCAACCACCGAGCAGAGAGCTTCTTCTTTTCATCTCAAGTCCTCGTCATCATCCCCCTCTGCGCCGCGCCGCTCCGGGCCAAATTGCATGTTTGGTCTCTCTGAACTCGACTAACTAAAGGTTCAGTCTCTTGTATCACCGAAAGACGAAAAAATTAGCAATCACTATACTCTCAGGAAAAATAGATTTTGTCGCCTTTTCTCGTTGGTAATTTTTTTGTTTGAATCTAATTTTTTTTATACCTACATTTAAAAAAATTGCAAAATTTGCCCCCATGGGCCGCGGCCCATGTGGCCACCCTCTTAATCCGGCCCTGGGTGTAATTAGTATGGCAGATCAAGATCAGCAGAAGCGAGCCGATGCATTTACAGTGTTGATAAGATTTTTCATCATCATAGATTTCTTCAAAGAAACGAGAGAGGTTTGATGGTTTTTTATTTCACTGCAAATCATCGTTATTTCGAAGAAATAGATTTCACCATCCGCGTTCAGTTCTTCTACCACTTCCGTCTTCACGACGTATTTCAGGTCATCGGCAAACTTCCGGTTTTCGACTTACCGTAATCACTTTCCAATTCCGATTTTCACCATCTGCTTCAGGTTTCCACTTTTTCATCATACCACAGAGTCTAGCTCCCTTCCCGCTTGACGTTTTTCTGTCTCTCTCGCACACCTAAGCGACTCGCCAGGTGAATAGAGTTGCCTACAATGGGGCTTCAGCAGATCAAGGTAGGGTGTAACTGCTCTTCGAGGCCGGCACGTCACGGGGGAATTCGATGTTTGACCCCTTTGACGAAAACGGGCCACCAGCTCGGCCGAATCACGTGATCAGAGTTTCCTTTCCCGCTTGGCGTTTTTTTGTCTCTCTCGCACATACCTAAGCGACTCGCCAGGCGAGCAGAGTTTTCGATGAAGAGCTTGTTGGAAGAAACCGGGGTGTAACCGCTTGCTTGAACAGATCAACTGGATTTTTATGTTATTACCGTCCATGCAGACCTATATTCTACCTATGTCCTCACTATGCAGATCCTGTACCATCTTTTTCGAAAAATTCGAAAATTACGCTAAATGCAATCTGTACGACACGGTTATAGAACATTTCGTCAACGATTTTTTGTCCGCGCACCTGTTTTTTCCAGTAGTTTACGTTCAAGCGTTTTTCGGAAGGGGAGTTTTGGTCCATACTTACTATTTGAGACCCAAAGTTAATTGGTCCACATGTACATACAAACGACAATTGCTTACGACGATTTTGGATGAAAGTGTTTTATGTCTTGGAGGAATGAGGGTTTGCTTATTTTTTGTTTTTTTTTGTTTGTTTGTTCCAACGGAGAAAAATATATAATTGAGATTTGTGGTAAAGATGAGGGTGCGTCATTTCCATGAGAGAAAATTCACTAAAACTCTCTACACCTCTTTGGTGCAACAGGACTTGATTATCTTTCAAGAAAATCCCATATTTTTATACCTGAACTGGAAAACCTTTTGATTTGCCTCAGCTAAAGGATCTCATATTTTTCCTGTGCATGAAAACTTCGCTTCGGCACTGGTTTGCCGCAGCGCTTCGAGCTACTATTTCGCCACGGAGGTGTTGCACAGTATCATATGAGATCGAAGGCACCCCAACGTATCATGATTGATGGCATCTTTCAAAAGCACGAAGTTCCCTCGCAAATTAAATCGAGTGACGACAACAAAAAGAGAGCGGTAGGTAGTCAAAAAACATACTGTCCTATTATCTGTATTTAATAACGTTTAGTATGATTTTTAACTTCATTAGAGGAACAAGTGACCTAATTTAAGGAGAAATATCCTCAAATTTACCGCCGAGATTTCCTTATGACTTAAAAAAAAAAATAATGTTTTCTTAACGAAGAAAAGATGCTTTTATAAAAAGGAAAGTCACTTACATCAAGCAGAAACCCGCTTTTATTCACCTATTTTATTCTTGATTCAAAATAAAATCTTATTGACGGCATACTCAAGAATGTTCCTTTATCTCTCTTATCTCGACTTATTTTGCAAGGAAAGCTCCGTACTCTTAAAGGATGCCTGTCATTCTTATTGTTGGTATGTTGGAGTGCCTTCAATTTCGTATAATACTGTACAACACCTCTACTGTGAAATAGTGAAGCGCCGTGGCACGTGGCACGCTGCGGCGTGGCCAGCCAGCCAGCACGGAACGCGCATTGGCGCCTACAAACCTAAGGGATACCTCAAGCATTGCGCAATGCGTGAAGTATCTACTTAGGTTTGTAGGCGCCAGTGCGCGTTCCGTGCTGGCAGCACGTCGCATCACTCCGCTTTATGCTACGGCATATTATTTAAACTCGCGGAGTCAGTGTTTTTCAACTCATGATTTTTATATGTTTGCACACTCTGCATGGATTACTTTAATTTAAATTGATAAAAAAATATGTATATGAAAGGAAAATTTAATGTGTGTTTTGTAAATATTAAGGTGTTTCCTTGCCGTATTTAATTATTTTCAAAGCACATTAATTTTTTCTTTATTATAATAATATTAATTAATAAATAATAATTATTAATAAAAAATAAATTAAAATATTAATTATAGATATTAATTATTAAATAATATTAATTATTAATTCTTTATTTTAATTTTTTCTTTCTTTTTATTTTTTCTTTATATTTTGTGCTTTTACTGTGCTGCAGCGTGGTGTGAGCGCAACCAAACGCTCAAAATAGGACGCATTTGACTCTGAAAGATATCGATGTACAAATGGGCTAAACCCAAAGATTGCATGCTTCTCGGTTTTTTCCCTCTTTTATTCATTTGTGCATAGTTTCTTTCGACACAACTACTGCTCATTGACTTTAATATCGATGCCATCGCTTGGAAAAGGTTTTACAAATATTTACCACGTTTTAAAAACGTAAATATTTTTAAAATAAAGTAATATTTTCAATTAAAAAAAAAGTATTTATAAGGTTTATTTTTCATCGAAAATTTTAAGGATATGGAAATAAAACCAAATATTCACCCATGACAATTTAAAAAGATTGATCAACAGAAGGAAAAAAACATTTCATTTAAAAAATGAGTTACCACAACAACTCTTCCGTCTCTCTCAATTTTCTTATTTCATTATGGTCAATATAATTTTACATACAGACTAAAATATGACACTTGGACCAAGTAACTGTTGCTTATTTCACGTGTGGACGTAAACTACTGGACAAAACAGGTGTGCGGACGAGAAATCGTTGACGGATTGCCCTGAAACCGTGCGACACACTGACTGATTTCAGACGAATATTTCGCAAGAAATTAAATGAACTTAAAATTATAAGAAAAAAACTTTGGAAAATCACTAAGAAAACAAGTTATGTAAATATATGTTTTAAATTTTATTTTTTCAAATTTCTCTTACGAGTCTTTTTTAGGACCCTGTTATCTAGGTCAACAAACCTGATCAATAGAAATTTGTCTCTACGCAGGGGAGACGAATGGAACGAACAGAAAAAGACAATCACTTATGAACATAGTAATATCCATCAAAATTAGTTCAGAATTTGTTTCAAAGTTGGAAATTAGGAATTCATATAGAGCGTGGGACTGTCGCAAGCCTCTTTGCCTATATCCGTCAAAAACTGGGAGCGCGAAGAGGCCACCATGAAAGCCCGAAATTCTTCGACCAATCAGAGAGCGAGACTTTTTTGGTAGCGTAAGGATTGAGGTATAGGTAGTCTCTTACTCGGGTTCTACAACTGACCATTCCTGTGCAATTGTGCATCTCTTAAGAGTTGAGAAAAGCGGAAGAGCCTTCAATTTTGTAACATGCAATACGCACATCCGTGGACCACGAATAGTTGCAGCAAGGCGCCACAATCAACACACCCTCCGGCCCTATCATGGTAAATATTATCCGATACCCAAAAGATACTTAAAATATAATACAAATTTAAAAAGACAAAGAAAAAAACCTTCTCAGAACCAAAGGTTACCTGATTCTTTAGTGATTTCTAAGTTTCTGTTTTGATAATTTTAAGTTTCGTTAACACTATCGCGGAATATCGTCAGAAATCGATCAGGAGGGAGGGGGCGACATTCGTCGGTCAGTTCATGGGTTACGTTTAAAATTAATGATTGGTCCGTGGTCGAAATTTTCAGATTTTTGACCGGTCAGTCGGTGGACTGGGTAAAATCATGGGCCGGTTTATTTTAGGGACCCCAGCATGAATTTAAGTGGACAGAGGAGCATAACCCCCTGGAAAAATGATACTCAACCCTAACCCCTCTTACGGGAAGGGAGGGAACATGAATTAACCCCTACATACAAAGGAGGTGCGAGGGGCCTTCTCCGGAACATTTTGGAAAAAAAAATCTGCATTTTGAATTTTGAGGCTACTATGGCTCAAATTTTCATGGCAAATACTGTGGATTTTGTGATTGGATTGAATTGCTCAATCCTTTTCTTTTCATCTTGCATAGCGTAGCAAGAAAATTGATGGTAATATTTGATATTCGATTTTTTGAGAGGGGGGGGGGGCAGGACCTCTCTCCCTACCCACTTGATAGGTGCGAGAATTCTAATGGACACTAGTCATTCTAATAACAGGCAGGCTATCCTCACGCACTTATATATCATAAATAAAAACTAAACTAAAAAATGGGGGAAAATATTATAATAAATGCAAATTAGAGAGAGGAATCCTTGAAAACAGGGGTTGATTGAGGAAGAGGGAGAGATTGCGATGGCGAAAAGTAGATGGATCTACACTGTAATTCTAAAGTTGACTAATAAGTAGGTACCTAGCAAAATCTCAGGCGAATCGAATACCCAGTGTTAAACTGCTTGCATCATGTCTAATTGAAGGAGGAACATGTGACCGATGAGCGGCAAAAAAGCATTCATCTCAGCGTATTAAAGTAGGGCTGTTTGTCGTAAAATAATAAGATATTGACGATGGAAACATTTGCAAATCTGTTTTTAAAAATCGAAAAAAAACGTAGTTTTATACACATTCGAGTAAAAAAAAAGGAAGAAAAAAAGTTGGTTCCTTTCTTCCAAAGTCGATCGCCAAAAACGAGGGTAATGATACGACGGACTCATCATACAGAACCAAACATAAATCCTAGAAATATTATATAGTAGATGTTATTTTGATGGACCCATTAAAGAAAAAAAGAAAAGAGCCACCGTAGAATATCATAAAATTAGAGTGTATGACTTATTTTAAATTTTTATAATGTGACAACTGAATGAGATCCGACTGAATGGAAACCAAAATTCAACGTTTACCTACTTAAAATTATGCATGTTACTAGCCTCAGCGCACCTCGAAAGAGGCACTAAAATATTATTGTTAATTAAAAAAAATTGTATCAATTAATTGATGTGGCGGTTGTATTTTCCCGATAGAAAATCTACGAAGGCCGGAGGAAGGGTTAGAGCAAGAAGAGAATAAAAATAGATGACACACGCATAGTACGAAGCGCAAATAAAAAGCCTCTTCGAGATGGGACTGCAGCGAGTGCGTGAAGTATAATTAGGTAGCTATCGAAAAAATTGAATAAAATAGAAAACGTAATGCTCCGATCGAATCACGCATAGGTGTGCAGCGGCAAGGAAATTCAACTTATATTTTAGGTCAAATTGTGGAGGTTATCTTATTGGCATCAGCTCAATTCCCCTAAACCGTAGCTTTTTCCAGCACGTCCAGAGAGATAATAATAGACATAATGCTGGGCCAAAGTCAAGTATTCTTCAACACCAATATCTGCTCGAAAATTCAAACAGGATCTCATCTTTACGGTTTATTTCTTTAGTAATAATTCGTTTATTAATTGCTCCATTACTGTTTTGTTTTGCGTGACAAATCGCTGCGTGGATTCAGGCAAGTTTCGACCTTGTGTGGTTTTGGTTTTTTTAGCGAGTGTATTTTTAAGCTCAGTGCATGATGTTATACATAGAACGTAAACAATGTTCACCTAGCTTTAACTTCGTCAGTGATGGTTTCCACTTGAATTAATATGATATCAGCCGCTTATCGAAAGTCGGGCTTAATAAAACACATTTTCTCCGTTCTATGCCTCTCATTAATAACCAAGTGTGTATTTTTCACGCACCCGCAATAATTATGACTACGATCGTACATTGGCCGTCTAGAAATTAATTATTTCAAAACCAAATAAATGCGCGAAAGAAAACTATATTTCAAGGATTGAATGCGTTTTTTTTTTCATCGAGAGGGACGAATCGACGAAATATCTTCCAAATAATCCATTAAACCAACATCCCTTCAGAATAGGTACTGCTACACATACATACATTTACCCTTCAAATTTCACGCAATGCCATAAATAAGGTACGAACATTCTTTTTTTTTTTTTTTGAGACGCGTAGCTGAGTCAAACCGCTAATTTAGTTCAGGAACAACCTATAACTTTGTATGCTCTGAGCGAAACTGTGTACTTAATTATTACCTAAGTACATATACAAAAAGAGGAAATAATATAAATTTACAATTTAGGTAATACAATAAGTCCATTTAATTGCACAAATGAGTTACAGTGTGCGAGTATATAGGTACCACCTTGCGTAGATATTTAAACCTGATACACAAAATGTACCTGCGGGCCTAATTTCCCACCTTCCTGATAGAGAAAATACTATTAGTAAAAACTACAGGTACCGAAGAAAGTAAAAATCTCGGTTTGCGACTTTTGAAATCTCCTTAAGTATTCCTCTTTAAAGTAAAATCTACGTATGGAGAAAAATTATCACTCTCAGTTCGCGAGATTTGTTGTGATTATGGCATTTCGAGAATGCCTCCGGTTAAGACACTCTCGGATTCCTGGTTTCCCGTTGAAAAATCAAACATCAAATGGGTAAACTCGGAAAACACGTAGGTACCGTCCCCAATAATTGCAATGTCTTAAAGTAAACTTCCATATTTTATTCCATGGAAGGAATAAAACAAGCCAACTTTTTCGCTTGCATTTATTTTAAATATTAGACGAGCAGAGAGCAATCACGGACCAAGTTTCCAAGGAATTACGTTCATGAGTTTTTTCTAAAAAGAAATGAAGTTGGATGGGCATATTCTGCAACGTCGCAAATCATGGTCTGATTTTTCCTACAGTTTACAAAGGTACTCATCGGTGTAATTTGAAGCGCTTAAAGGCAAACCCTAGAGAAGGGGGGCTAAAGATGACGGCTGCGGTAAAATTACCTTGAGGGGAGGGAGGGGTTTTAAAATATCTCGAAAAGTGCTTTGAAATCGATTAAAATTGCATAACCCCATAGAAAGGCCAACCGTAAAATTTTCGGAGAGGAGGGCAATTTATTGTCGCAACCAGTCCTCCCCAAATAGAGACCCTGGATTAAGTAAAAGTACTTTTTTTTCGACCGCCCAATTTACTAACAGAAATATGGCTCAATAGGAAATTTTGCCTCCGCGGACTGAAGTGTCTCTCCCTGTGGACGGTCATGAACGTATCAACGGTAAAAATTCAAAAAAAGCGTATCTCGTTCGCGGTGTTTCAAAATCTCCCGCTCCTATTTTGTTTTTTCGAGAAAAAAGGCGGAACCGGCACTATATTTCGAAATATGATAGTCTTCACTCAGAGATAAAATGAATGAAGCTTTCAAGATATGACATTAAGTATTTTCCGATTTAAAAAAAATAGGACAGGAAATCTGCGACGTCGCAAAGCCGAGATACGCGTTTTTGCACTTGCACCGTCGATAAAGCGATGCACACAGGAGGTACTATGAGACCAGAAAGCAGTGTGCACACAGGTTTTACAGAGAAACAGAGGGAGACCGCATGGATTTATAAGGGTAGCACTTTTAGTATCAACTTTAAGCTGAGTCTTGACTTAAGGACGTTTTAACGAATTTGATTGGCTTAACCTGCCGGTAGTATTTGTGATATACAATTCTGCCGTGCAACGCAAAAACACCGTAAACGCCATTTTAAATTTTTCGGAGACAATATCCCTGGTAAAAATTGGCGATAGGAGCTGCGTTTCAAAATACCGTATAGGAATTCTTACAGCCGGCTAAAGAAGGCAATAGAAAATCATATAGCTGGCTGTAGAAAGCGGAGCAAATCATATAGCCGGGCTATACGAAGCGATAAAAAAGTATGCAGGTGGGCTATAGTTCCTATCGCCAGGCTTTACACTTTATCGCCATCGGCTATAAAAGGCTATAAGAAATTGTGTAGAAATTCGCGTGTGCTTTGGAAATCATTACCTAAGTTTGATACGGAGCCAACATAATATTCACAAAACACACATTATATTTTCCTTTAATACACATTTTTTCATCTATTAAAATGAGAATAATCCTTACAGGATGTGCAAAGATTTCAAAATCATGAGTTGAAAAACGCTGACTCCGCAAGATTATATTGGAGCATAACGCAGGGCGGAGCGGCGCGCGGCGTGCTGCCAGCGATAAGCGCGCACCAGCGCCTACAAACCTAACAAGGATACTTCACGCATGGCGCAATGCGTGAAGTATCCCTGTTAGGTTTGTAGGCGCTAAGGCACTTTTCGCGCTGGCTGCCCGCCCGCCGCGCCGCAGCGTGCCACGGCGCTTGAAGCAACTATTCCACACCAGAGGTATTGCACATCATACGAAATTGAAGGTGCTCCAACATATTAGGAATGGCAGGCATCCTTCAAAAGTACGGAGCTTTCCGCGCAAAATAAATCAAGATACTACGGCCCAAAAATAGAGCGGTAGTCCAAAAACTCACTAAGTCCTAGCATCCGTAATTAGTAACATGTAGCATACACTTTATCGCCTGGCTGTTGCTCAATCGCCATCGGCTATAAAAGGCTATGAGAAATTGTGCAGCCGGCTATAGAAGCTATTGAAAATCTTACAGCCGGCTTTAGGTCTATGGTATTTTGGAACACAGATTCTACTGCCAATTTTTACCAGGGATATCACAGCAGAAAAACTTGTGTACTTTGGAACAATGTTTTTACAGAATTCTTTCGCAAATACTATCAAGAACTTAACTTGAAAATTTGAGGTGCGTGGGTAAAACATAGTTTTTATTTTACAAAATATTAAGTTCCAAACGACGAGGGAAAATCTTGATGGATTTACGGCGTTTTTGCTTAGCACGGTATGTAGTATTAACGACATTTTTCCGATGCGGAATAATAAAGTTACAAAATTTTCAGTAATCTTTGAAAATATTCACGGTGGGAAAATGGTTGGTTACCCGCGATTCTACCTATAGCAACGGTCGCCTGCTGGAAAGTTTTTTCACCTCGACATGGGCACCATGATCGATGTGTGAAGTTCATTGTGAAAGTACTCGATGGAATGCTAAATTTTTGGTAAGATTTTTAGGCAAATTGAAATGGGGCTCTGTTCCAGTAACCTCGAAAAATGAGGCGAAAGAAACTGATCTCTCATGCTGTAGAAGTCATGAATATTCAAAATACACTCGGGAGAATGTATGACTGGTGATAATAGGTATAAAAAATTGGGAATTTCGGTTACTTCTTCTGCCACATTTTAGCGCAATGGAGGAAAATCACGCGTTTGTCTTTGAACCGCTTGAGGCGAAAACGACTCAACTCTGAGAGAATTAAAAGTCCAAACAACGAAACGTAAATTTAACGGGGTCAATATTTTTCAACGATATGTGTGGGGTTTTTTTGTTGCGTGTTCTTAGCCTATCGTCAAAAGTCTGTGAGGCATTGGTTCCAGAGTTTTCACTTTTTTGGTCAGTTAGTGGAAAATGTAAAGCGATTGAAAAGTCCAGAGATGGTTTGTCTCCTAACTGATTGAAATCCTGCAGATGTCAGCCTTGATGGAAGGTTGACAATTTATTTTTTTTAGGAAGAAGATAAAAAAAAATTTAAGATGAGTACCTAAATGAAAACCCCTCAAAAAAGTTGCGTCTCGTCCTGAACAGCATTTTCCTGAAATAATACAAATTTGTGAAAAATTCGGAGTGTGGTAGTTTCTGCACGGAACGATACAATTCTGTACAATTTTTCCTTGCATATTGCAAAACACTACAATTCATATAATAATGAGTATTTCCTACATCTATGTTTCTTATCAAAAGAAAAAATCTAACAAGGGGAGTCTACGAAGTGACATCCTGGGATTGGGTTCATTTTGCTTGTACATGAAGAAGAGACAAATCTAAGGTTGACGTATTTTTTTTTAGCCGCCAACTCCCAACCGTTCTCGAGATATCGATTTTTAAAGTTACGATTTTTGCACGTTTCCGCGCGGAGTTCCGACGAGTCAACTGAGCGCCGGCAAGCTGCACGAAGCGCGTTTCCTATCAGCGCTGCAGACCGGCCATCCTTATCAACAGTTCCGTGGCCGAGTGGTAGAGTTTTCGCCTACTGTTCCATCGATCGCGGGTTCGGATCCCGCTTCATGCCGTAGCTTTTAGGGTACGCCGCAATGCGTTTTTACAAGTTTTCTTTATTTTTATCACACACCAAGGGGTCCGCCCCCTGGCCGCTGCGCGGCCCAACCCCCGGGGCAAAAAGGCGCGCTTCGCGGCGAGCGAAATCATCGAAATCGACCGTTGACGGTTGCAAATTCAGAGTAAGGAAAAAGTCATTAAGAATATTGTGTGGTGGAAAATTTTTATTTGAAACATCATTTTATCATTCAATTAAAATTATTTACCCAGTAACCGTCAACGGTCGATTTCGATGATTTCGCTCGCCGCGAAGCGCGCCCTTTTGCCCGGGGGTTGGGCCGCGCAGCGGCCAGGGGGCGGACCCCTTGGTGTGTGATAAAAATAAAGAAAACTTGTAAGAACGCATTGCGGCGTACCCTAAAAGCTACGGCATGAAGCGGGATTCGAACCCGCGATCGATGGAACAGTAGGCGAAAACTCTACCACTCGGCCACGGAACTGTTGATAAGGATGGCCGGTCTGCAGCGCTGATAGGAAACGCGCTTCGTGCAGCTTGCCGGCGCTCAGTTGACTCGCCGGAACTCCGCGCGGAAACGTGCAAAAATCGTAACTTTAAAAATCGATATCTCGAGAACGGTTGGGAGTTGGCGGCTAAAAAAAAATACGTCAACCTTAGATTTGTCTCTTCTTCATGTACAAGCAAAATGAACCCAATCCCAGGATGTCACTTCGTAGACTCCCCTTGTAAGTGAGATGAGTGCTTTGCGATACCGAACTCGAGATGCAATGACACAGCGAGTTGCGGTAAATCTACCTCTCTACCCAAGGTGCAGTGTGGAGAGCGCCTTCAAGCGCGAAACAATGCAACACGCGTAACTCTTTCCGATTGCAAAGAATTTGTGCATTTGTAGCCTCATTTCAAAACTCTCGCGATGATATCACATGGAATTTCAAGAACGAACATATTCCTTGGAATTTACAAGTTTGGCGTGGTTGTTTGGCTGCTACTAGATTAAAATTCGGATGATTTGTTACCTATTTATTGCAGAAAAGAGGTCAAATAGAACAATGACCACTCTGACATTTTTTTTACGCTCTGCATGGTCAAAACACAGCATTTTTTTTTTTTTTTTTTTTTTTTTTTTTTTTTTTTTTTTTTTTTTTTTTNTTTTTTTTTTTTTTTTTAAACAGTAAAAAATAACGATATATTTCTAGATCACAATGACATTTTTAGGGCATGTCATATCTCCCCACAGTAATTTAATGGAGGGCAAATCCAATTATTTTCGTTGAATGTGGACCTTCTACTGTTGGAGTTACAGAAATTCAGGGTGGGGCAAATTTTGGCCCATGCCGCTACTCCTTCCTCCCCAATCAGGAGTCCATGAAGCAAGGCATGCATTCAGGTGTGTTCTTACAGTTGAAGAAACGTGCAGTTTAGTTCGCGTACAGCCTGGGCCGGATTCACCTTCTTGCCGCCCATATGGGCCGCCTGTATTTTGCCGCCCCCTTCTCATTATTTTTGAAACTCAATAAAAACCATCAAGTGAACGTGTCAGCAGGGGAGGGGTGCATAAGACGCATTTACTCGTGTTGAACACATTTTTTGGGAAAACCCTGTCAACACTACTACATAAGTTCACAGAACTTTGCGCGAAAGTTAAGTTTCGTAAACCTATCTCTGTGTGGACAAGGCCTTCCATTCCTAAGAAATGAACGAAAAAATTATGAAAGAACAAACATAAATGTGGTTCAATGATTTTAACTTCCGCCGCCGCGCCGCGCAGACCGCAACGTGTTTGGCGCAATGCATGAAGTATTCCGACAGTCTTGTAGGCGCCATGCGGTTCACGCCGACTGCTGCTGAACGCACTGTGTTTGATGCAATGCGTGAAGTATTCGTGCAGTCTTGTAGGCGCTAATATGTGTTACATGCCGATCGCTGCGCCGAGGGCCTCTCCTTTTCATCTCAAGTCCTCGTCATCATTTCTCTCTAAGTCGCGCCGTTCAGGGCCGAATTGCGTTTTTGGATTCTCTCTTAACTTGACTAATTAAAGGTGCTGTCTCTTGTATCACTCAGAGACGAAAAAATTAGAAATTCTTATACTCTCAGGAAATGAGAGATTTTGTCGCCTTTTCTCGTTTGTAATTTTTTTTTCTAAATCCGATTTTTTTTATACCTACACTTATAAAAATTGCAAATTTTTGCCGCCCCTTAGATTTGCCGCCATGGGCCGCGGCCCATGTGGCCACCTCCTTAATCCGGCCCTGCGTACAGCAACCCTTGATGGCTCCTACAGGGGTTTGAATTTCCACTTTTCACATCTTGCTGATGCAACAAGAAAAATTCTTTGAAAATTTTCACCGTCTCTTGATTTACGGAAAACCTGAGACACTTCGTTTTAATGATCTTCACATGGATTCAAAAAATATCGTTCTGAATTTTGCGGCGTTTCAAAATTGCCACTCGAATTTTACTAATTAAAGGACATCGAACCCTTAATTTTGTGTGTACCTAATTTTCGCAAAATCCTCTTTTTTGATTCTTCTGAAACTTTCTGCCAACCGACTAAGGAGTAAACCCTTCATTTCCTGAAACACTTTTTCCTGAATGCAACACAAATAAATGATTCTTGAATGTTTTATTTTGATCCAGGCGTGACAATGGGCCCTGAGGAAACACAACAATTTTGTTTGCGATGGCATAATTATCAGAACACTCTCCTGGCAACTCTCCCTCAGTTGTTGAACGGAAACGATCTGACCGATGTGACACTTTGCGCAGGTGGAAGAAATGTCAACGCCCATAAAGTAGTGCTTTCAGTATGCAGTCAGTATTTTAAAGACTTATTCAAGGTAAATATGGCTGGGCCTGGATCATTTGAATTTTGGTGGTACCTTTGGGGAGTGGCATTAACGACCCTCCATAGACTTAAAAAATGATGATTTTAATTTCATTTTCTACGGAAAAATAAAGACCTTTTCGATGAGAGATTTTTCGTCCAAACAAGAGGAGGGGGGGGGAGCAAAAACGTTATTACCCCTTTCTTTCTTCTTTTAGACCTATGAATACTTCCAAGATATCCTGTTGATTAGGAGTAACATTATGAATGTCTAGGAGTATGATGGAAAATGCAACGATGTAAAGTGAAATACATGTCTCCAAAGTTTATTTATAGCTGATGTGATATCAGCATTGTTCATAGAGGGTAGCTACATGATATGAAGAATAATCAATAGATATACAAAGATATTACGGAGCACAAGTCTTTTTTACATGTAATGGGGCAAAATACTTTTTTAGTCGGCTTTAGACTACACGAAATCTACTGGAGTCTTTGTTACCTAAGTGACGATTTCAGTAAACTCATAGCACACCCTACCAAGCATTCATGCCTATACTTAGTGGGAGATGAATCCTCAAATATTTAGATGGAATAGGTACCTACAACCAGAAACACAATCTGTAAAGTGCCCATTTACCGTTACTAAGGAGATTATTTGTTCCAGGAATTAGGAAACCTACAGCATCCTGTGATAGTTTTACCGGGAGTTGATTATAATGATCTATGCGCATTAGTAACTTTCATGTATAGCGGCGAAGTGAATATATACCAAGCACAGCTAGGATCTTTGCTCTCAATTGCTGATACCCTAAGAATAAGGGGTCTTGCGGAATTTACGGGTGTAAGTATATCGAATAATTAATAAAGATTACAATACTACATCAAGTAATTCAAGGAAAATATCAAAAACAGTAAGTTTTAATAGATCTACAAAGAGCAAATATAATAAATCGTTTAATAGATATGATATTTTTTATGAAAAGCAGTCAAAGGTACGAGAAGGGCTGGTTTCCAGATATATAGTCAGGGGAATTTGTTTTTATGGACGAATGATTTGAGGAGTGGAAGGGAAATCGCCACTTTGGCTTTAGAGAGGGGACAGGTAATTGAAAGATGTGTGAAAAAGAATTTTTTTCTGACCAAAAAAGGCTTTGCGCTTCCCACTCAAGAGCTGGATCCATGTTTATTTTTTTATCCTTTTTAACACAGGAGATTGATTTTTCATGACAATTATTGACTTTAGAGATGAATGCGATCCAAGATGAAGCTGTTGGACAAGGTTGGAAACCAATCATCAAAGAGTATGATTTTTTATATTTGAATGTCACTGAGGATGCATATGAACACATTAAACAATTTATAATTTGACTCTCGGATGAGAAATAAGCATTTTACTTGATCATAAGTTCAAACCTCCGACTTGCTAAAACACGCAAGGCCTCCTTGAATTAAATTGGGCTAAAAATGAAGTAATTCCAGTATGTTTTACCATCAAAAAACTTCCTTAATATGCTATACTGTTTCTAACAGGTTTAGGATTACAAACTCAGTACATTATAAGGAGAAAAAAATGTTTGTAAACTAAAATTGTATTTTTTCAAACTATAAGTAAAGAGTTTTAGATGTTTAACCAGCAATGATATTGTTTTCAGAAAGAGGAAGTTTGAGTTTTTAACTTTAATGAATGATATCTCTCATTCATGGGTTGATTTTTAAAATGTTCAATAAGTTTGATTTGTTTTGCACAAGATTTTGATGAGGTATCCAGTGAGGAGGGAGGGGCAGCAGCAAGGGTAAATTCACTTAATATGCTAGTCTAACAGTATTGAGTGGCTATAGTAACAACTTTTCTAAGAAACCTTTCCCCCCACCTACGCCCATTGGTCTATTGCTTGAATTCTGGAACGAAAATCCTGAACTCGAACTATATTTTACATAGAAAGACAGAAAAATATCTCAATTTCGAACGAATGTTGGAGAGATTAAACCTATTTTGTGGAACAAAAATCCCTTTTAACAATTTTGCTCTACAATACCTGCCTACACAAGTTTTGTCTCAAATTCCAGGGACCAAACAATACAGAATCACAGCAGAACAAAAGTAAACGATTGAGGACAGATGAAAAGCTTGAAGCTTTTGCGAAGTTAAAAAAATACTCGGACACAGCCCAGTTAACGGAGACGATAATGAGGGACTTTTTGTCTGACTGGTCCTTACCTCAAGAGGACGATGTAAATACAACTGAGCAGGTGGCCCAAGATTTAAGTAAAAGAGTACAAACGAAAACAAAAGAATCTCCCGAAGTGACGTCTAACGAGCAACAAACGCCTGAAATACCTTTCACGAAAACTGAAGCACTCCCATCTGATCTCTCTACTAGCCAAACAACACTATCATCAACTAGTGTATCAATTAACTCCAGCGAGAGCAGACAAGGTAAGGTACTGACCCTGGTTATTTGATCAAACTGATTCAATTTTTAACATTGATCTGCATGGTTTGAATTCAAAATTGCAGCAAACATCCACATGTAATAGAGTGGCATCGATGCAGAGGTTAAGCAAAATTTTTGTGATTTTAGGAAAAAAGTGTTCAAAGTTGAAAGATAATGTAGAATACAACAGAATACATGAATGGTAGAATGAATTAAATTGTCTTGATCACTCATTATAAAGAATCACATTATATCAAATTAATCAAAGAATAAAAATGACTTTATAATTGAATATTGATGTGAAGAAACTGAGCTTTTTCTGCTAAGTATATCCTGAGATAAGTTCTGTTTAATGCGACTGATATCTCAATTTTTCAAACAGGTCACTCAACTCTTTCATCTGCAACACCCTTTTTGAGTAAGATTTGCAACCTCAATAGGCTAACTCATGGTAATTTTGTTGGAACCACTTTACTTTTGCCAATCAGATAAAGATAAACTCTCAATGTCCAAAAAGCTTTTCATTTGAAGCCCTGATGACAGCTGCCAGAATATTTTTATGGATAGATGACAATTGTTAAGGCAGAATAAAAAAAAAACCCGAAAAAAATTATTAAAGCTCAGTATGCTCAATAAGTCTCCAAAAAAAGTGATTTTATGAAAGATAAAAGGAAACTGAAACCTAATGGCAATTATGTTCGAGCAGTATTTCCTTGATCCTTTATATTAGCATTTACTTCAGTCTTGAGTCTCTTTGTAGCCTCAGTTAGATTCCGGAAGATGAAATATAATGGCTATAATACATGGATTATATTTTCATGCTTCAAAACTTGATTATTATCACTTTGTTCCAGAGGGAGGCAAGTTAAGGTATTCAAAAGTCTATGCAACATGCTTCGTATGTGGAAAACAGCTGAGCAACCAGTATAATCTTCGTGTTCACATGGAGACACATCAAAATGCCCATTACGCTTGTTCTGCCTGCAACCATGTGTCAAGATCGAGAGATGCTTTACGCAAACATATTTCGTACAGACATTTACCTCAAAAGCGATTGCAGCCATGACAAGGTTTCACAATCATTCTTTATTTATGCAAGACGTTCTGCAGTTTATCAAACCAAAGTTACCAAATTGTTTTTTCTTTCTTTCTTTTTTTTTTTGTATTTTAAGATGTTGAATTTTATTTGTTAAAACTCAAGAGACCTGAAGAAAAGAGAAAATTAGACAAGCTCTTATTAGTTTACTTTTGATTTAATGATAAACAAATTTATTAAGCTCTTCACTGATGTTAAAAAAAATGACTTCCAAGTGAGGTACGTACGGTGGGATCATAATAACGCACAAGATCTGATAACTTCAGCTTGATTCTTAACAGTATTGTCGAACTGTGGCTGTACCTCTGATCGATATGATACTTCTAATGGACTTTTGAAACAGCAAAACCAAACATGTTTCCTGAAGTTTTGGATTAATTCAGTTATATTTATGATTATGCTGACTGAAATGAAGTGATGAAAACTTTTAAATATGCACATACCCATCACAGAAATATTCATGAGAGCAGAAATTTTTTTCCTTGCCCCAACCATTGCAAAGATTGACACAGATACCAGACTTTTGTGTCTCCTTTCCAGAAATTCAATTGATCATTTCTTGATTACTTTTTAAATTTGAAGTTTTGTTGGTGAGAGGATTTTTTTTAGTTTATTAGAAATTGGACGCCACGATTTTCGGATTGCAGCAAATCCCCCCCTATTATTTTAAAAAAAATTGAAGTACGGCCAAACATTTTAAAATATGATTATAGAAAATTCTTTATCTATTTTGAAAAGTGATTTTTAAACTTTTTTTCACAAATTAGACGACCTGTAGATTTTAGAAACAGGGCAAAAGCCGAGGATTACTTTTAAACATTTGAAATGGTAAAATTTTAATACAATTAATTCCAAAAAAAGCTGCAACGACTCGAAAGGTTGAACTGGCCAATAATCACACTTCCACAAATTTTTTAAACTGATCATTACCTATGGACATGGGTGGTTAAATGCACAATTTTTTTAGATTAGAAGAAAATGATTTAACTTATTTTGCATTAAATGCAGCACAAAATTGAACACTATCATGATCGAAATGAATGAAAAATTCAAACACAGTTTTTTCTTAAAAAATGTTCCCACTAAGCAGCATGACTCCTTTGAAAGAAAATTGTGCTCAAAGGAGATGTTTCCTTCTAAAGGGAGACAATTAAATTTCACGCTGAATTTTGTGAACAGCAGTAAAACAATCTTACTGTTTATACTATACATGTTGATTAAAGAAACATGTATTACTCTGAAAGAAAAAGATTAAAAACCTACAGGTTATGTTTCGTTCTTTGGGGGGTTTTCATGTAATTTCGTTTAACACGGAGAAAATTTATGTGGCCTTCCTGGGGGGAGGGGGGGGGCCGAGGATAAAAGATGAGAATGAATACTCAACTATTGAAAGTTTCCTTTTAAAGCTATTATGACTTTCCCCCATCTTCTCCCTCGTACAGCGTTTTTGACTTAATACTGTGCTAACACATTTTGGTTTTTATTCGACAGTGAACATTAAGTGTCAAAATCTACATTTTAAACTAAGATGCAAAACATCTTTAATAAGGTCAGAGGTGTAATATTTTTGTAACTGGAGGTAGGTATGAATGACAGTCAGAATATCATTCAAATTTTGAGTAAATGACAAACATCAACCTCTTCATATTTTTGGGTTCCATTTGTGACTGATCGGGAGAAAAATTCATACCTAGGTATTTCCGATGAACTATCTGCATGAGTACAAATCCATTATAAAACCTAAACTGAAATCTATGATAAGTAAGTATTAAATTAATCTGTGATTATAGAGTAAGATAAACCTTAAGTGAAAATTTGTTGGAAAATTTGTTGAAAAGTCAAATATAATTTAAATAAGTGTTTTTGACTGAGTTTTTTAATCAATTAATTTTTAGTGTCTTACGAGTGTCTGAGAAAAATATAGGTTCTAGAAGATAAATATACATCAGTTTCTTAGAGCCAGAGGGAATCTAACTCACATTCTTGGAAAAATCGAATTTGTGGCGGTTTTGAAATCTGCATTAACAATTCTGGGTGTGTGGAAAATTTGGTAGCCCTATCTTTTGCCGGTTATGAGATACAGAGTTTGAAAAATTGAGATTTATATTGAAATCAATGGGGTCTTTGCACGGATTTTCCCTGATGTCTTGAAAATACTAATATGGAGTTAGGCGCCTTTTGGCCCTGGGGTACTGATAAATGTAAAAGAGAAAACTTCAGCGCAAAATCTTTCTCCAAAAGTCCCATGGTTAAGACCTCTGAAAGAGGCAGACTTTAGACCCAATAGAGGAGATAAAAATCAAGACCAATGGACTCCTTCCATCAGCTATCAAGAAGAATAAGAAGAAAAAATGAAATTTTAAACGTAATAAAAAGGGCAAACGTTCCATTTAAAATACTTTGCACATCCGCCATGTTTAAATACACGGCTTTAAGCAGCTTGCATTGAGGGCACTGTAGTGAAAGTTTTGTAGAGAGAAGATAATAGGTTTAAATTGTTTTCTATTTTTTAAAAAAATATTTACAAAAAGAAAACAATTAGTTATATGAAAACATTAGAAATACCAGTAGTGGATACAGTGACGATTAAAATAAATCATGATAAATTACGAACAACAGTCGACGGTCCTTGGATCACTTTCCGCGAGAGTCGCATAACACCAGAAACAGGATCCCGTCCAAAATACTTAACTTGGATTTCTTGACCGACTTCTAGGCCCAATGCGCTTGGATGGCTGACCTAGAATAACCAGTAAAATTAAGTAAATCAGTAAATTATTTTTCTCTTTAATTAGAGTTCAAAAACAGAAGCTTTCTAGTTGATCTAACTGGAATAAGATCAGAAATGAGGAAATGGAATATGCATACAATTTTTGATGCTGCAGCTACAATTGATATATGCATTAAGTCTGAGATGGAAAATTTCGCTAAAAATAAGATTTAGAAATGTTAAAAATTAAACTTTCTTGTAAAATTTCAATAATTTGAGATTTCAGGCTATTTATCATAAAATTTCAAGTGAAAAATTACGTAAAATTTCACGTGAAAAATTACATAAAATTTCACATGAAAAATTACATAAAATTTCAAGTGAAAAATTACGTAAAATTTCGAGGGCAAATTCATGTTAAGTCCTTCCTGAATGAGGAATTTAACATGGTAAATACGATTAAAACTCAGAGAAGCTGAGAGGTATTTCTTTTTCCCTGAGTCAAAAGAATTTTTGTCTTTTCTTGCAGTAATGTTGAGTGCATTCAAGGAAATTTTGTCAATGCACTAAAATCCAAGTATTTTCAAGTATGGAAAAAGTGTGGGGATAAAATCAAATGAACTTGGATACTCACAAGTATCTGCGTTACAGGAATCATTATGTATTTATATAGAGAAAACAACACTAAAATAAGACCCAAACACTGTAACCAGATGGTAGAATAATGCTGAACATAGCAGACGACGAGAGCATGCTGGCAAGATATTCGATGACAGAAGTCACAAGGATCACTTTTAGGCGTTATACTTTACATTACATCCATCCTAATTTAATGTCATCTACAGGTTGCAGAGTGCTAGGCTGCGTACTCTGACTAAGTGTGGCTTGCTGATATGCTTAAATAAAAGCAAAAGCTGGACAAGTCTTTCAATTAGAACCCAGAAAAATATTCCAATGCACCTGCCTGCCCTAGAGTTAATTTCATGACTTAATTCTAGTTATTGGTATTTCTGGCTTTTGATTTCCCCTGAAGAAAATGTGAATTTGGCACTATCCAACCATCCAATATATTTGTAACTCCTGATAGAATTTGCTTCTGATAAATTAGTAGTTGTTAACTTTCTGCTCGGAAGCGGCTGCATTGCAGTTTTCTAATAACTATCGAGGATTGACCACCGACATCAATTTGAAGAAATAAAAATTTGTCTACTGCTCTTGACAATGAAAAGTAAAAAGCTACCAACTGCCAACTTATCTGACGCAAGTTCTTTTTGACCCTTTCGTCAATGCCTCCAATGATGATAATAACTAACAAACGGTTGGAAAAGCATGAGGATGAGCAATTATTTAGCCTAGCATATAGGAAAAATAGGAATTGTTATACTTAAGAATTTGAATCATTGAAAATAGAAGGAAAGCTCTGGTATAGGAGGTTAAAAGGAACTGTAATCATGCTCCTGACAAAATAAATATAAAAGCTGAGAATGTACCTTTCTATGATCTAGTTGAGAATTGTGTAAAAGAGCGGGATGCATGTTATTATATAGAGTAACCATCACTCCAGACTCTCGTACTTCCACAATTTTGGCTGTGTAAATACAGCCAAATTCTAAAGTTGGTTCAGAACTGGCATCTAAAAGTTTAGAAATAAATTCCTTGCCTTCGGCCATGGCATCTTGATTCGGCGCAAAAATAGTGAAGTTGCCTTCCTCATCACTAGATACCTTTAGAAAACCAAAATAAGAAGAGAAATGAATGTAAGGGTTGAATAGAGGGGAAATATGAACGCAAAATAGTACTTTTTTACATTATTAAAATGCAAGAAATAGCTATTTATGAAGTGCATTTTTAATTAAGTGGGTTCTTGGTGACCTGAAAAATAATCAAACTTTGATTTAAACCCTGAATGGAAAAACCTCATAAGTCTTCATATTTAGTAAAATGGGCTCAAAGAAAATTCTTAGTGTACATCAGTAGAAATCTTCTGTACAAAAAGAAGAGGGTTCCAAAATCGGGAAAGCAGGGCAATGAAGATTTGGGCAAATTTTAATTCAATTTGTAACAAGTGAGCCGGTTATGTAATCAGGTTTGATATTGATTGGTAGTAGTAGTGTCTCAGCGTAGCAAATAAGTTGCCCAGCAGAGACAGCTGCAGGTGTGGAATGTGTTTGCTGTAGATTTTGTAAGTAAATGTCTTGACAACGCATTCATATCATGTTAAAACATTTATCAAAATAACGCTCTTCCTTAAAAACATTCATTTTTTCAAGTCCCTGCCAGCCATTTCTTGTTACCCGTAACTGGAACTAATGTTTTTCCTGAGAATAACAATCTACTTTTCATTTCTTTTCGAAAACGTTACTACGAGATACATCCGTATTTAAAACATCAAGTTTCAAAAATTTTCATAGGATCTGTGATTTCTTTTTCAGCCATGAATTTGGCACCATTTTATTGCTTTACAGTGTGAAGTTGAGTCTCCTCACTAACCTGAGCTCCTGTTTCTGCCATCAACCTTCGTAAATTGATGCCGCCAGCACCAACAAATTTCCCTCTCTGGTGAGCTGGGATATCTAGAGCTTCCGACACTGGCCAGTTCTCTTTTTTCAACCTGGTAATCAAATCCACTTTGACATGAAGAGACAAAACTACAGAATATTTTTTTATTGAGTATGGGAGCTCTTAATAGTGAATATAATGACAGGGTATTTTAGAAAACCAGAGCAGATATACCTTGATTCAGACTTATTTTTGAGAAGACTGATTTTCCTCCACCATTTTCCTTCCTTTATCTTGGTGGTTTATTCTCTTTGAATGATTACTTATACTAGATAAACCGTTTTTAAGAGAGCCATTTTTTTTAAAAACAACGTAAAAGCTTTGTCATTCAGTCATATTATCATACGGCATTTTTCATTTTAGCACTGAACAGCTCTGACCATTTTATTAAATTTTTTTAAACTGTCTCACTTCAAAATCAAAGCTATCTTATACTCAGTACTCTCATTTATTTTCATTCATAGATAAAATTCATAAATTTTGGGACACTTGCAAATTCTTTTGCTGAAAATTACCTACTTTTTCCAAAAAATAAGGTTAAAGGTCTCTTGAAATAAAGTGCAGTCCTCGAGTTAAAAGAACAATAATACTGGGAAATATTATCGAAAGTTAAAGATTAAGTTTTCCTGAATTTTCTGGTTCAATTTTGTCTGGTTATTCTGCAGTATTTTCCCCAACTTTTGATGAACCAGGATTTTTTTCATCTAGGCTACATCTAGTCCTGTCAAGACCAGATAACCATGTCTGGAACAGGATACTTCTATGGATCAGAAGCGTTTGAAATGCACAAAAACTTTATGTGCACAGAATAGAGTTTCTAACGGCTTTTATAATCAATATCCAGGACCCTCAAGGATGTACAGAACAATTTTAAAAACTTTAAAAAGTGCCTTAAATTGGGTGCCTCTACTCTCTTTAACTTATGTCACTGCTACCTCTACATGTAGAAGCAAATTTATGACACCTGAATGACGCAATTTCGCATTTCAGAAGTCTCTATAGCAAAAGAAAAAGGAACCAATTTTTTGAAGCGACTTAAATAATTTTACCAGAAATCGAAATGAGAATCCAGTGAAATTTAGGAACTTTCAAAAACATTGCTATAATTTCCTGAAAATCAAGAATATTGTAATGGGTCGCTTGGGGGGCGCCACAGCTCAAATGGCCAAGCTTGGGGACTCCTCCAGGGAGAATGCCAGGGAAATCATCGAATTCACTTGACTCAAAAACACATTATTGTCACACAAACTTTTTAGACTTGTACTCTTATGCCTGATCCAACCAACTGAGCCCTGTTTACCGGCCCGTTCGGCTCTTTATAGCATCGGGTCCACACAGTCGGCAACGACACACTTCTCACTTAGCTTTCCGAAGCAAATTGCCCAATTTCGACTCCGAGGCGCGCATCAAATCATCAACACCACGAGCAACTCCAAACAAATGGTCTTCCGCGCACATTTCTAGCCTCTCTCACACTCTGAGACCAAAGTTCGTCTCCACGGTCCGGAAATGTGCGCAGAAAGCCACCTGCCCACAACCACTGGTAGGTTTCCTGGCTGGGCTCTTTTGCCGCGGGCAACAGAATATTCATTATTCAAGGTCTCTTCAAGGAGGAACGAACTCTGCAAAGGTAGCTTTGGAGAAAGTAAACAATGTATCTGTGAGGGTAATTTTTTACCTAGGTTGGTTGATTTCTCGATTCATGATACCAATTATTTTAGATTTTGCTTCTACACCTGCAGTGATGGCTTCCATTACTATTTTCAAGGGAATTCCGGGTAACTTGATGTCTGCTTGCAGAGCAGTAATCCCTTTTTTGGTACCAGCAATTTTGAAGTCCATATCTCCAAGATAGTCTTCAATTCCCTGCAAAACATCAACATTGAATGATGTGCATTTCTATCGGGAAATTAAGATGGTATGCAAAATGAAACATGACATTATAACAGCTTGATATTAAAACTGACTCTTATCTTTGATTTGCTGGAGCTTTTTTCGGATACATGAAGTTCCGACCTTCTCTATTTGAATACATGTTATGACATGAAATGATTTTGTCAGTATTTTTCTTTTTCGTTTCTTCAAGTTGCAACTTTTTTCAATTCTAATACATAAATTGACATGCAATGGCCTTGCCAACATCCCATTTCTGAAAAAGACTTCATAAAAGAGTCCACCATTCATGGTGTTCTTCCCACTCTGAGCAGGGTGTCTACTAGAACAGGCTGGCCAAAAATCAGTACTCATTCAGTTCATTCCCGAAAAATTCAGTACCTCCTTAACAGAAAAATTAAGTACTTTTTCAGGACCTTCATTTCACAAAATTCGAAAAATTGCATACATTTGTAATTCTCGCTCAAATTACAACAAAAATGACAAAATATGAGATAAATTCCGAATCTCCGTATAGACTTTCCGCACTTTTTCAGTACTTCCGTAACGCCCTTAAAAAATCAGTAATATTTTGGACTTTCCGGAAATTCCGGGCTTGTAGACACCCTGATTAGCACAAGTATACTTTATTACTGTGCTGAGGACGAAAACACAAAACCTGAAAATTTTGACTTTTGCCACTTTTCTACTGACACAGTCTAAACTTTTTAAAGTAGGTTTGCATTTTCCAGAGAATTTTATTTTTGATTTTTTTTGGGCTTTGAAAGCGGGGAGAAAACCAAGTTCCGGCAACTACAGCTTGCATGCCCCGGGAACAGGCAGCCAGTCCCACTTCCTGAGAGCTGCGGGCAACTGACACGGGAATCAAGAGGGGTCTATTTTTAATTTGAACTGAAACACTTGAAAATTTCAATTTTGAAAATTTATTTGTCCTCTCAATGGTCAACATATTGTTGGAAAAGAAATCGCAAAGATTTCACATAGATTCGATACTGGCTAAATTTAGTAATCTTCTATATGATATTTTGTGCGACATTGAGAGTAAAATAGGCTTTAAAAATTGAACTTTCCAGGTGCCAAGTTGGAAAAAAATAGAGCTTAATAATGAAATTTTCAGCGTTTTAATGAGGACCAATACGTCAAGTAGGCAGTACTGTTTCTTTGTCAATAATACAACACATGAGTAAGAAAAAATATTACCAGAATATCGGTGAGTATACGATAGTCTAATTCATCTGGTTTCTCTGTTGAGGGTCTGCTCACAAGTCCAATTGCAACACCAGCAGCAGGTGCAGCAATTGGGACTCCAGCGTCCATTAGAGCTAAACTGCCTCCACAAACTGATGCCATAGACGAAGAACCTGAAATTAAAGGTAATTGACTCATAAACAAAACTATTGCCAGCTTATTTCAATGAAACATTGTATCAAGACGTTTCAGCAGGGCTATGTAAAAAAAATTCCTTCCTAACTCACCTAGGATCCTAAGATTTGATTTCCTAACTTTCCCTCTTCTCCAGAAAATTTCACAAAAAGGTAAAAAGTAGGTACAGACCGACTAAAAATTGATCCATGTTTCAGCGCACTCTTTGAAAAAAGTATGCAGTGATTGAACATTAAACAATATATGAGTACACATGGACTTCGCAAAAAGATACATGGCACCTAACACAAAAAAGAGTTTTTCACTATTTCACACTCTAAATACCTCTTAGCTCAGCCCAAAATAGCCATTTTTCTCTTGAAGAGACATAAATGTTAATACAACTCAAAAAAATACAACAGAACAAATTAATATTTAAGTTTTGTTCCCAATCTGTAAGTCAAATAAAATCTAAGTTATGCCTGCCTCTGTGACAATTAACTTATCAGACAGCTAAAACCATGATCTTCAAACAGTTCCTTTACATGACAGTGAGGTCCGAAAAAATGGGAAAAATTGTTAATTAGGATTCTATTGGGTAGATGAATAACAGACCTGAAGGGAAAAAAATAGGGGTTGGTTGAACAACCACGTTACAAAACATCCTGAACAAGTATTCAAGCAGAGAGCCTGCTTGAAGCATTTATGAGGGAGGACATTCACACCTCTTTTATTCTACACAATGTTTAAGAAGGGAACAATAATTAGTCAAAACAATGAATCATTACTTTTGACATTGAAATGGGTCACTTACGCTGGTCGCAGAATTGTGTTTTGATGCTTAATTCTAGTAGATTAGCTGAAATAATTAAGATCTGTCCAAATCGCAACTTTCTACATTCAATATTAACCGAGATATCGCCCTTTGAAAAGTGGGGTTTTTGACGTCGTCATCCACCGCGGTAGTGACACCCTTGGTTTCTTCCACCTTGGTTTCTTCTACCTTGGTTTTATTAATCAGGGAAACACACATTAGCACTGTTTACTCTAAATGAAACGCGGATGAAAGCAAAGTGGAAGAAACCAACGGTGTCACTACTGCGGTGGATGACGTCAAAAACCAAACTTTTCAAAGGGCGATATCTTGATTAATATTAGACATAGAAAGTTGCAGTTTAGACAGATCTTAATATTTTTAGCTAATCTACAAGAATCTAGCATTATAGCACACTTCTGTGACCAGTGCAACTGACCCATTGTCCAAACCAAACTTTACGACACAGATCTTGACATAGTAAAGCACACTGGTGTTGGGGACTTAAACAGGTTTTCTTGAAAAATCAATTCAACCACATTAATTTATTGGGTTCCATTAATCGCGTACATCGGTTTTCACCCTCAAAATCGAAAATTTCAATTTTCTCTACCTGCATGTGAGCCGATTTTTGGACCAAAATATTTGGAAATTTTTTTCCAATTTTTTTCTTCTTTTTTTAAGGAGTGCGAATTTTGATCCTTTGTAACTTCCGATTTTTATGAATTGATTTTTTGGAAAATCGATTTTTTCTGTCATGATCTAAATCGAGGAGATCAGATTCTCAAAGGAAATCAAATCTATTTTGAAAAATCTCCAGCATTAAAGCACATGCTTATGAGCGCTTATAAAATAACTACTTATTTTTGGCTTTCTTACCATTTGACTCTAAAACTTCGGAAGTTAATCGAATGGCAAAAGGAAAATCTGATGGAATAACAGGGCGTAGACCCCTCTCTGCCAAGGCTCCATGCCCCAACTCTCTTCTCTGTGCTGGTCCAACTCGTCCGATTTCTTTTGTTGCGAAGGGAGGAAATTCATAGTGAAGGAAAAAATTTTTCTCCTTCAGGCCACTAAAATGAAAAGAAATAGGTAAGCATTAAAAAACAATATTGTATTCTTACTGAGTAACTGTCCTCAGGCGAAGGTACCTAAATATCCAAAAACTAAAAAATGGGCTATAGGTATTATTACATGAGGGATAGTAATACTGACATTTCAACGGTGCAAGTCGGCAATCACATAACTCGTTTGCGGTGTCTGAAAATCTCCGCAACTATGTTATTTTTTTAAAGGAGAACAAATGGACATGATTCCTTGAAGTTTTTGCAGAATTTTCCTCGCACATAGAAGAAAAATCACGGCAGTTTTAAAGAATTACCGTTGAGTAGTTTTCCGTTTAAAAAATAAAGTATGACAGGAAGTCTGCAACGTCGCAAACCGAGTTATGTGATTGCCGACTTTCACCGTCGATTTAGGTTTCAGAAACACTCAGTCATACCAAATTAAATCAGTTACTTATGACAATTTAAAGTTTGTGGTTCAGATATAACATTTGGAGAAAAAACATTTTAAATCAATGATCTGCTACATTTGAGGCTCATGATTGTTGGTTTCAAATGTGTACACTTTCTGTTGACCCAAAACTGAACCAAATTTTTTCATCTAACTGACAAAAGCACCATCAGGTATTCTTTGTGAGGGGGAGGAGTAAGGGCCCATCAACTCTTTACCATAGCCTAATGGAATTGAGCGGCTGCGAACAGTCACTTCACCTTTCTTAGGGGACAGGGGGGAGGTGCAAGCCTTCTGACCCTTTACCTAGACACCCTGGCTTCAGCTTTTTTTGTCAAAATGTGAAGCTGTTAAATTTTTGTTTTCCGTGTAAATCTTCATTAAGGAAACGATAAATTTTATATAATCTTACTTGTTTAACTTTCTGGAAACATTTTTTCCACAATCTGTCTCTTTCCGTTGTTTTTGGGGTCTGGTGCATTTTAAAGAAGTACTTTAACATTTTTGGTGGGATGTATGATTCCTACCTGGTAATTGCTGAGACAGGATCTAATTTCAAACTGCTATCAATTGAATCGAGGGCTACAGTGCACAAGACTTGCGTCTGCCCTCGCTGGAATAATGCTGAGCCATGAAGAGGTTTGTATAAGTCTGTTCGGCAGGAAATATCTCGTAAATCACTAAAAGCACGACCATCACACCTAGGAAAAAATTCCAATTAAAGGTGAAATAAAGCTTCAAAGGCATTCAGGGGGGAGAGATGTAGAACAATTTGGGGGTAGCATTAATGTCTAAGATTAAAAATTTTTGACATGAACTTTTTGAGATTTTGCCCCGCTCATAAGAGAAACCGTTCTTTAGACAGGGTCTGCCAAATTTTGACTTGCATAAATCTATTCCGATTACAGTAAAAATTTTAAAAAAATGAAGGTATAGATAAAACGCATTGAAAAATTGCTTGATTATTGAAATGAGAAAGTAGAGACTTCAAAGATACTCAAAAAATGTAGACTAAAAAGTGCATTATCATCAACATTTTTGCCAACTTTAATTTTATACAGAGAAAACCACTACCTCTATATTAAATTTTTGTCAGTGTGTTCTATGGGCAAAAACAAAAGTTCTTATGAAATTCTGAAAGAATACAATTATTAATTTCTCCTGTAAAAATGATTCGCAGGTTCTACGAGCCTTGATTCTTCAACAAAAAAATGTAGGTATTTATTGAATGGCTGAATCCACGAGTTGATATTTTCAAAGCAGAATCAACAAAGTCAGGATAAAACGGCAAACATAAAATCTTCATTTACTGAATGATTTTACTTATTTGTTTGGTGAGTCATCACTTATTTTGGAAAGGTATAGTTACTATGCCCATTGGAGCAACATTATCAACATCTGTACAGTTGATTTTTTACTTTAGCTGCTTAGAAGTGTCAAAATTTGATTTCCCTTGTTTCAAAACCATAAGTGAATGAAACTAAAGGCAGAAAATATCCCGACTTACCGTCTTTCACTATCAAAAATCAGCATCCGAAACAGCTCTTTGAAAATGGCATCAAATATTTCAGCAACAACTTCTCCTTTGATGTCTTCATTGCGAGACAATGTTTTATCTATGACATCATCTTTCAAATCCCGCAAAGCCTTGTCACGCTCTAGTTTGTCCAGAGAGAAATCTGACAAAATTTGACGTAATCGCATCTCACATAAAATTCTTATGCTATCCACTAATTCCTCTGTGGGTTTTGCTTGGACAGTAAATGTTCTTTTTTCTTTCCCTGCTATTTGCTGTAACATCGAGATGGCGCTGACTATTTTTTGACATTCTCTTGTTGCCAGTTTGACTGCGCTCATAAGATCTTGCTGAAGAATACACTTGGCAGATCCTTCAATCATTACTACAAGATTTTTGGCAGTGGCACTTACCACTAAATTTAAAATACTATTAGCTAATTCTCGTCTTGTTGGGTTGACAATGAATTCATTGTCTATAAAGCCTAATCTAACAGCGCCGATGGGTCCGCTCCAAGGAATATCTGAAACAGCCAAAGCTGCAGATGCAGCATTAATGCTGAGCACTTCTGGATCATGAGCACTGTCAACAGCTAGGAGATTGCACATAATTTGAGTCTCATAATTAAAACCTCGCGGAAATAATGGTCTGAGAGATCTATCAATCAACCGCCCGACAAGGATTTCTTGGTCGGACGCCCCGAGTTCTCTCCGCAAGAAATTTGTTGGAATTCTACCAGCAGCTGCAGCTTTTTGTCGGTAGTCTACAGTAAGAGGGAGGAATGAAACAGTAGATGGTTTAGTTCTGCTCACAGCGGTAACCATCACAGAGGTATTTCCTAGCTCTGCCACAGCACATCCATCGGCCAGACGAGCATACTTGCCCGTTTCCAATTTTAAGACTGATCTGTAAAAGAAAAAAGCCAATAATAGACGTTTTATCAATGTAGAAATTTACTTGTAATTTCACATGAAACTCATTTCGAATCTGATCAATAAATGAATGGTTGAACTTGAAACCATGTTTTTTATTTCCAAAAAGAGGCATGTTAGATTTTGGGCTGCAGATTTGTACAGATCATTCTTCATACCTGTAATATGAGGGATACAAATTATTAAGGAATTATGCTAATTTTCTTTTAAAACACGTAAAGGATAAAGTAAAAGGAAGTAAATCCAGATATTTGGTTTCTGCATTTTGCGATCAATACTATCTATGAGTCAAAAAAACATATTCATGCCTTAGCTACATTTGCAATAACGTTTCAATACAAGCTGAATGTAAATCTCTCAATCGGAAGGGAGAGGTGCATAGTGAAAGCCGTCCCGTTAATGCTGTCGCAACACCTGTATTCAACTGGAAGCAGTTTCAATACAATTTGGAAAAAGAAGTAATGCGCATCTTTAGATTCCCATAAAAATGGCGTAAGAACGCTAAAAACTAAATTTGATTACTCCTTTTGCACAGTGCTTTTTCACTTACTTGAACCATACGATCTGCTTCATACCAGGGTTTGTATGAATGCGCTCTTTTTAGATCCAAATGCAACCAAAATTGAATGAGTGGGGATACAAAAACGAGGTCCGTGATCTGTGTCTTTTTCAATACATGCTACAAATATATACATACTGAGATGTACTCATATGAATATAGCTACAACTTAAGGTGATTCGTCACGGAATCTGGCGTGGTGGAACTAGCGTGCAGTATAACGCATCAATTGTATTAAAAATCTTAGTAGATTTTTAATTTTGAGCAAAAAAAGGACGAGAGTCCCTGCGCTTGAGCCTGAAGCGTTATTCTGGACAAAAAAATTGGCAAAATTCAGAAAAATGAAAGCAGAATCCTACTTGGAAAAAAACCTCGCATTGCATACAGTTATCCATTTTTGTATCAAATGCGAGGTTTTTTCCAAACAAAATTCTACTGTCATCTCTCCGAATTTTGCTAATTTTTTGGTTTAGAATGGTTCTGTAGGCCAGGGCTATCATCCTTTCTTTGGCTAAAAATTCATAAACTGCCGAGATTTTGTTACTCAACTGATGCAATATATCGCATGCCAGTTGCATTGCGTCATAAACCTTAACTAATCACCTTAGTTAAATAAGCCTTCAGCTTGATTAAATTTACTTTGAGTGCCAATTCACAATCTGATACTGTTTCGAATCTTTAGCAGCAACTGTCTTATTCTGTCAGTGTTACTATGCAAGTCTTCTTCCTGTTTCAGGTTCACAAGAGCTCTTTCCGTTCATCAGTCAATTTGATCGAATGCATTCCTAATATTGTCACCTTCCCGGCCAAAGTATCACAAGCGCCGGGGAACATTTCAAAATTTCCGCCGCCATTTTATATTTTAAATGAGAAATTATTCAATTAATCTGTCCAAAAATTTCACTGAATTTTCTTTGTGCTGTCAATAACATTTAGTGATATTTTCAAGCAGATTTAACGGACAATTTCCTGATAAAAAAATAAAATGGCGGCGGAAATTTTGAAACGTAGCATGGCGTTTGTGATACTTTGGCCGGAGGGTGACAATATTGCAGTGACCCCATGAAAATCACATTTAAGGCTAAAATGCAAACAAATTTTTATCTGAGCAGACTTGTACTAAGAGTGCTGCACTCGGAGCTAACTGAAGAATGTAGTTTGCTCTTAATCCCATGTTGGCATTTTGGATTAATTGATTGTAAAGAGCTGAACTTCTTACTTGAGTTCGGAGTAAAAAGTAAAAAGCGAGTGAAAATAAATTACAAAAAGGAGCATCTACTTTTCGGATGGTGAGTTTCGCCATGTGCAGAAATAATAGTATGGAGCTGAATACCTGTTATTATCAAAGTTAACTTCAACGTCTGACGCCCCTGCAGCCGAGTAATTACGCCGAAGAAGGGATCCACCTTTTAAAACTGGGAATGGTGGATTCCTCAAGGAATTAATGACACGCGTCCTCATTTTATAGTAGTTTCACTTAATTCTTTCTTTCATCATCACGAAATGCCGGGACAAAAATTGTCAATTGCATGTTATCACCATGGATAACCTCAAACTAGACGTATGCCAAAGAGACTCTTACACAAGTCGCACCCGACCAACACCCGACCTACGCTCGAGGGTGCGTCGAATCCTGAATCCTGACATAATTCCAAAATTCATGGGACAAATCAATATGAATTTAACTGATTTGGTCCAAAAGTGTCATTATCTTTCCAAAGGGCACACACATTTTTAAAAATGTATGTAGCTGCAACGCTACTGTCGAAAAAATCCAGACAAATTTTGCTCTTGCCTGCCTGACCTATTTCTGTCTGTGCTGTGTGAACGTACCTCAGAACCTAACCTAAAAAAGTAAATAGGAAATTCCAATTCCGCACCTGGATCTGCTTGATAAGGTCTGAAAAGACCGCAGTGCTGTGATCTCTTTGGTATTTCCACATACTTTAATTTTTTTTCTTATCTTACACACCTTGTGACCCTTTAGAAAATATAAAGTCATTACATGTATCGTTAAATCGTGACCAATTTTTACAGCCGTGTGTCGTGTCATAAACTCCACCACTGTTCGGTAAGTCCAGATAGTTTCCATTGTCCTGTCTGAATATCTTCAGGAATATTCAATCTTTTATAACTAATCACTTTCCTCTCAGAAATGGTCCGGTCCACAAATATTACAACCTTTGATTCATCAGGAATCTTTCATTCCACCGCCTGCAGAAGGAGGCAACGCCAGCATCACAAGCATCAGATCTGTGAAAGAAGTATGTACCATGGAGGCTATAAAAATTAAATCTTGGAGGTGATTGTCCTAACTTATATCAGTGTTATGAGACTTAAAAAATCTGTGGGTTATACATGGTACAGACAAGATCATGTGTTGTCGTACTTACCTTGCGAAAATAGCAAAGTATTGTCTCAACAATCAACCCGCCGTCGCCCAATTGAACACCTCTGTGCTGGTTTAAGTTCACTTCTAGTCAGGTGAATGATTATGTAGTTTGCCATTTCATCCTAAAACTGATAATGAGTGTAGCCATTCTCTTGCGGGTAGCACTGACTGGACAGCATTTCAGATTGCATAATTTAGAGTTCAAAATGTAGGAAAATGCAAAATGTGGTTGTCACAAAATGTGTCTTGTTTTTTCAAGGAAAGGAAGTGTGAGAAAATCCCTGCAAACCATTAATCTTTCTTGAGGTGGTTAATGAATGTTAATTCAATCATGAAATTAGTAGGTAAAGGGATGAATCTTTCAGGACCCAGACAACTTGACTGAACATTCTGAAGATATTCTGATGAAAGCGTGGAGTCTCTCTTTGGACATACCTACTTATTGGAGTTCCACCCATGGACCCTCTCACTATGGCTGTGGCAGGTCTTAAATCTTGCCTTTGTTTATTCGAAACAAGCTAATTTAATCTCTTCAATCCACAGCTGGTAAATTATGAGATTATTTAACAAGACATCTCCACTGAAAGACAGAAAAATTTAAAATTAAATATTTGCTCCCGTATAATGTCATATTTCACATTGTACCATGAAGATGCATAAGAATGGAATAGACACTATGATAATTATGACATTCCTCTGAATTGTAGAATAATTTGGTGCGAACTGCTCTAAGCTGCAAGCTTCATAAAAATCAATCATCATGTTCTTTAAAAGTTATTTTCCAAATTTTGTTTTCAGATCAGTAGCAGTCCACACATACCTCTTTTCTAATTTGGATTAGGGATTGACTGAGAAATTATGGCCACTATCTTGGAAAAAATTGCGGCCATTGAGGCCGAGGTAAGATCCTTCTTTTTACTTCTCATCTTAAAATTACCAAATGTTAAATATCGGAGACACCTATTCTTAACACCTTTTCGAGTAGAAAAAGTCAGGGAATTTTTTTCGGAACCCTAGTCTATGGGTTAAGCTGAAAAGTTAGTGCTCTTTTTTTATCCCACGCAAGGAACCCAGAGGAAAAAGGCCGGAGTGTGGAAGAACGTAAAATTATGCGAAACTTGTCCCTCTGCAATATTTAATTTATATGGATGGTGGTATATTTGTTCAGCTGTGAAAGAGTATGCAGATTCTAATTATTATAGCTTTCACTCTACTTAAATTCGGAAGAGGGTCCTCTCATCCTTAAGCCGTTGAGTCAGTGCCGTTGTAGGCAGTCACTGAATCTGGAATTGTAGGTATCAATAAGCAGGATTCAACGTAGAATGTATGCTGAGGGGCAATCATTTGTTAAAACCTTGAAAAGCAGTATTCCGCCTCCCATCTACCAAACCTTGAACCTTTGTAAAATTTCATCGTTTACAGCAATCTATACTGATCTAGTCAAAATGACTTAATATTCATTTCACTCCTTTTAAGGAACACCTCACTCTTTTTTCTAAATTAGAGGAAATTACTCATGACTTATTTTCGTTATCAAAGCATGGTTTCCAGAAACTTTCAATTGATTTTTTTTAAGCGGTTGCGTACTTTAATTATTTTACAGATGGCTCGAACGCAAAAAAACAAAGCCACCTCTGGTCATCTTGGACTCTTGAAAGCAAAATTAGCAAAACTCAGGCGTGAATTGATAACTCCCAAAGGTGGCGGCGGGGGTCCAGGTGAAGGTTTTGACGTTGCAAAAACAGGAGATGCTAGAATTGGTTTTGTAGGTCAGTGCTTTTGCATAATCAAAGGTTTCGAAAATACTTAATAGCATTTAATTTTCATTTAATTACAAGTTGTAAATTAGCAAGGGAGTCCCATCTGTTTTAATTATTTGAGAAATCACCCAGAATGTTATTAATTTAAGACCCCCATGGATCTAGTTATCCCTATATATATCTGTAGATCATCTCTTTGGGTTTTTAACAAATTTCTTTTTGTTCAGTTATTTTTCTTCTATACCCACCTAGAAATAAATATTCTTTTTCAGAATAAATTTTCAATTTTATGGAAAAAACTTCTTGTGAAATCGCCTCAGCTTTCCCACTTTGAAAGCCTGTTTTCTGGGCTTTCCCATTTTTACATGCCACTGATCGCAACTTGCTGGTCGCGTGGTTGAGGAGCCTCTGCATTGTTGGAATCTAAAAACTCAAGTTCAAGGTCATCAGTATTTGATGTTGTATAACATTCTACGTGAGAACCACAGGGAATGAACAGCTGCATTTTCAACTTTAATTTTTATATATTTGTGTATTTCTTAATCTATTTTCCTGCTCATAGCTGTCCAAAGGCATAGCCAATTGACCAAAAAAATTTTCTTACTCCTTCAGTATTTTTCAAAAATGTATTTATCAAAATTTTCATAAAATATTTTCCAATAATATTTTTGAAAGGGGCTCATACTCAACTCATAACTTTGCTTAATAATGATGATAAGTCGGCCTTAAAAAATTTAATGTGACAGGATATCTAAAATGTTGCAAACTGATGTAGGTACATGGCTCTATAGTTTCACCCAATATGTGAATAAGATTTCAGGGCTCCTGAAAATGACATACTGAAGCAACAATCAGGTAATGAAGCAAACAAGACCTTAAAACCAATCAAACTCTCAGAAAATGAACTGATAAATGAAAACAAAATATTTCTGTTATTATTTATTTCCAGGTTTTCCCTCTGTTGGAAAGTCAACCCTTCTGAGTAACCTCGCAGGTGTCTACTCCGAAGTTGCAGCCTATGAATTCACAACTTTAACCACAGTTCCTGGATGCATCAAGTATAAAGGCGCCAAGATTCAGGTCTGTTCTTCTAATTTTTTAAATTATCAGATTTGGAAACTGGACGGATTTTGAATTGAAATTAATACTCCAGTAAAAATTTAGGAGAAAGAAGATTGCATCTTGAATAATGTATGATTCTGAATATACATGATGAATAAATCTTTTCTTTTGATGCGTTTTGCATGCAATATTCACGTATCTTAGGTAGCGTTCTCAAGTTACTCTGTGTACTTTTCGGCATTTTTGACATCCCCCTCCTCTCTTGTAACGTTTTTGTGATGTAGGCTTCTATCCTTTAACAAGTATAAGCAAAATGACGTAACGCTCTAACCCCCAAAAAAAAAAGAGTTGTTTAATTTATGAACGGCCTCTTATCAAGGAGAATGTTTCTTAAGAAAAACCAGTAAACTGCTCTTTAAAATAAGTACTTGGTATTTTTTATGTAGAAGAAACAATGATGGAGGTAAATGGATGAACACACAGCTACTCTCTAACCAGCATTTTTAGAGATTGCTGCTGGTTTAGAGTACTGTAACTCTGTGATCAATTTGAATCTTGATGAATGATTTTCAAGTTCATTTTCACCCACTCAATATTTTCTGAGCTGCCTAAATAGTTTTTGGGTGTTCACCTCATCTAAGAATTTTGCACCATGGATGATGAATGTTTTGTTTGAATTATTTTACAGTTATTGGATTTACCCGGTATCATTGAAGGAGCAAAGGACGGGAAAGGTCGAGGACGGCAAGTCATTGCTGTTGCCAGAACTTGCTCTCTCATCTTTATTGTGTTGGATGTACTAAAACCTCTCGGTCACAAGAAGATTCTTGAGCATGAATTGGAGGGTTTTGGACTTCGATTAAACAAACAGCCTCCAAATATAGTTTTCAGGAAAAAAGACAAAGGAGGAGTTAACCTTCAATGCATGGTTTGTGCTTTCCTACCCTCAAAACTTAAACCTCTTCAATTTAAATTGAATAATCAAAGCAATTAATCAGTTGTGCAGCTGTGCAAGCCACAGGACCTTGTTTAATACTGTAATCTAATTATTTCTCCAAGATATTAGTGTCTATTTTGTCGTGATTACTCCCTCTTGTAAATTTAGGGCATGTCTTTTCAAATCCTAAAAAATTATTGAGGACATTAATAAATGAAAGAGGTAGGCATTGTGTTTGTAATGTAAAACGGGTTAATAGTTTAACCTTTTGTATTTATAATGAAATTTTCTTATTTCGTCTCTCTTCATGAACTCGTAATTAATTTTTGCCTTTTTGGGGGGTTTTTATGGGATCATCAAGAGAAATATAATTAAAGTCAACAAAATAGCTGCATTTGTGCCAGTCCTTTCACGGGTCCCTTTGATGAGCAAAGTTGCAGCTTTGGTGGGTTGAGCCTAATGGAGCTTGGCATGCGAGCTTAAAGCTTCAGAGGTTTTATCCAGTTGCAGTCTTTTATTTTTATATAAGAGAACAAACCATTATATTTCCCTTAAATTATTTGCAAATATTTTTAAATGAGAGGTAAAATTTCACAGAAAATTTCAAGAAAACCCATTGAATACTTTTATTTTTAGAAAAAGAAAAAACCAATAGTGGATTTTACATCAGCCATTGCCAAATTTAACAGGGCAATTTAATTTTTTACAAGAAGACGTTTCGGTGGATTCCTTAGAAACTTATGAAGAATTTGCTTTGCACTAAATTCACTGAAAGTTGGCCTAAATCTGCACAACCGTTTTCATCTTAAAAATTATAAATTGTCAAATTAAATTTGGCAATAGATGATGTGGCTTGATTCCTTTCTGCTTAATGCAGTCCATTTTTACTCTAACTGTCAACTTCACATTCTATCTTGTATGCACTAAGAAACTTTTTCAATTTACAGGTAACTCAATCAGAACTTGATTTGGACACAGTAAAATCAATCTTAGCTGAATATAAAATACATAATGCTGATATTACTTTGCGGTATGATGCAACAGCAGATGATCTTATTGATGTTATTGAAGGCAATCGTATTTATGTTCCCTGTATATATTTGCTGAATAAAATCGGTGAGCAAAATTATCATATTTCCATTCCAAGGGTTTTTATAACCCTTGGAAAGTCCTCAACTTGAGTATTGTTGATTATCACTCTTATTTTAAAGTCCTATAAAGGACTTGATTCATTAAAACAAAACAAAAAAAATTGAATAACTTGGAAGTCCTCAAAAGTGTTGAGGTCCAGGTCTAATTTCAGAAGAACACAATGTGCCGGTAATCTGTCAGACTTGGAACAATGACTTTTAAAGTTACCATAAATTGCAGTATCTGAGGCTCAAAAATTGTCTGATTTTAATGCAACTTTATACCGTCAATCAGCTGAATTGAATTGCTTACACCCTTCATAATATCAGAAGGCGTTTTCTATAAACAGCTCAATTACAGACTTTTTAGTGCAAATTCACCAAAATTGCTCCTAGCAAAAAAATGATCCACCTAGGTATCCTCTCGGGGAAAGGACACATTTTTGTTTCAATCTTAATGAGACCGGCAAAATGGAACATTTTCTAAAGTATAATTTCCTTATATACTCTACTGGAGAAAAATCTATCAGAAGCCAATAAAATTAAGGTACTCCGAGAACAATCTGAAAAGTTGCATCGAGCAAGTATAAAATTGTTTGCCTTCTCCATTTCTCTATTTTCTTTGGCAACAGGAAACTTTAAACCCGTATTTTTTATGTACCTGTTTCATATTGTTACAGCATACAAGATCAAGAAATATATGTATTTAGGAAACTCATTGTAATTACCTTTTTTTCGAAAAGTGACAGAAATCCTGCGTTCTTTGCTTGCATGGAAATTTTTCCAAGATTGCGATAAATAATTCCTAGTCAATTTTTGTATTTTCTCTGTCTTTTTATCTTTAATTATGTGCAATAATTTATTTTTTGTCTTCTCTTTTAGATCAAATCAGCATAGAAGAGTTAGATGTAATTTACAAAATTCCTCACTGTGTCCCCATTTCTGCCCATCATAAATGGAACTTTGATGACCTACTGGAGAAAATGTGGGAGTACCTAAAACTGGTTCGAATGTGAGTTCTTTAATTCTCTAATTATGTTTCTCATTTCTCTTTTTTCCTTTTCGATTCCAGTTTCTTTTTCGTTGAGCAGTTTTGAGAATATAAAAGAGGTGTATATATGTTGGGTGAACCAATATTGCAAATGATCTTTTGAAACCTTGACCCCCCTTAGTCTTTTTCATATATCAATGATGAAGTTACAAAATCACGAATTACTTTTTGTAACTTTGCATTTTCCATCACATGTTACTTTTTTGGGGAATAACGGATCATGATCATGATCAAAAAAAAAAAAAATGTTTGATTTGTTTTGTTCTCTCAAGATTATCAGGGCTTGCCAATCTGGTTTTTTTTTCAAGTAGAGTTAAATTTATTTTTCAACTACAACTGCAACTTTTGATTTCATTCCAATCATCAACACTGCCTGGGAGCTCATTTTAGTATTTTTGACTCGGATCATTGGCTTTCCAGTCAAGTACATACTCAAGCATCAATCCCTATTCAATTTTAGTTGAGTTGGCAGGACTAGACTCAACTTGACTTGAAATTTTAGTACTCCTGAAGCCCTCTAGATATCTCTGAAATTATTGCTAAAAATTCTCTCCGAAAAAATAGAAAATGAACATAAATTTTGAAACACTGCAATTGTAATGCAGGTTATTTGCATGTTCTCAGATCTTGTGCTCCAGCCGATGATGCAAGCCTACCTACTTGTAATTCTCAACATTTTGACGGAAAGAAAAATTCCCAATATTTTCCCCCAACATTCAGTTATTTTACATGTTTCCTGTTTCCGTGCTGGTAGTAAATTTTTCACCCAAGAAAGATTGATGAATTGAAAAACGGAATTCCCAAACAGAAATTCTTATAGTATAGATCAATTTTTTAGAGAACTTTGAGGAGAAATTAAGTGAGTTAACGCCTAAATCCAGCTCCAGTTGTATTAAAATCTTATGCTGGCACATCCATTCTTTTAAAGTTATTTTTTAGAAACTTCAATTTGCTTTAGTTATCATTTCATTGTATCTGTTGCAGTTATACAAAACCCAAAGGACAGTTGCCTGATTATCAGTCTCCGATTGTGCTACACTCAGATCGACGAAGTGTTGAGGACTTCTGTAACAAATTGCATCGCACAATCGCTAAGGAATTCAAATAGTAAGTTATCTGATCGCTTTTTTTTTGTCCAAGTCAAGTAGAAAGGAACTGATGCATGTTTTCCAACCAATGGAACATTAGACAAGGTACGAATTTAAGCAGTCTGATACATGTTTCCTAGTCAGAATTTCAGATTCGCTCAACGAAAATTACTTAAACCAACTCCTAACGAAGATTTTAACGTTTTTATTTCACATTGGTTACGAGGAATTTGAATTGCCCGCTCACAAGAAACTCAAAGCTCTACGCGAGTCAATTCGTGCACTACAACGGTTTCAGCAAGCCTCTCAATCGAGCAATGTTCATTTCCCACCATGTGTTGTTCAAACTATGAGCAATTTGCTATAGCTGAACCAAAGCGTCAAGATTGAGGTCGTCAGATATTTATATAGCAGAGACTGTCATAATAACGTTCAGCGCGTGATTTGAATCAGGTAGAGCATTGAGTTTTCATGAGCGGGAGGTTTGAATTCACGCATCAAGAATCATTAAATATTTTCGTAAGGAGTTAATTTCGGCAATTTTCGTCGTGTGTATCATGTTCTACGTGAAATTTTGGTTAAGAGACATGTATCAGAATGCTGAAATTCGTTACCTTGTCTAGTGGTCCATTGAGCTAGTTTATATACTTAGCTATTTTGAATTAAACTACATCAAAATTTTCTGCCAGCAAAAGATAAGTGACACAACTAAGGAAACTAATAATTTAACCATGCAGTATTGCGCTAGAACAGAATATACCTTTGAATTTAGTTTAAAACTTTCAAGATATTTTACTCCAAGTCAATCCTATGCAAGCGGGTTTTTATCTCGTACAAACGGATCCATTTTTACCTTTGCCTCATTTCCTCCCCCTAGTAGGTGATGGAGGAAAAAAATTAGACTTATTATTTGCTGAATGGGCCACTATGCAAGGTCTGAACTAGATAAAAACTTCACTTGTTTTCTTTTCAAAATCTTACATAGCGAACGATTCACACTATGAAAAGTTTGGAAAATATTCCTGAACGAATTATGAACAAGGATTTTTAACACAGATCAAATAAATGGCATCATTTGTATTTTTGCCTCTTGAACAATGTTTTTTGTGAACACCTATATCTTGTTTATGAGTTGATTCCCTAACTTCCTGTTGTGTAATTTACTTTCTTTATGAATTTTGAAGAGAGGACAAGTTGCATAGTGATTTCTTTCATACCTTGTCAAATGGCCCATCAGCCTGCATATTGAGCATTAATAACAAAAAGTCTCAACAATAATAAAACTAGATTCATGGATCTCTGGATTATTCTATAGAATTTACTGACTTTTACCTACAATCTTCTAACTGACCACTGAAACCACGGGTTCCTAGGGCCTCTGACAATCAAAGAACACTGATGATGAGTTTCTTTGCCTGCACAATTACGCTAGCACTTCAAGTCTATCCTACGGTAGTACTCTTTTCTAAATTATAAGTGTTGAAGTTATGTTGTGGCCTTGATAGTTCAGAAAGTTTTTTTGTCCCCTCAACCAATTTTTATGTTTAAAAATGAATTTTAGTTCATGGGAATTTTAAAGCTAAAAATATAACTGACAGAACACTTTTTACAGTCAAGGTGAAACGAACAGGGAAACTTACTTGTTAGAAAACCCTCATACAAGAACTATATTTGCCTTCTCCAAAATATTGCCTTGTTTAAAAGTCAATCCCTTTGTATTACTTTTATGGAAAGGAAATTTCCATGTTTTTCGAATCAGTATCTACTTTAGCACTGAAACTTTTATTTAAATATTTGGTAACTTCATTCCTTACTCAGTACTGTAGAGAGGTGCAACCTTGATATAGTCATCATCTCGTTTCTCCTCTGCCAAAGCTCTGTCGACATCAGGAGAGATGTTTGATAGATTTGTGTGTAGACTGTATTATTCCTGGGTCTCCATCACTCAACATTGTTGTGTTTTAATGAGAATATTTTCTTAAACAAAATGTACTAATTTCTTCCAGTGCCCTCGTCTGGGGATCATCTGTCAAACATATGCCACAAAAAGTTGGAAAGGATCACGTTCTGAACGATGAGGATGTCGTCCAAATTGTTAAAAAGATATGAAGAAGCCTCCTTTTGTATGTATCGATGTTATTTTTGAAGCTAATTTTGTGATTAAACGTGACTTTTTTTCTTATTTGATCGTGTGTATTACATTTCTCATTAGACCAACTATTTCCGTAAAGATCCCTTTGCCTACAAGAGGACCATGGGTCTGTTGCAAAATTTTGCTAGAGTAGAAAGAAGAGTTGCATCTTGTGAAAAATTACCCCAAAATCAAGATCAGGGCACCAGGATAGTCTGAGATTCACTCCTAACTTTGCAATGTGTGCATAAAATTTATATGTCCTGTTTTAAGATGTACACTACTACAAAGGTACAATTTCATACAGATCGAGTTACATCAGTTTCACAACTCCATGCAAACTGAAAATGAGCGTCTTTCAGTTAAAAAAACAAAAATATGTCATTTATCCAACATCTCCTCCTGCCTGATACTCAAATCAATTTCAATATTGAGTAGAAGTATAATATCAGAATAGGCAGTACATATATCATAAGCACCAAACGGTAAACTTAAAGGATCCATTGAAAACTGATTTGTGGTGACAAAAAAAGTTATTATGAATTGAGTTAGCACAAAGGCAAGAGCTATATTCACGAATTATTTTAATCGAATAAGAGATAGATTACAAAAAATTATTAGATGAAAATGGCGCTTGTGATGCATTGTTTGTCCGGAGTCATTAAAGTTAACAAGACGAAAAGTTCAAAGAACCAGCCAAAACATTTACCATTGTTGTCCAGCTTAGCGTTTGGATACTTTTCCCCAGTTATGGCATATGTTGCTTGTGATACATACTTCTCTCGACAGGGGCAGTCTTTGTGTTTTTAGTAGAGGTATAGCGGAAACTGACAGAATTAGAATAAATGACCAACAACATGAGTGACTATGTAAATAAACTTTAATACTTACATCAGAAAAAGAAAAATACTTAAAACAAACATCTTGGAGATTTCATGATGATGAACAAATAACTGGCAAGATAGATGCACTTATCGAGCTAACTCTTTCAGAGAAACATTGACAATATTGACATAGAAAGGACATAGACGTCTACACAAAACATAATTACATTATGAATATACACTTATTTTGGATACTTTAGATGAATTACTCCTCTCGAGTTTTTCCCAATCATGTTCAGAATGATAAGTTCTGTACTTTACAGTGGCGTGGAGAATGTGCATTTTCCTCAAACATGTCTCCGGAAAGCAACTGCAAACGCACGATTATGCTCTTATGAAAATAACGTCCAGAATAGTACATAAGTACTGTTCTGAGATTTTATATCATTTAAAAAGAATTAAAGAGAAAAAAGAAATACCTATTACAACATAATTTGACAGTGAAACTACAAGAACCTAGTCTTAACAATTTTGCAAATTTTTGCACCCTTTTTTTTTTTATCCTAGGATGCGACAAGGAATTTATTTAAAACATTTTAAAGGAATATTTGTGAGTGGGCACAAAAAAGACTACATACGATTTCAAGAACAATGAGCAGTCATCTTTCAAAAGAGAAAAATGTAAAATGAAATCTGCGATGTTGTAAACAAAGTTGCAAATGCAGTTACGTAGTTTCATCATCCAATTGCTGTTCTTGACTAAGTAATGTAAAAATCAGCGAAGGCCCTGAAAAGTTGGATGTCATCAAACCTCAAGCAACTTCAAAAGATTTAAAAAGCCTTTCTCAGCTACAGCACTGCAGTGAGGAGATACAATATTCTTTATATCACTTGAGGTAAAGAGCTCTGTTTCTCTTAAAGACATATATGTAATTGAAAGAAGAAATCTTGCATTGTATTTAAGGTGTTCTAACTGACTTAATGAGAATTCTTAACAGATAAAAACAAACTTACTCCTTTTTCAAGCACTGCCAGAGAACTTTCTTCGTTCTCCTGATAAACCATAAAATATCACTCTTTCCCTTACTACATATTAAATTAGAACTAAAAAAACTGAAAATTCTCCATCAGAAGATTAGAATTAAGGAGAGAAATGATTAGGAACGGTCAGCAATGGATAGAAATAAATTGAGCAAGAGTTTGCAAACTCAATAAATAGTTTCCTTTGGATCAAAATGTGATACACAATTAGTTCAAATTATACCGGGCGATTGTATTATGTACTAAGATTTATTGGCATTCATCAGTCAAGGTACTCCTCACCAACTCTGCGAGATACGATGAGAAAATGGAGAAACTGGCCCTAACAGAGTCTGAAAAATACTGCTTTACAGCGGCGGCTATATTCACAAGCTGTTCAGACCAGGAGATGGTATACTCTTCCATCTTGCGTTAAATTTGGTTGGAAAATTCTCATGATGGGAAGCAATGGCTCATTTGAACATTTCTTCTTCTCAATTATTTGCAATATGATTCATGAAAATAATGAATTAGAGACAAAATAACAACAAAAAAAGAAGAAAAGAAAAAATAATACTAAAATATATACAAAGTTATTTCATCCTTATCTCCTCTGTCTAGATGATGAAGGTGCTTTATTTAGGTCCTTTAATTAAAAAAATTCCCTGACATTCCTTTGTTTTGCCATAAACACTTTTGACTACATGTGCCAAAATTCTCGAACTTCCCTTGGTCTACTACCAAATTCTGGACCACATCTGCTAAAACACAACTATAAAAACCATAGCGAGACAAAAACATGGTGAGATTTTTAGTTTAAGAATCTGAATCAAAAAATTTCTTGATAACAATAGGAATTTCACGATGTTTCCAATTTTCAATAATCCCTAACTCTTCTGGCTTTTTTTCAATTCTAACTTCACATTTTGAAAAGCTTATCCTCAAATCTTCTTGCGATGGACTGCAAACCTTCAATCATCACGATTCCCATTTAGTTTGGTATTTTGAAACTTTTTTCGACAGCAAAATAATCATATTTATCTCACTAATGCGATGATTCAACCGATCTCATTTCAGGTTTTTCGGCATGAAGATCTTTCTCCCCGTGAATGGTCACGCATGATAAAATTTGTGATTACAGTGATCTTGCTTATTGTTTTTGAAGGGGGATATTTTCTCACCAAGATAGGGTACTGTTCAGTGAAAGCAGAACTTTTAGAATTTTATGCAACTGCACCTTGACAGAGAAGATAAACAAGAGAGAACGGATTGCATTCATTAAAAAAGAACCAACTTGTGAGGTCAACTATCTCCCTTGTATTTATGCTTTTACATCAGGAACCCATCTCACAGTGCTAACTGAAATGTACATGGACAAAACATTAAGAGAGAAATGAAGAGTATTAATTTTTACCGTAATTTTGACTGGAAAAACCAAGAGATGATACTTTATAGTTGATAAACTATATTGCAGCTAGATGCATCAATAATTAAGAGAAAAAAATTAATAACTTTTTCATTAGATTCTCAGTTTTCCCAGCAGTTCAGGGATGATATGCTATCAAGTAGCCATCAGTTGATACAGCGTCATCTACAAATTGTAAAATCAACTGATGTCCTCGAACCACCCTTATCCAATATTGAGTGCTTGCAAGCATGGGTGATTAGTACCACAATTTTCTTTTTTTTATTTGTAACAATAATAATTTCATGCTTACTTTAAAAAGGAAAAACTTAAAAAATCATTGCCAGTATGAGTCGGTAATTTTTGTTTGTTTCCCTAAAAATGAATAAATAAAAAGATAAAAAAAATACAGTACAGTACATTACAGGGCGATTTACAATAGCCAAACGCAATTGGTTACTCTCCGATGAATACAGTCCAAATGTGATGATTACATCACAGAGTATAAAAAAGGAGAAAAAATAACAAATAGATAAAAACAACACAATAAAGATAAAATAAATTAACAATCATAACTCCATAGTTAAAAACGTGAACAACGAAAGAAGAATTAGACGTACGAGTGCTTTGAACTGAAACTACAAAGGTATTAGGAGGGGAAAAGGGGAGAATGTATCTCATACAATCGTAAATTTTCCAGTTCAAGAGAGACAGCAGAGAGAACTCAATTTTTTGTGCCAACACAACCCATCTTGTTGTATTCTAAACAAGTCAGAGTGACTAGGGATAAAAAAAAGTCTATTAACAAAAAGAAAAGAAGAAAAATGATAGAATTGATTGAAATCAGAACCGGACCCTGGGAAGAATGGGTTTAGAATTTATTCCCTGGAAAGTGAAAAAAGAGGTTCAATAAAGATAGACTAAATTTGAACAATCTGCGTGCTGAAGGCACTTGTGGATAAATCATACTTGGATGTTTATCCGGAACAGAAAAAACTTGCGCATATGATACGCTAGGAAAAATTCCAGAACAATGATTTTCAACTGCAGTTTTCATAAGTTCTAGACTGCTTTGTTTAAAACAATTTCTGAGTTTTAGTTGAAATAGTTTGTTAATCAGATCCATAGAAAGTTAATGAATATGTCATGAGCATGGTAATAACTTGTGAGAAGGAGTCTTCAAATGAAAACTGAAATGAAAAAAGGAGCAACAATGTGCATTAAGGGCTGCTTGATACTGAGAGGAAAAAACAGAGGTGTTCGTGAGATTGAACTGGCAATCATTGGACCACATCGTCATTAAGTGCCTATTCACCAAACCTTGAAAACATTGAGACCTCTTGATCCAAGATGATGAGCTGAGTATTAAGAAAGGGATTGATAATCTACAAAATATAAAAATTGGTTCGGAATCTTACAGAAAATTCCCCTCACACACGGGAAGTGTCCCCTTTTACAAAAAGGCGAGCACAAGTCAATCGCCACAATTCTTCCAATGTTGTTGTAGTTCTGCATCAAAATAATGCAAAAGGGCAAATAAAAAGCATTTTTTCGTAATATTCAACTAAATAAACAAAAGAGGGTAGGGATTTTCACCACTAGAAGAATATTTCAATGACATAGCTTTAATATATCGCAGCATCGATGATTCCATAAACCCATACTTTATAATGACAGAAATTCTGCAAAATTTTTGAAAGCAAAAGGGTCATTCTATGACTTTACATTTCGCAGCTCGTAGTTTTACGCCATATGCCATTACAAAAATTAAGGATGACATAATTTGACATTTTTAAATTTCTTAACTGATACATTCTTGTCAATCGTTCATTTTTAGTCTACTTTCTGTGGTTATAAAGAATTTGCTTCTGCTCTTCTTGTTTTTTGATCAGCATTATCGTATTTTCTTGTATTTGGGCTCAGAGAAAAATGTTTTTTCATTAATAAAAAAATAAAAAAAGTAAAGTTTCAAAATTAGCGGTATGAACAAAAATTAGCCAAACTGCATGTCAAATTGCCTGATTTTCTCGTGTGTTTCACTTTCCTCATGAAATATGAAACAACATAATATCTTCAGAGTTTCTACAAATTTTCATTGAGTAGGTAATAATGAATATATGTACCTTTAAAAATCCAAAGTACTGTGTTTCTCAGATTTCTGATTACAAGGAAAGAAGAAGAATAAGAAGAAGAAGAGGAAGTGAGACAAGATGAGAAGGAATCGCATGATATGTAATGCATTTAGGATGATTCTGGTTTACATGCTGTCCAATTCAGTATTGATTCATTTTCTTGTAATAAAAATAATATAAATGCGGAAATTTTGAAATATTATGATTGAGATTAGTGGTCTTAAAGCTGGTGAATTCATGATCATAAATGCAGCCTGCATGTCTGTAAAGGTATCGTTGCAAATCGTTGGATCAGCAACCAAAAACAATGATGATAGAAAAATCATCTAAATAACATAAAGTACTTGAATTATAACATAGAAATAGGTACAGAAAGAACAATGTCACATTTACTTTTAATTGGCAAACCCCGCATAAAAACTTAAGACTACAACCTGAACTGTAAATATTGTCAAAGAGTCAGTGGGGGCTCGCTTATGTGGACTACAAAACCAATTTCATTTCAAAAGTTCGTGTGTTAACTTTTGAGAGAATACATGAATTCAGGTACACAAGATAATTACTGGAATAAACAAACTTCTTGGTTGACTTAAGCCCTAGAATATAAATTAAAGCTCAGACTTGTTGATTTTTGGAGAAAAAAGGTGACAAAGTATGATGAAACACTTTTCGGAATCAATCATCTTTCTTCATTGAAGATGAAGCTTTGCATGGAAAGAGAGGACACATCGACAATGAAACTGCAAGAATGTGTGTCTTGATTGAGGTGTTTCAAAATCTCTCCTATTTTATTTTTTAAAATGAGACCAAACCAACATAATGGCTCGAAGTTTTTTTAGAATATTCTTTACATAGAGAAGTTTTCAAGAAATGACGTTGAGTAGTTTTCTGCTTGGAAAATAAAGTATGGCAGGAATACTGCAACGCCACAAACCAAAATTCACGTTTCTACAGTTTCACCATCAATATGTGTGGGAACAGAAAAATATAGAGAGAAGATTTTCTCAACATCTAAGGTGTGCCAAAAGAAAAAATATGATTTAAATCTACAAAATTTCAATTTTAAACTCAAAATTCATGACTTAAATATGCTTTTCGTTCTTGTACCTTGCTTTCAGCTTTCAAAATTAACTATCTCCGACCAAGTGTCTGACAATATGATAACTTAAGGTATCACCTTGTCATGGTTAATTGTGTAGGGGAAGAAAAAAAAAGAAAGAAAAACGCCTCAAGAATTTTAATGAAAACAGTGATGGAGGCTCCTTTTCCTTAAGGATTTAATGACTGACAATGATTGAAACAGTCTGAGCTTCGACATTCCTCCCTCTTAAAAAAAAAAAAAACCTGTTAGGATTTGATGGAGCACTTGGACTGACCTTACCCAGGCAGTCATCGACACTGTTACCGAGTCTGATTGTTTTGTTGCTTATGAAATTTATGAGCTGCTTACAACAAAACCGGAAATCTTACATTAGTTTGGAACAGCTGAAATCAATTACAATGAGATAAAATTGAAATCAACCGAGACTTCTAGAGCATGAGAAAACTAAAATTTACTGGCTGATTCACAACAAAATGCGGCTCATACAGATTACAAAAAAAAATTTCCGTCAGAGTTAAAGTAAAGGGACACAATCCCACGAAATATCTCTGTATACAAAAGAACTCCATCATAGATCGACTCATTGTCCATACATGCGTCAAAATAGCCTTAAAATTTAGAATTTCTTCATCAGGGTTTTTTTTTAAATAGTTTCATAAGTTTTGAAATTGTTTAAGAAAAAATTGGAAATTGGATAGGTTGTCACTGAGCAGAAAGAATCTACATACCTACAAATAGAGTTTGGAAAAAAAGGCTTCTTTCTGAAAGCACTGTAAGTCGTTTTCTTTCAACGCCTTGGGTTGACACATCTCGTTTACCTCGTGATGTCTAATTTTTGCTTTGGTAAAATTTAAATAAATATTGGACAGAGAGAGGGAGACAGGGCTTCATTTAAATTTTTTTTCTGTGGTAAATTTTTGCACAATTATTTGTTTTAATACTCAAAATACACCAGTGACTGAGTCTGACTTCAAAAAATTAGATGCTGTAACTGGCAGACTAGGCAGGGGCTCGTTAGTGTCTTGTGTCTTAATCATTCATTTACTTTGTTTCATTTCTCTCTCAGCATTCTGGGACAAAGTTCTTTAGCCCAACTCATCATAGTAACTGATCCCTCTCTTTCTCCCCCCCCCCAAAAAAAAAAAAAAAAAAAAAATTTGGAAGCAAGGTCTTGAATAGGAAGTAAGGGTAGAGCTTTATGCCATAACATACTGAAATAAACGGGACGGTTTTGGTGAAAAACATCAAAGAAAAAGGAATATGCACTCATACAAAACATTCCTGGATGCCCATAAATTTCTTTCCAATTCGAAGTATCAGATCATCATTCTCAGCGATCAGAATCAGAAATTTTAACGAATAGAAAAATAGTAGGACTGATACCAATGGCCAAAATGCGAAACTACATACCTCTGTTCGCAACATTGCAGGCTTCCTGACATATTTCATTTTTTCTTTGGAAAACTTGTCACCATAATTTCTTGAAAACTGCATTGATAACTCTTTTCTATTAGCAGAATATTCTGTATACATTTCAAGCCATTAAGTTGGCTTGTTTCTCTTCCAAAAAAAATAAAATAGGAGCAGAAATTTTGAAACACCACAATATAGATACGTGGTTTTGCACTTTGGCCATATCAGCCTTGAACAAGGACTCTAAAATACAGACAGTCATGTATTCCCTAATTCTTCAGCAAGATGGGAACATTACTGCAAAAAGAAAAAAGATATTCTTCAATGACAATTATTCAGTGCTCACAGAGGAGTCAAAAATCAGTTCACAATCAGTGGCCATATAGTAAAACATTAGAAAATCTTTCATTAGATCAACACATGAAGAGAATAATTCAGTGTCATACTGGGTTCATAACGCAGTTCTTTCCTAGGGATATTGGGGTAGTATTGTAACTGCTCCAGATCTGAAACCAAAGTTTCTGTAGAGGTGTAGAGAAAACGCAGCATTAATGACACAAAGGCTTGTGGCTTGTTAACAAGATAAATCCCTGTTTTGAATGTGACAAGCAGACGTGTGAGTTCATGTTAATGAGCATAATTTACACTTGATTTTGACAGCTTTACTGAGGTGAGGCTTCCTACAGTTGATAAGAATTCTCTCTTACATCAGGTTGAACAACATTGCATTAGGAAAAACTCTTATTTGTATGGATGGAACTGAAATTGCTTCCAGAGAAAATTAAGTACATACACGCAATCATAAATTGATATAAATCATACATCAAGGACTTAATATTAAATTCATACCCAAAGTAAGCAGACCCAAGTTCTCCCAAAGTTAATTGGATAGGTTTATGAAACATATTATGAAGTTTTCATTTACAATTTCCGGAACTTAGCTGTTATGTTGCAATTCAATAACGTAACCACATTGGGAGACTTTCCCTTTGCCATAAGCTACAACACCTTTGCCATGAGATAACAGAGAATTCTCAGTAAATCGATGGAGACAAATTTCAATATTACTATAACAAAGGGACAGAGGTTTATCATGCATTTTTAAATTCTTTGCACTGAGATCCCAGCACTCTTTAACATGTGAGATGCTACGAAAATCGAGTCCTGCTACAGGATATCACATTTTGGAGAATTGTTTCTTCTTTGTTCTAGTTACAAACGAAATCCAAAATTATACATTCTCCCACTAATGTTAAATCCAACACCACCACTGAAATTAAAAAGAAAAAATGGGTTAGTAAAATACCATTGATTAAACCTGTGCTTCACAGTGTAATCTAAGAATGGAGTAAGAAAAAATTATGACATCATATAATTCCTTGCATACGAATCAAAATGCTTGAAAAGCTATGGAAAGCTTCTTCACAAAAGTATGCTAGTATTCACATCTTTGAAGGTACAGACTTTGATGTAGACATGGCTGTTGCTGTGAATCGGTGACGATAGACAGGGCCATTGTTAGATATTAAGTGGTTGCCTTGGCAAACATGAAATTATCTTGACTTGCACAAAAATTGACTTGATCAAATAATTTATACAAATATATTACTCTAAGAGGGTACTACAGAGTGTCTACAGACTCAGTAGGAAAAAATTCTCTGACTTTTCCGGGTTTTCCAAGACCAAAATGATCTAAAATTCTTAACTTTTTACATCAAAAATTTTCAAGTCTAGAACTGAAAATGACCAGTTAATTTTCATTTAATTTCACTGCAAATGATAGAAATTCATTCCAGGATATTCCAAGTATTCATCATTCAATTTTGACTAAAATTGCTATTCTTTATTTAAAATTATTTGCCTTAACTCAAACCAATAAACCCCAAACCAGGTTGAGACGCAGTTTAATTCTGTTGACAGCGCTGATGTATTTTCAAATTTTAAGATTTTTTTTTATTTATAGTCTTTTTTGTAAAATTCCCTAACTGGATAAAATTCCCTAGCAATACCCAGTTTCCTAGACCTGTAGAATATCAGAAAAGGGTTATTCACTTATTCTCTTACGTATGGGCAAGAGCTAGGAGAGTGCAAAGTGAATTCCTTTCCGGAAATTCGCAACAAAAAAAATTTACTATTCTTCCAAGTTCATTTACTTATCACCATGTAGAGATAGTCTAAAGTACCTTATTAGGTCAATGATGCGCTGCTTGTCGTTTACTTTTTGTTGTTCGAGAGGGATTGCTATTTGATCCATTCTTCGAAAGACCGTCACCTGCAGCAGACACATCATCTATTCGAAACAATCTTATCCTTAGGTGCTCGCATATCTCCATACAAATTCGTTTACAGTACAGGAAAAGATCTAAAGTTGCCCAGATCTGATCAAAGAGAAAAAGAGAGGATTAAAACTTTGATGATTGGTTAACATGAGAAAAGTGGAGAAAAATGGAAGTCTAATGAGAGAAAATGTCAAAAAAAAAGAAAAAAGACCATAGTGTGTTGAGTGGTAATTGGAGCACGTTAAGTAGAATGGAACCAACCCACATAAGCTATGGCCAAATTTAATGTGGCAATTCAATTTTTTACATAAAAACGGTTAAGAGGATATTTATGGAAATTTCAGTGAATATTATGCATAGCACAAAGCAAATTCCTTAAAATTTTCAAAGGAATCTACACAAACGTTTTCTTGTAAAACATTGAATTGCCCAGTTAAATTTGGCAATAGCTGATGCGGTTGTAAGCGTCTTGGTTCATTTCTGCTAAACATAATCCAATTAGGATAAGAAGGGCTGTGCGACCCTTTAAAATGTTAGAACTGGTTTGACATGGATGGCCATTTCGGGTTAGTTTGCTTTTAAATATCAATCCGGAAAATTAAAATTTTAAGTACGGTTTTTTGCAGTTTAGCAAGCGTTAATGGATACTTGTGGTTTTCAGCAGGTGCTCATCATTATTTGCGAATTTTTGCAATATTGATAATATGCACACATGTGATAGTGGTTTTTCCAAATTACTTTCAATTTTTTGCAAAATATTGCCGGCCTCTCAAATTCTCACATAATTTCACAAATTTCATAGGAATTTATTAGGAGATTAGGGGTTCTTTACTATCGCATAGGTGCTCATGTACAATCCCGGTTTTTACCGAGTTCAGAACCTGAAACAAATCGAACTGCCAAAATTGAAAACTCAAATTGTAGTTACTCATACAAAAAACTATACAACAATCATTATAGCATGAATAATTGTATAAGATTCTTTCTCATATTTTTTAGCCCAAAGTGCAAAAATACTCATGATCGATACTCATGATATCGATTTTTAAAGTACTGTGAAAATGGGAACTCCTCCCCCTGTCCACTCCTTAACTCACTGGGGGGACTTTTTTTCCAACTCTCAGTAAGCCGCGGTTTAAATATTTCTCTCCCTTAACCTACAAAAAAAAAAAATAAAAAAAAAAATAAAAAATAAAAAAAAAATAAATAAAAAAAAAAAAAAAAACACTTATAGTTGATTTTTTGTTCAGTTTCCTGATAAATGCCCACTTCTTGCCAGATGAAACAACATTCAGGATATGTACTTTCAGTGTTTAAGGCTAATTGGCCTGTTGCAAACTTTTGCTAGAGCAGAATGAAGAGTTGTTTCCCATAGATAATGCCTCAAAAATCACGATGAGCGCATCGGCAAAGTCTGAAATGCACTCATAAATTTACAATCTGCGTTAGAAATTTGCGTTATTTTGAGCTTCCCGCTTCAAAAACGATACTACGGTACAGGTGAACATTTTGTTAGAGGAGTCGCTCCATCGTCGGCAATATTCATCATGGCCGACGCTTGCGCAGTTCCTCGCGTAATTCGAGGAGAGTTCAAGGTCAATTAAGGCGGGCGAGGAAAATATGAACGTAAACACGCCGATTGTTAAATGGTTTAATCCTGTTCAGGTGTTATCTCGTCCCATCACACGTGTTTTGGCGGACTGGCGTCGGCCATGATGAGTATTGTCGCCAATGGAACGACTCCTCTAACAAAATGTTCACCTGTACCGTAGTATCGTTTTCGAAGCGGGAAGCTCAAAAAACCGCAAAAATCTTACGCAGATTGTGAAGTTATGAGTGCATTTCAGACTTTGCCGATGCGCTCATCGTGATTTTTGAGGCATTATCTGCAGGAAACAACTCTTAGTTTTGCTCTAGCAAAAGTTTGCAACAGGCCCATTCTGGCACTTGCCAATTCACAATATACAAGAATATTAAAAAATGCTGATAAGTGAGAGGAAAACTCACCAGGCATAACCATAAAACAGTGTATTCACTGATAAAACAATTGAAATATTGATTCAAGAACAGCATAAGAGGTCCATACATTGAAGAATCTACATAATCCAATTCATTTTTAGTCATATGTGCAACCTGCAGGGCAAAAAAGATATGAGATAAAAGCTGTATTCATTCATACTGTCAGGTCTCTGTAATATCTTGACTGCCAAATCTAGGTCATTGAAACAACCCTAAAGTTGACAGATAGAAATTAATAACCAAAAAGAGGCCTTGACTGACCTCCATGACTTTATTTTGAATGACAGACTGTATCATTGTTGTAAGTCATGTTGACTTTATTTTGAATGACAAACTGTGTCATTCCAAATAAAGTCAACATCAAAGATCCGACATCATTTGTCCCTTGGAAATGTTACAGCAACTGCTTATTTTTTTGAGGATCAAAAATTGGTCACGAATCAAGGAATAAAGTGTTTTTAAAAATCGGGACTGTGTGATTAAGTCTTTAAAATCTTCTCAAACTTCAAGGATTTTATAATTGATTTTTGATGGGCGAAAATATTAGTTCTTGTTATTAGATCACACAGGGGCACACATCTGATCCTCGGTTTTCCTTGTTACTTTGGACAGTGGATCAAAAAAGCATTTTTTTGTTACATTTCCAAATTTCCTGCCCAAAGGCTGTACTTACGCCTTACCTCAATCAACAGTAACTCATTAATCTGTTTATTTGATGAAATGAAATAAAGGGATCAGAAGTTCTGAGAACAATTCTGAATTCAACAAATGCAAAAAAGATATCTGTGTGTGTTCAATTGTGCTTTAATCTAAAAGCACTGATAGGAATTTTTGAGAAAGCTTAAAAGTACAGATCTGATCAGCTGAGGGACAAGATTAAATATTCATCAGAGGATAGTGATGAAAAGGTTTGTAAATTTTTAAAGGATACAAAGTGAGTAAAAAAATAAAGAGGAATAAAAGATATAAAGAATGGGTAAGAATAGGTTTCAATATTGATTGATATACTTACTACTAATCTATTTGTGACTTTTGCTGTCACTAAACCAAATGCCAAAATGTACAGAACTGGATTTGTTTCATAAACATGTTCTGGACTCTTTCTATAAATTATAAGAGCTGGGATGAGGACGAAGCTGTATGGTATTATGGGTGACAGCACACTTGTTCCCTAAACAGCAGGGGAAAAAGTAATTGATTAGCACTAAGAAAAAACTAAAAAAACAAGAACAGACAGAGAATCATGATGGACATTATTGTTTCTTATGCAAAATGTTATCTGCAAGCATCGACTACAGAAAATTTGGAGGGTTTCCAATTTCAAATGAAAACATTTAAATATGATTTTAAGTAAATTTTCCACAGAAAAAATGTATTTCAGTAAATATTAGGGGGAATAATTAATTCTTGCACCAATGTTGATCAGTTGACAGAGAATCAAAACACTAGTGTCATCAAAAAAGAGTTCTGCAATTTTGTATCTTTCGAAACTAGAGAAAATGAATTATACCTGTGAAAAGGCATGTTTTGGACATACACTTCGCTTTAAAACAGACCAAAAATTTTGAAAATTTTAAAGATTGGCTGGCGAAAAAATTCGAGTTTGCTGAGGTCACCTGACGCCACTGTTGCTCCAGCTGGCTAGTCGATTGCACTAAAGTTTCCTAATTTTTTTTCAAAAGAAGAGTGATGGAAGCAACGGTGTTGGAATGTATATGTTCTCATGCTCTCGGTTTCAATTAAGTATGTTGGATTGACATTATTGATCCACCAGTTTACAAGGTTATCAGATTTTTAAGAAACGATCTACTGCTGTGGCACAAATTCATATTTGAACACAATGTCAGATTGCATACACTGCAAAAGTGTTTCTCCCTGCTCAAGAAATTATGCCCACAGCCCTTACAAAATTAAAGCAAAATATATTCATCAATATTATTTAAATTTAATGTAATGCCAGATTCACACAGCAGAATTCCTCAATCCAGGGCGTGCTGAAAGGTGAACAAGAGCTGTGAAGGCTGATCTTAGCGAGAAAAATGTTTTGTTTCCCCACTGACTGGTTGATCAATGATGTCAAAGCAATAGACTTGTATAAAGCTAAAATTATTAGGATCAAAATTAATGCAAGACCTTTGATTTTGAGGAAAAAGTTCGGAAACTTTGGTGCAATCTACTAATGTACCGGTATATGGTCCTTGTGATCCTCAGTAAAATTCAATTTCCTTGCCACCCATGAAACGATTTACAAAATTATGGGCATTTTTTCAAGCTAGGAATATACTTGATTAGTGCTTGGTTACCGATTTAATATATATTCTACATGTCATCTTACTTAATTTTTCTGGGGTAAAGCCCGTGCCCCATGATTAAATGAACTCATCAATGAAAGATGACGGAGATTTGTACTGATCTCTGCGCAATAAAAAGTTAGCGGGCCGTCAAATGTTCATGAATAGAGCCCATGTGGATTTGCGCGAAAACTAGTCCAGTACGCATCTCCGCCATCTTGCATTTGATGAGTTCATTTGATCATGGGACACGGGCTTAAGGGGTTTCAATTTAATGCTTCAGGAGCATATTAAAAAAAAAAAAAGACAGAAAAATTGTTCAAAGATTTGAGGGGATTTATATTCCAACTTGTCAAAAATCAGTGGTGACTAAACAAAATTTTTGCAACCTTGGCAAACATGCACCATTTGCAAGAGAAAAAAGAGACCAGGGACGAATAACGATATCAAATTAGTCGTATTTTGTTCGCCGCAACAATTGCTCTATGTTACAGATTTTGTATTATTTGCGTCACTTTTTCACAACTAACGAGAGCAGAGAAGCTAGGAGTGAGGATAGAAATCCTGTTAACAAAAGGTTGTAACATACTCCGAGCACATTGCAATTGTTCTGTAACAAAGTTTCGAAAACGTTGCCAGATTGTGCAAAAAATAAACTAATTAAAATAGGCCATGCCCCTTTTAACATAAATTACATCCAAAAAAAATATGGTTGTTACAAGCTGTTCTGAATTATAATGTCGAACAAAATACGTCTATTTAAAAAATTGGATGATGTAAAAAATAGAGAAATTTCCATAATCTTGCATAAGAGTGCCCGCTCTAGAATTTGACACACCACATCTGAGATATTTTTCTAGTGCATGAATCATAGTTATGCATGCTCTTTTAGATCTATACTTCATTTTTATGATGTAAAAACTATAATTAAAGAAATCGAAATATAAAGAGAAAGGGTTAACAGAAGTAGAAAGCAAGTTAAAATGTGTAAGAAAAGAATGAACGCAAGTTAGATCCAAAATCCATCCATGATGAAGCAGGAAAGCAAAACCATTCAAAGCAAGAATTTTTTAGAACAGTTTGGAATTAAACAAGATAAGGACTTGAAATATGAAAAATCGACGACCAAACGACATAATTTGGTCTTGTGACTTGCCCTGGACACATAAAGTTTGTACATAAAATTTTAATTCTGTAGTCAACAGCCAAAGAATCGTAGCTAACAAAAACAATTTACATTTTTATTAAGGATTTTGTACAAGTTAAATATTTGGTCCTATCTACACCAAATACGAAATACAGCTTTTGAAAAAAACACAAATGCACCACTAGACAGGCTAAGGATTAAACCATCAGCCTATGACATGTTTCCTTAACAGAGGTTTGTGCAAAACTCAAGTATCTTATCGGAAATTTCCAAAATAAACTCAAAAGTAAGAAATTAGCATTTGTTGTTTTCATCAAAATTAGTCAACTTAAACTTTCTTTCAGATCAAAATCAATCTAGGTCAAATTTTATAGAGTATACCGTTTTTGACATGAGAAAACATGTACCGAGACACTTGGGTTTTAACCCTGTCAATGATGCATTAAAATACCTCCCACTGATAACAATCTGCGGCTGCACTTTACGATTCTTGGGCTTTAGAGAACAGAATGTATAATAGTAAAATTGAAAATGAGAACTCACAGCTACGGACGATCCATTCTTTCCCACACCACCTGAGAAAATGAGCGTTAAGCTGGCATGAGCTAGATAAGCGGAAACAATCAATGATACACCGACAGGGACAGATTTCAGCTCAACACCGATCAAAGGCAGCTTTGAACCACATCATATGACAGTAGGTTAGTAATGCACAAACTCACAAAAATGAGGACATTGCAGAGAGAATTACTGCATACAATGAAACAATGAATCAACATCATAGATGAACTCTATGATGGGTAATACACACGTATATGTACATGAGACCAATATTAAATGACCCGATGATAAGATAGCAGTTTTATTTATGTACAAAATATGAATGGTAATCTAGAGAATACATGCATCTGTTATCAATATATCAAATTCTTTTTGATACAGGATGTTTTTGTAAGTTTTTATCAAGCTATTTAATAAAATGGGATTTATGAAAGGCAGCTATTTGCTATTTTGAAATTGAAAAGCCCAAAATAAATTGACCAGTACAGTAATGATGATAAAATTCACCAATAACATTAACTTAATAGCAGAAACCATACTTTTACCCAGTGGTCATACTTTTGGGCATACTTTTAAGTAGGTACTTGATCTAAAATTTCCCTGGGAATTCGATTTTCTGCATATACCTTGAGTGGAATTCTAGATTAAGCATGTTCCAAAATGAGTCTAATATGCATAAAAAATACTTTGATTCATCTTCATAACCATAATTTTAAGGAGAGGATGGCATACATTTAAAAATTTGAAAAGGATCAGCACCATTGTAATGACAAACTTGAGAATTACATAAATTTTGATTTTCCTGCCATGAAATTATTTTTTCATCAGAAATTGTTGAGTGAAAAATTCTGAAAACGAAATTTGAGAGAAGGATCTGAGACTTTTAGGACTTTGACTTCAATCCTAAATAAAACTCGAATTCTTCCTCTCTGCAATGAGGCATCAACAAGTTTCGAGGGCCATAACTTCCATTTATTTCATTTTTTCGAAGAACTCTGCTTTCCGATTTGTCATCATATATATTACGCCATATTTCATTTTTTCACAAAGAAGACATTCAAGAAGTCATCGATGATATTATCAGTGAAGTCACCCACGAAACCAATGGTTAGGTCATCGATAACTTGAGCAGTGCAAAAATAGTCAGCAATAAAATCATTAGTGAGCCATTGATGAGAGCATTGGCCAAGTCATCAATAAGACTTCTGCAAAATAATCAGTGGAGTCATCAGAAAATGAATTAGTAGAATTAAAATCTATCACGTTTTTGACTGAGCAGTTGTATTTTTGGACAAATCGGTTCAACTGTAGTTAAATGAGCACTCTTTGAAAGCTTGTCTCACGTTTCTGAGCAATAATTGATTTTGTCCTCACAGACGAGTAAAAACAAAATATTACAGAGCTGACAGAGGAGTTGAATACAGATAAGTTTGCAAAAAGGAAAATGATTACTGACTCTTGAAGTTAACCTCTGTTTAAAAGGAGATGAGTTAGAGATTGGATCCAATGAGAAAAAAGAAAACAAAGATGGGTATTATAAAAGGAAGAAAAAAATTGGAGGTAGAGAGGAAAACCAAAAGTAGGGATTTTTAGCATATCGTAAGCTGTATGTAATATTATGTATTTTATACACGTAAAAAAATATATATAAAAAAAATAGAGAAAAACTGTTAGTAAGCATTGTAACTTCCCACATACAAAACCACACCTGTAGCAGGCAGCCCATTTTAAGACATGACATGCTGATAAGATGGGACTTACAGCAACGGTTGAGCCATTTTTTCCTGTTCCACCCGATAGGATAATTTGGAACATGGTATATAAAGCTAGGGAACAGCCTAAGACGGTAAATATAACTATCACAAATCGGATATCGATTAAACTCAAACTTGGTATCTGTAAGTGTACAATTTTATTAGTAAAACAGAAGGGTAAAAGATTAACAATTTATCAAAAAATGATCCAAAACGGCTCAATTTGCACAGAAATGCTAAAAAAAAAAGAGAGAGAAAAAATTTCATTGGGGTTGAGATTCTAGGGCTAAAAGATAAAGATTATATCAATTGCACAGAACAAAAGATGGGAGATGTTACTTGACCTCTTGTCTCTCTTAAAGGAGGGGAGTTAAGAAAATATTTGTTGTGAGTATACTTGATGAAGAGTAAACATCCATGAAAAATGGGAACTTGTATAACTCCAAAAAAAAGTAAGATACTGGTCCCACTTCTTAGTGAAGTATTTTACTAACATTAGGGCAGGACAAATGGCCAAGAAGTCAACAAACCAAATCGGAGTGTGACAACATGTGATTTTCCATTCAAAAAACGTAGTTTACATCTGAGATAGTGATTTTAAATTTTAATACGTTATGTATGTAACTCAAAACTGTATAATTTGCACTATCACTTTACATTCTTTCTTGGCACATAAATGAACTTATCTGCTCGCAACTACTTCATTGGAATAGAAGAGGATATTTTTTGTTCTAACCTAAAATTAGAATTTTTCATCTTAACGCAACAAAATTATTGTCCTGAAAAAGTTGTACTTACACACTGAGGTCTCTTGTCTTACGGATACTTTGCAAAGAGTAAACCAAAGAAGAGATATCAATCAGATCAAAATCAAGGCCACTTTTTTAGCAAAATTAAGTTTCCTCAATTAAGTAGAAAAAAGAAAGAGAGAGAAAAAAAGGGATCTCTTACCTAAAAACTGAGATATCTTTCCATAGAAATTTCAAAATAGGGAGCGAGTAAACTTAAAATTGAAATGGTTTTTATTTGATACTGCTGTAATTGTAATTAGTGATGGATAAAGATTTTCTGTTTGCGGTCGATGAATAGAAGTTCAGTGAAATACGTACGGAACGCAAAAGATGACCAGAGAAATATACCAGATTAGGATTTTAAACTAATAGGTAACTACATTCTCCAGGGTGGCTATCTTTATATCTGAAGATGAGAAATGATCAAGAATATTTACCTTAGACAGCCAGATATCTGGACCGAAAACAGTAGATATCAAGTGAATTAAAATTATGGTGAATTGCGCCTCTGTAACATCAACACGCCCAAATCTCATTGTACCTGAAGAACAAAATTGATTGATAAATATTTATGTACCTGATATTCGAGAGAATGCAATACAGAACTCACTTCATGGCAAAAAAAAAAAAAAAATTGGAGAAAAAGAATTATATCTATAACTATAAGGTGTAATAAAAATAAAATCTTAATTTTCTCAATGCCCAAATTTCTAAAAAGTCAGCCTCAGTGGTGTAGTGGTCAAGGCAGTTTGCTGCCAACACTGAGGTCCCGGGTTCAATCCCTGGAGGTGACTGATATTTGAGGACACTCAAATATCAGTCATCGTGACCATGGATGACTATGCCACTCCAATACCCTGACCCTTCCAGGAAACAGGGTGCGGGAGGGACATTGTCACCCAGTAAGTAATCCGTCTGCACTGTTCGACTGGGTTGTGAAAAAATCGGTAATCACTGGTAGTGTGCACGACACGACTGCCAGCGCTACCTATCAGTGGAGATTGCAACAACACAGTCCAACTCGGTGGAGGCATGGCCGTGCTCCGAAAATCCGTGCTCTGCAGCGTCTACCACAGTCTTTGATAAGACCTACCGTTGGCTATCAGACGGCCGCTGAGCCTTGCGGGATTATAGCGGATACACAATGTGTCAATGATTTGAGGTTGAGGAGCACCGTCCAACTTCAGGGTTCCTGCCAGTTGCCTTGGCCCCTTGAGGGCGGTCAGCCCAACCTTACTTACTTACTTACTTTCACTCCAATGAAGACACTGAAGTCAGAAACCGCCAGCTCCATCAGAATTGCTTCAGCCCCAATCAAAGCATAATTGCTTGGTATAACTAAAAGTTGGATTACTTGAAATATAAAACTAATATGAGAGGCAATAGCATCTTTTAGCTAGCTCCATACTTTGATAGCTGTTGATAAGGGTCCCTTTTAGTTACTCGCTCTCCACAGAACCTTTTTGATACCTAACTGCCAACTGATGGAATGATGGGACACCCCTACACAAGATGTTCCTGATCAGTTTTAACACATGAGTCTAGAGAAACAGATTTGGTGATGACTTAACTTATAGTCATCAAAATAATGATCAAGTGAAGTTTTTTCATCATTTTGATTAAGAACAAGACAAGGGTGGCTCATAACAAAAAATGCAGTTTTTTAACAAAGTATCAGCCATTAATTATTCTGGTATGGATTTTTTCCATACGACCATTCTTTGCCCACACCAAACTCTCCTCCATTCAGTTTCTCAGTTGTATGGAAGAAATCTATACCTAAAAAATTAATGGCTGATACCTCGTCAAAAAACTGCATTTTCCATGAATGACCACAAAATCAAATTTTTGGTGGTTCTTTACTTTGTCTTTCACAATTTCTTTTCTTAAAAATATTGCAAAAACTTGTAAAGCAGGAGCTTTCAATGCTCTTAAAAACCAACCTGATACGTATGTTTGCCAATGAGCGCAGTAAAATAGGGTGCAAGCACAGAAACATTGAAAAAACATCCACCCGGGCGAATTTCCCATCTTGACGGAGATACAGGCGGATACTGCCACAAAAACTGGAAAAGAGAGAAGACACTCAAAAAATTTTGAAGAAATATGGAATGATCGAACTGCAGTAGAGAGAATCAATAAAGAATGGGTTTGACAGAACAAATGGAGCTTTTGCATGCATAAGAGATTTAATACTTTTTCAAACGTAAATTTCAAGAGAAACACAGAGGTGCCACTAGTTTTCTCTGGGGCAATTTTTCGAGCTCCAAGAAAGCTCTCAAAGTTGAGGCAAGCTTTTTTTGAGTTTAAACGTTCGTTCTAGAGAAAATCAGTGGCATCACTAAGTTTCTTGCAAAAATTTACTTTGGAAAAATTCTGCAAATGTAAATCCTTGACTCATGCAAGCTTCCGATTAGCAAAACTTCAGTGATGTCAGTCGGAAGATTTCATTTCAACTTTAAGTCCAACTTTTCCATCCGATTGGCAGCACCAGTTGGGCTGGAAAGTTGGGCAGAAAGTTGAGGTTGATGTTAGATTTTAGTTTCCGTACAACTTTTCATTGTAGTGTTTTACAGTCGGTATCAGACAATCCAACTTTTTATCTGACAAAAGTGGAAGAAAAGTTGAACAAAAGTTTAGCCGTCAGCACTGGGCTTCAAGGAATCAGTTCATGTTAAAATCCGAGAGATCCATTTCCTAATGAGCCTAAAGTTTCATGAGGATGCTTTAAGTCTACAGATCATCAGATTATGAAGATTATCAGCTTTGAAATTTACTTCTTCAACTCTTCATTTGTGAGTGAAATATTCTGCACCGACAAAACAATTACCTACTTATTGAAATTTTCAATTACAGTTAAAATTGAAAAGTATAATGTTTTTTCATACCAGTTGAGATAGAATCGCAGCCATGATCAAATAATTCACCCAGTGGATTGGATGAGCTTGTTCGTCGGGCTTGCTTACCATCTATTGCATCAAGACTCTGATAAATAAAAAGACCTAGAGCGCACACAAAGCAAGCCCACCTAGGTACCTGTAGACAAATTTTGATGAAGATTATCATTGAGGAGTAAGCATTAGACACCTTAATAAAGTATCAAAATTATTTTCATGCAGATAAAATTAGACTGCAATTAAGCAGAAGGAAACCTATGCAAATTCAGTATTTTAGGAATCGAGTACTTTAAAAAGAGCTACACATAGCAAATCTGGAGCAGGTTTAAAGTCAACTAATGTCAAGTAATCACCAATTTTTCCTGAAAAATCCAAAGTTGAAAGAAAATGTTTTAAATGTGAAAATAGTCATCAAACTTTGTTCTTAACATTAGGCCTGATGGAGAAATAAAATTTGAAATCTATTTCTCAGACCAAACTTGATACGACGATGTGTTTCTGCTGAGTTTAGTCCGATTAAATTATACAATATGATAGGAGTCAGTAATCTTACAAATCAAGATAAGTGGTTTCTAAAATTAGCAGTCGATTTGGCAATAGTCAATAATCCTGGTTTAAGACAAATCTTATTTATATCACCATGTCAAATCTTATTTATATCACTACTTGTCAATGGAGCCTTCTAAATGCATGTGTTAAGCTCCTGAGTGGTACTGATTGAGTGATAATCAAAGATTGACGACTGAAGACTGATATGTGATCAGTAAGCACTAAGTGCAGTAAATTATCTACAGACATAAAAAACAGAATACTTGCATCTTGACAAGAAGTTACGGTCTAGCAGCCTGATTGTTGAAATTTATGTCGGCGCGACAAGAATCGAAAATATAATACACGAAGCAGATAGGGCTATGTCTTGTCTCGTCGTCGAAACCGGAAAACGTTTCAACAATCAGGCTTCAGGGGTTGTTGTGTCTTCTATTTTGCGACCTTTTGCGACACGATTCTGTAGTACTTCAATAACTCAGTTACCACAGACCAACGGGGGAGTCTTTCTCTCTCTGTGGGAGTAACTATTCCATTCAAAGGCTAACTACTATGCTAGGCAAGGAAATAATTCCTAATTTGAAAAGTTCTCTTGATACGACTGAGTTTGGGCACCTAACCTTAGCTACTGACAATGAGTTGATTACCAAATTCGTACTCGCATGACATGCAACTGTGGTCCCTTGGAGCAGATGAGGAAGGTCTTGGTGCAAAATGTTGAGAGGAAATTCATTAGGGTTTGAAAATTCGATTAGAGGTCATGAGGGCTTGTAAGAAAACTAAAATATTTGGAAAATAGGTGACGAAGCGGAGGGACTTCACAAAAAATATGCTGAGATACTTACATCTGATTTGGCATCGGGGCTGTGCCAAATTAGAATTAAAGACGTTAAAATATTGATAATTAAACCAGTTAAAGTTATCAAGTTAGGTGCTAGCCATAAAGGAACTCTATTGACTAAAAAATTCCACCAAGGTTGAAGAAATGAATCTAATAAACTTTTACTCTCGTATGAATACTTGTGTTCACTGAGCCTTTTCAACTGAACAGGCGAGAGAATTCTGCCGTGTTCAAACATGTTGAAGATATAAAGCGAAACTTTGTCAGATATTATGTTCAAGAGATATTTGCATGTGATCGCGTCACAAACCACTATCACAATCACTCGACGAAACACAAAATTAACACAACTTTTCCCGAACTCATTGCAGTGATTGCAGAAAAAAATTCCAACCAGTAACCAGACCAGAAACAGGATCAGGCGATACTGTCATCATAGACGAAGTTTGTGACATTAGAGAGGTTTCTGTGGTCCCCTAATCTTTCTATCAACTCCTGGGAGATAGTTTTAATTGCATTGATGTATGCTATATTGCCTATCTACCATGACCGTCCGACGTAAAAATGTACTCGCAGTCGCAACTTTAATTATTCACAAGGAAAACTTCAAATAATTTCACTAGCAAGTCTTGAGGGTCATGAATCTGTCAAATGCTATGTTTCTCGGCTCAAAGATTCTTGAAAACACGCTTTTTCGGCATTTGTAGATCGGAAAATATGGTAGCTGTTCCTTGGATGCTTGGACTGCTTGGAGATAAAGTAGTCTCTCATCAGTCTCATCTATTGTTTTCTGGTAGCTTGGTTCACTCACAACATTTCAGTAGCAACATTTGCTCCTAATCAGATTGAAGGCGAATTAAATGCGGCACTGATACCAGTGTTAACTAGGTTTCAGGTATTAGGTAAATCACTACATCAGGTAACATATGTCAAAAGATGAGTAAAATTAGCCCTTTTTACACCTGCCCAGTCGGCAGTCGCTATTTAAAAAATCTTAAAATACCACATTTTCAAAAATTCTTCTCTCCTCAGATTCCTGAAGTCCAAATGCCGCTCGTTATTAGATGACGTCATGAAAGAGAAAGAGCCTACCTTTACCTCTCTTACAATTATTCTCAATTTTCATTGGCTGTTGGATATTTTCGTAAGCAAGATCCATAATGGGCGCCAAAAATTAACGGATTCCATGAACAGATTTAAACCTGTCGTTTGTTTACGGTTGTTTCGTTCATTAATCATTTGCTGTTCATTTTCATTTCATTCTATCTTCTATCGTTTATAGCTTGTTTGATTGATTTGATAAATGTTTTAGTGCATAAATTTCTACAGTTATTACTGCTTATGTGCAGTCATTCGTGATTGTGAAAGAAATTACACAAATTTTACCCTTCATTAGAGTGGCAGAAAACATATATTTGCTTCATCGTCTTTTTGTGCTTTTGTGGTAAGATTTTTCTGAAACTTCCTCTAACTTGAGTAGCTGAATGGCTCATTCGATTTCCCTAGTTTTTAAAGTCAGGAGAATGAGGATATGATGCCTTCCTCTAATATTAGTTAACCATTTGCCTCTCAGGCCACCATGATCATGAACCATATACCTTGAATCATTTGCACTACAATTCAATTATCGCATGTATCATGTCTCTTGGGTAGTTGGTCCTCTAGAGCTTGGCGGTCTGTAGTTGACCATATTATTGTCAAACTGATGAATATCACTCAATGGTTTTTCAACAAGACTATGCTCATTGCCTAACCATAGTCTAGGGTCCAGTTATACACTCATAAAACAATCTAGACTGCGCACTAGCAGCGTGATTGTTGAAATTTTGTGTTTGTCGAGTAGACATAAACGACCTAGGTTAAAAGTTGGAGCGTGCGGCTGTGTCTTATCGCTGCTTTATCGTGCCTTTTTCAGGTGGAATAGACGACATACTGTCGGACTCTTGAAGGTGCTCTGAGCTTGTTGAGAGTTCCACCTGACGTAGGCACGACAAAGCAGCAATAAGATATAGCCGACCAATAACGCTCTGCCTTTAAATCTATGTCTACCCGGCAAACACAAAATTTGAAATATCAGGCTGCTGGCTCGACTTTAGGAGCTAGCAAAGGTAAAACTGCTATCAGTCCTCTGGTAAAATATTTTTTAGCTCATCAAGGATAACCTTGATGAATTGTTGATTGTGACTTCAATTCTGCGAAAAGGTCGCTGCTCAATCGTTTGGATAATGTGAGTTATTGTCAGAACGTTTTCCAATTGCAAATTTAACGTCCATTGACTCATTTATTTTTTTTTATTTTATTTATTTATTTTATTATTACAAAACAAAATTACAATAATACTCACACTTAAATTGGCAAGACCCTCCAGTAAGCAATGCTGCTTGTGTGGAGGGCTGCATACAAAAAATAACAACACAGATTGCTCAGACTCAAGATTGCTCTTTTAAATTGCAACTCCTGTTACGAAGCATGCCTCCTATATTAAGAGTATTTCTTCACCATTTTAATAATCCTCTTTAATTTTACTGTTATTAACTCTTACATCAACTTTTTCTTGTTGATTTTTAGACAGTTCGAAAATTCCGTAACCAGTATTCCCAAAATGAAGACACCTGCACCTAAAAGACAAAGTAAAAGAGTTTCAAATACTGAAAATTTGAAACCAACCAAAAAGGGGAGAGGATGTGCACCTCTTCCAGTTAATGGAAGAACAGCTCTTAGGAATATATCAAACGTAAGTTTTTCTTTTGTTTCCTACCTTCCATTTAAAAAATCAAAGAGAAGAAAGCAAATTTACATCTCTCCTCATGATTTAGATTCTAGTAACCTGCTTACACTGTCTGCTCAATGACTATTTTTGCTAATCCCATGCCACAGACAAGGGCTCTTTTGAAAAAACTAAAATAGCATGTCGATTAAGATGGTTGAATCTCCAAAAAATTTGCCATTAAGATGGATGTTAAGATGGTTAACTCTCATTAATTGGACATATTTCTATCAAACGGAACAATGTCCATTATGACGTGAGCCCTGTTAAGCACATATTCTTATGGGTCTCAGGGCTCATGTCTTAATGCTTATAGTTCCGTTTGACAGAAATGCGTCCAATTGGAACCCAGATACATACCTAGTTTAAAAATTTTTTTAGTGGAATGAAAGACCCATCCTCTTGAAAAATTCTCCGTGATGCAAGTTGAATCACCTCCAGAATTTGAATCTGCAAGGAAAACCGTCTTTGTATTTCAAAATTGAATATTTTAACAGGGGGTACGCAAGATCTACCCCTGTCTGTATGGTGTCTTTAATGCTAAACAGAGTTGTGGAAATTTCATCAAAATTGATCCTAAAGCACCAAAAGTGTATGGTAAATATCTATGGAATGTAAGAATTTTTTCATATCAATGCTTTGGTTTAAGCGGTTGTCATGAAAGGTATGCCACAAGCAACTTAAGTAACTTCAATTAATTTTTTTTTTTTTTTTTTCAGGTTTTTTTTAAAAAAGAAACAAACCAAAAGGAAATAAATTCACAGGCAAAAAGTTGAAGAAACCATTTGAAATAAAAATTCTGTAGTTTCTAAACTATACAGTGTGTTCCAAGTTTAAAATGAGGATTGCCAGAAAATTCCTTTGAGTTAATTTTTTTTACTGTAACTGAGACCCCTTGTTTCTTTTTTGCAGCAATCCAAAAACATCAACAAGGAAGCATCAAAGCAAAATTATGGTGTAAAGAAAACTCCAAATTATTTGAAACCAACATTTTCCACTCTACAGAAATGCACGAAAAAGAAAATCAAACCATTTGATGAAAAACCTGCCTGCAAGGATTCCAGTGGATTGTCAGTTCCTAAAAATGAAAGTCACAAAGATAAGTAAGTCCTCTAGTTCTAGTTTTTTAGGAATTCAAATAACAGGTCAAGTAACTTTTCATAGTTACCATCAGATCTCTGAGCCCCTTAATTTTCATTTTTGTCCAAGTTTGTTTACCATTCTATTGTGCCAACTTACCTGATATTTACTGTCTATGGGACAGGTACCTAATAGTCTCTGGAAGAGACCGCTTTATTCTGATTGTGAAAGTACATAGGACCCAAATTTTTTTACATTAGAAGACCAAGTCATGAATTCTCCCATTTAAACAATGTGAATGTCCAATCTTTTTTTTTTTGTCACAGTTTGTTCTAAAGGTCTACCAAGCAGATTTTCATTATTTTTGCAATCATTGACAAAAAGTAGTCCATAGATGAGCCCACTCTACTTAGATTAACTCACATGGACCCAGGAGGTAGACCAAAAAGGGGCAAAATGTCCTCTGGCGGCTGGAATGTGTCCTGACCAGGGGTTGTATCTCCTTGTATTCTTTGAGATGCTTTGAAAAGGTTGCTAGAAAAATCTTTTCTAAATTACTAAGCCAAATTTTTTGGAATTGGAATTTTTCTCAATTTTTAGGCAGTAGAAAAAAATCAAAATTTGAGTTTCCTGCAAAAAATTCCCCTTAGTACAGCACACACCTACTAATTTGAAAAGCTTAATAGAAATTTAAAAAAAAAAAAAAAAAAAAAAAAAAAAAAAACATCATTTGCGGGAGAATCTCTATGTTTTGAAAAACAACCATGCAGATATTTGTCTCTCCTTACTAATTCAAAATTTCTAGACTTCAATCAGCGAGTGAATCTGCACTGTAATTAGAAATCAAAATCACACACTCTGTTATTTGAACATACAGAACTGGACCCTTTACAATTCAGAGAGTTGTTTGTATTAACGGCTTTGTCTTGATGCAAATTAATGAAATTAGCAAAGGAAACAACTGAACTTTGGAAAATACGCGCCTGATTTTAAGTATAGATTTATTGGCCACCCTACTTCAATTAAATGGAGTTTATTTAAAAATTTGTTCTCTTCAACTTTTTATTAAAATCACTCTTTATAATTCAAAATCTTGTCAATTCAAAAACCCTACAGGTAATGAGAAAAAAAAAGAAAAACTCTTGTCAGTTATGTTTTTTTACTCATTCAGGACTTGAATCTCTTTTTCCGCAAACAGTCTCATTGATTTTGACACCAAGCATTTTTTTTGAATAAAATTTAGGTTCTGTAAACAAACAATTTTTCTAATTTTACCACTTTCTTTACCAATTTATCTTTGCAGCTCTGCAGATTCTTCAGTCACAAGAGTTTCAGAAAATATTTTTGATTTTGATGAAGATTTGGAGGGCCAAGAACTCGAGAGAACTTGCAACCAGGCAGGTAAAGAACCAACAACCAGTGAGAAAGAAGCAAAACCCGATTTTGCATCTCCCCTGAGGATCGAACTAGCACCGTTGCGCAAGATCCTACCAGCCACTCCGAAACCACCAGTGAACAAAGTATTATCCATCCTGAAGTCGAGCCTGTCATCTCCGTTAGTCAAAACACCTCGTACAGTGGAAAAGAAGTTGCCAGAGTTCTTTAAAACCCCAACTCCTCAAAGTCCAGTTCAACAAGCAACCAGCTCCGCTCTGCTTGTTGACGATATACTCGAAACGTTTGATCGTGTAAGTACTGACTACCTTCCTACACTTTTTGCTGGTAAACTATGCTCTCTTTAGATTTTGCACTAAGAGAAGAACCAGAAGACCATTCATGTAAACAGTCCATCTACAGTGGAAGATTCTATTAACTCAAGAGATAGTTGGTATTTTAAGATTGGATTCAGATCAGTAGCCTAAGCCAAATTCGATTCTGAAGCGCTGGCATCAATGGATTACAGAACTGTCAAAAGACCATCAGCTTTTTCAGCTGTTAAGTTTGCTAGGAATTACTATTTTCCGGGGCTCAAAAGGAAATAAGTGTTTATGAAGTTTCTTCAAGACTTTACTCTGAAATCAACCCTTTAAGATAAAATTGAGAAAAAAAGGTTGCATAGGTTGAATCTGCCAGCCATTTCAAGATTTGGCCTGAGCTGCCAGGTACACTTCTCCAATGATGCGCGGTTGACATTCCCCACTCACTGTTTGGTGCAGTATGTGATTAAATTAATGTTGCCACAGCTCTACTTTCTTTTACATGGTCTTCTCTTGATCAATGCCTTTGGTATTTTAAATTTTGAAATTGGAAAAAATCTTGTTGGAAATTTTATCCCTGAAAACGATCTAACATTTCTTTTAATTAATTATTACTTAGTCCTGCCTAAATTTTTGATTAAAATGAATTTTGTTTTTTTAAAACAATCGAACTCCTTTTTGGCTCCTTCTGCCTGCAGGTGTTAAGTCTCACCAATTTTTTTGGGGAGGGAAGAATTGAAATAGTTTTGACTAATCTCATGTCATTTGTAAATTAACAGCCGCCAAGGAGATCGTACTCAAGACCACGACCACTCACGGACTTAAGTACTCTTGATGAGCCAAACTCTGACGAGGATGATAAAGTAAAAGAGCAGGAAATTAAAGTAGTGGAAGAAAAAGAGTGCAAGCGCAATCCAAAAAAGCGAAAGAAGACTACTAAAGCCACTGCTCAGGTATGTAAATTTTCTCTGTTTTCTGTGCTTTACAAACCTGCTACAAGCTTTCGCAAAAAATACCCCTCATAGTGTTTGCTAGTATCTCTCTAATATTCATTAGAAGTACAAGACATGCATCCACTATTTGGTTTTCAGTTCTCGTTGTCTCTACTCCTCAAGAAGGTCTAAAAGTCTCCCTAGGGTAGGTAAATTAAAGAATTAAACCCTAAAAAATCACAGTAAATCAATAAATTCTCGACTCTGTGAGCTTGCCAAGATTGTATCAAAAACTTAATGGAATGATCTTGAAGTCCCTGCAACTTGCATTTGTTTAGATTTGATTATTTGCTCCCAAGCACATTGATGACAAAATTTTTGGAATTTACTATGCATCAAATCTCCATATTTTTGATAATGCAGTATGGAAAACTTGTTCAAAATATTCACATTCAAAACTCTACCCCTTTGACTGCTACAGCAGGATGAACAGAATTGAAGTGTTTCAGAGCTCTCCCAGACCATTCTATGAATATCACTGGCCAAAGTGTGTAATGGTGTATCTTTGTTGCGGTGTTTCAAAATGTATGTTCCCCTTTTTAGTCGTGCGGCGAAGCCGTATAGACTCTAGGTTTCGCCGGAGGCTAAAAAGTGTCCACACTTTTAGGCTAAGTCCAAGAGGAGAATTTTCGAGGAACCAAGTAACATATGAGGTATTGATATCGGTNTTCCTAAAAATGAAAGTCACAAAGATAAGTAAGTCCTCTAGTTCTAGTTTTTTAGGAATTCAAATAACAGGTCAAGTAACTTTTCATAGTTACCATCAGATCTCTGAGCCCCTTAATTTTCATTTTTGTCCAAGTTTGTTTACCATTCTATTGTGCCAACTTACCTGATATTTACTGTCTATGGGACAGGTACCTAATAGTCTCTGGAAGAGACCGCTTTATTCTGATTGTGAAAGTACATAGGACCCAAATTTTTTTACATTAGAAGACCAAGTCATGAATTCTCCCATTTAAACAATGTGAATGTCCAATCTTTTTTTTTTTGTCACAGTTTGTTCTAAAGGTCTACCAAGCAGATTTTCATTATTTTTGCAATCATTGACAAAAAGTAGTCCATAGATGAGCCCACTCTACTTAGATTAACTCACATGGACCCAGGAGGTAGACCAAAAAGGGGCAAAATGTCCTCTGGCGGCTGGAATGTGTCCTGACCAGGGGTTGTATCTCCTTGTATTCTTTGAGATGCTTTGAAAAGGTTGCTAGAAAAATCTTTTCTAAATTACTAAGCCAAATTTTTTGGAATTGGAATTTTTCTCAATTTTTAGGCAGTAGAAAAAAATCAAAATTTGAGTTTCCTGCAAAAAATTCCCCTTAGTACAGCACACACCTACTAATTTGAAAAGCTTAATAGAAATTTAAAAAAAAAAAAAAAAAAAAAAAAAAAAAACATCATTTGCGGGAGAATCTCTATGTTTTGAAAAACAACCATGCAGATATTTGTCTCTCCTTACTAATTCAAAATTTCTAGACTTCAATCAGCGAGTGAATCTGCACTGTAATTAGAAATCAAAATCACACACTCTGTTATTTGAACATACAGAACTGGACCCTTTACAATTCAGAGAGTTGTTTGTATTAACGGCTTTGTCTTGATGCAAATTAATGAAATTAGCAAAGGAAACAACTGAACTTTGGAAAATACGCGCCTGATTTTAAGTATAGATTTATTGGCCACCCTACTTCAATTAAATGGAGTTTATTTAAAAATTTGTTCTCTTCAACTTTTTATTAAAATCACTCTTTATAATTCAAAATCTTGTCAATTCAAAAACCCTACAGGTAATGAGAAAAAAAAAGAAAAACTCTTGTCAGTTATGTTTTTTTACTCATTCAGGACTTGAATCTCTTTTTCCGCAAACAGTCTCATTGATTTTGACACCAAGCATTTTTTTTGAATAAAATTTAGGTTCTGTAAACAAACAATTTTTCTAATTTTACCACTTTCTTTACCAATTTATCTTTGCAGCTCTGCAGATTCTTCAGTCACAAGAGTTTCAGAAAATATTTTTGATTTTGATGAAGATTTGGAGGGCCAAGAACTCGAGAGAACTTGCAACCAGGCAGGTAAAGAACCAACAACCAGTGAGAAAGAAGCAAAACCCGATTTTGCATCTCCCCTGAGGATCGAACTAGCACCGTTGCGCAAGATCCTACCAGCCACTCCGAAACCACCAGTGAACAAAGTATTATCCATCCTGAAGTCGAGCCTGTCATCTCCGTTAGTCAAAACACCTCGTACAGTGGAAAAGAAGTTGCCAGAGTTCTTTAAAACCCCAACTCCTCAAAGTCCAGTTCAACAAGCAACCAGCTCCGCTCTGCTTGTTGACGATATACTCGAAACGTTTGATCGTGTAAGTACTGACTACCTTCCTACACTTTTTGCTGGTAAACTATGCTCTCTTTAGATTTTGCACTAAGAGAAGAACCAGAAGACCATTCATGTAAACAGTCCATCTACAGTGGAAGATTCTATTAACTCAAGAGATAGTTGGTATTTTAAGATTGGATTCAGATCAGTAGCCTAAGCCAAATTCGATTCTGAAGCGCTGGCATCAATGGATTACAGAACTGTCAAAAGACCATCAGCTTTTTCAGCTGTTAAGTTTGCTAGGAATTACTATTTTCCGGGGCTCAAAAGGAAATAAGTGTTTATGAAGTTTCTTCAAGACTTTACTCTGAAATCAACCCTTTAAGATAAAATTGAGAAAAAAAGGTTGCATAGGTTGAATCTGCCAGCCATTTCAAGATTTGGCCTGAGCTGCCAGGTACACTTCTCCAATGATGCGCGGTTGACATTCCCCACTCACTGTTTGGTGCAGTATGTGATTAAATTAATGTTGCCACAGCTCTACTTTCTTTTACATGGTCTTCTCTTGATCAATGCCTTTGGTATTTTAAATTTTGAAATTGGAAAAAATCTTGTTGGAAATTTTATCCCTGAAAACGATCTAACATTTCTTTTAATTAATTATTACTTAGTCCTGCCTAAATTTTTGATTAAAATGAATTTTGTTTTTTTAAAACAATCGAACTCCTTTTTGGCTCCTTCTGCCTGCAGGTGTTAAGTCTCACCAATTTTTTTGGGGAGGGAAGAATTGAAATAGTTTTGACTAATCTCATGTCATTTGTAAATTAACAGCCGCCAAGGAGATCGTACTCAAGACCACGACCACTCACGGACTTAAGTACTCTTGATGAGCCAAACTCTGACGAGGATGATAAAGTAAAAGAGCAGGAAATTAAAGTAGTGGAAGAAAAAGAGTGCAAGCGCAATCCAAAAAAGCGAAAGAAGACTACTAAAGCCACTGCTCAGGTATGTAAATTTTCTCTGTTTTCTGTGCTTTACAAACCTGCTACAAGCTTTCGCAAAAAATACCCCTCATAGTGTTTGCTAGTATCTCTCTAATATTCATTAGAAGTACAAGACATGCATCCACTATTTGGTTTTCAGTTCTCGTTGTCTCTACTCCTCAAGAAGGTCTAAAAGTCTCCCTAGGGTAGGTAAATTAAAGAATTAAACCCTAAAAAATCACAGTAAATCAATAAATTCTCGACTCTGTGAGCTTGCCAAGATTGTATCAAAAACTTAATGGAATGATCTTGAAGTCCCTGCAACTTGCATTTGTTTAGATTTGATTATTTGCTCCCAAGCACATTGATGACAAAATTTTTGGGATTTACTATGCATCAAATATCTCCATATTTTTGAAAATGCAGTATGGAAAACTTGTTCAAAATATTCACATTCAAAACTCTACCCCTTTGACTGCTACAGCAGGATGAACAGAATTGAAGTGTTTCAGAGCTCTCCCAGACCATTCTATGAATATCACTGGCCAAAGTGTGTAATGGTGTATCTTTGTTGCGGTGTTTCAAAATGTATGTTCCCCTTTTTTTTTCTTTTTTTTTTGGAAGAGAAACAAGCCAACTCTGGAGAGTCAAAGTTGTAAAGTTGTGAAGAAATCATGTTGACCAGTTTTTAAAAAAAAAAAAAAATCTGACAGGAAATCTGTAACGTTGCGAACAGAGATACATGGTTTTGCACTTTGCACTTTTTATCCTTGTGGAAACAATGCATTTTAGCAAAGGACCATGATGATCTTCCCAGCACTGCTTCGTCCATTTGGAAAGGATGTTATGGCAATGGGACGGTCTAGCAAAAACTTAGCTTGACTTTATAATTTAATTCTTGTTCTATCAAATTTTAAATGTTTAAAAAAAGTTCTAATCTTTTTTCAGGACAAACAATTTGAAGAACTTGCTGCAGCTATGAATTCACAGTTCAGCCAAGTGGAAGATTTTCAACTGGTTGTGGAGTGAATCGTTCAATCTGTTTGGTTTCCTATTTTCTCTGTCAAAGTGGGTCTTTTTTTCTATGCTTTTTTGGGCGAATAGGAGTTAAAACCCCTTGTGGTATCTTGAGAAATAGCCACAAATTCCCTCTAACCCTTATTTATTTTAATACTCTTCTTTTTTTTACCTTTTTCAATACTCATATAAAATATTCAATTTTTCTCAGTTTTTAGTGATACTCGAAGATTGTGGTTCTAGAACCAAGTTTTGGTTTGAATATTTAAGTTTTATGAAAGCTGATAATTAAAGAAAAATTAATTACCTTGTAATTCTTGCATTTAATGAATTTTTCCTTCACTATATAATGAAACTTTCATTTTGAAAATTTTTTCTCTCAATATCAGTACCACCAAAATAAGAAGTGCACTGCACGTAAAGTATTATATTGAAACTTGTATTACGCTCTCTATCTTTTGTTCCCCAGCTTGTACATTTCAACGTTGCTCAATATCCTGTCGCACTTTGTATTTTTATTTTAAAACTTTTGAGCGTTTTTTATTCCTAATGCCACTGATACTTCTAAGAAGTAACGGGAAAAATCAACAAAATTTCTATTGGAAATAGGGCAGTCATTTTTGTGTGGAAAAATGCATTGCTAAAGTAAATATTGTAACCTTGGAATAGTGTCACATTATTTCCAAGTCTGGGGAACAACATATTTTCATATTCTTATTTTTTCATGCTTGTATCAATGGTCTCATCCATCACCTTTTAATTTTGTCAGATTCTACTTAACTTAAAAAGAAAGTGGTATGTTACGTAATTGGATTATGAAATCCAACATGTCTGTTTTTTTCTCATGTTTCCAAAACCTGTGCGTTTAAAAGTATCATCACTGAAGGGATCATTATTTTTTCCTTCAATTCATTCTCTAGGATTACTTTCATCTAAGGCTTTTCAGGGCTTATTTTTGCCTTTATTCAGGCATTCAAAAGATTACAGTTAGAGCAATTGAAACTCTTGAAATAATTAGAGGTATCTCAATTTGTATTTGAATGTCCAGACTCAATATATCACCAACCTATTTACTAAGATCTTAGTAGTGAGCTACTTGCATCATTTTGGATCCCAGTTGAAATAAATTGAGCCATTCCTGAAATTTGTCAATTTTTATTTCTAGGCACGTTAGTTTTCTCAGGTCCCGGTACTTCGTAGTCTAAAAATAATGCAGATTTGTATACGTATCTTTTATATTTGTTTTTTCACTGTAACCAACGGAAAGAAGTTCAAAAGTTTTTATGAAAATAAATTTCCTATTTATTTTTAAAGAATGCATATTTTTAATTGGCCTCTCTACCCTTCCACATTTTAAAAAAATAATAAAAAATTAAATTATGTCTTGTGCGGGGTGGCTTTCTGAAAAAACTTGCCTGCCTTGCAGCATCTTTCCTTTTGTTTAGAAACTTTAGTCCTTAATGCTCTAAAACGGAATGAAATCTGAAGCCTATTTTTTTCTTATCCGTATGAGTTGGCCTGTGTTTTCAATTTGGAGCCACAATTTTTGGCTCAGTTTAGAAACAACGTATGTGCAATTAGTTTTCCTATGAACATAGAATTTTTATGAATGAGCTAGAAATTGTAGCTCTTTATTGCAAAATGCTGTCGAATTGATTCCTTTTCTACTTGCTTTTGGGTTTCAATTCCCTTAATGTGATTATTGTTTTATCTATCATGCGCAGCACCACTTAGTTGCCACTCTCTTTTATTTTTTTCAAATGAGGCAATTTTTTTGTTGCAAATTATTCTGCAGACTAGTGCGCAGGGGCTACCGTCTTTTATCATGGCTCTTCAAGTTAACTATGGTTTTATTTATAATCATTCTTAACGTTATGAATCATGCATGAAAGTGAGAAGCTCATGGGAAAAATTCTCAAGTTCGGTCAAGGAGTCCTTTCGATTCCTCTTGGAGAATTGGCAACAGCGCTGAGAAAGGTTTGTCGTGTGTAGTAAACATAACCTCAACATAGACCTCAACGAAGTGCAATATTGCATTCGTGTGTAGTGCTTGTCTGGTCTGTCAGTTTATTAAGTTAAAAACTTTTAGAACCACTGAAAGTTTCCATTACAATGAACTCGAATGACGTAGTTCGTCTTTTTTTAGTGCTTTTTTAGAAGAATGTTCAAGGTATATGTCACAGTGAGGGAAAATATAGTGTTGCAGGCTCGCAGGGGTTCCACTGATTTGGGATTGCTCCTGTTCTGACCTTAAACTGCTGTGTTAATTTTACGAAGTTTTTTTACATGGCTATAAAAAATTTATGACTTGCCGCAAGCTGCTAGGACAGTATAAACCCACAAGCTGTTGATACTTGTACTCCTACAATTGCAGTTCTTTCTAATTCCAAACTCTGATTTTCATCTTCTTTCATTGTGTGCCATTTTCATTTTATTCAAGTCACAACTCACTAGTTTTTCTGTCAATCAAGGTATTCAATTTCTCATTTCCTACTTATACACATGGAAAATGAGTAATTCCTGCCAGGCAGTGTTCGTCTCTCTCCTGGCGCTGGTTTCTTTTGGCCACTCGCAGTTCTTCAAGGAAAAGGTACAGTTGGCTGCTCGAATGAACATTCAAATAATGATCTCTTTGTTTATCAATTGTATTTCTCTCAGATCATCTCTATAAAAGCTATTTTCACTGTATAAGGACAGTGATGAGTGGTATGATTCCTCTTAAGGCCTAGATGCACATAGCGATTTATCGCCGCGAGTGAAAGACGAAAGCCCATGGAGAGTCTTGATTCCGATATATCGACGTCAATGGATCGAACTCGAGGCTCTCCATTGGCTTCTGTCCATTACTTGCGGGGTTAATCGCTGTGTGTATCTAGGCCTTTAATTGGAGGAAAGTGTCTTCAAGGTTGTATACGATCCTTTGACACTACCTGTAGCATGCTAGAGCCTCTAAGCAGTGTTATGGTAACAACTATTGAACCGTTGGCACCACTTTTTGCAGGGATTCTTTTTACTTCATCCTCACTTTCAAACTACAGCTGTCTCCACATGAATGAATATCCACGAAATCTATTGGATTAGTACCATATGGTGGTCAAATTAATCCTAGTATTTTATCTAGTCTTAATCTACATCAAAATTATGCTCAAAAGAAGTAGATGAAAAATCATAATTCAGACACAATGATAAAGATTATGCCAAGATTAATGGTGGAATTAATTTTTATGATCATGACCTGTCTTATAAGGTTTCTTGCAAATATGTGTTTTAATTAAAGTAATGAATTTATTCTGGCTATGACAGATTTTATTATTCCAAGTTTAAAGATAGGTTGATTCATTTCTTTATCTTCACCAACAGGTCATGTTCATTCTAATCTTGCAATTTCTAAGGTACGCAATTGCACCATTTTAAGCCTAGAGCCATAATGGAGGAAAAAAGGAGATGGTAGCATCAATGATGGCCAAGTGGTCGTGGACATCCGCCCAAAACTCCCATTTTCAGAATTTTTTACGCTGTTCGTAAGGCGCATAAGAAAAATTGAAAAAATATTATAATATTTAAGTAGAGCAGTGGATTCATTCAAAGAGTCCGTAGAGTAATTTTCAGTCTGATCGGAAGCGGCAGCTTGGATGGTTCCCCTCAAAAGTCATAAGAATATCAACCAATTTCTTCACCTGTATTAAAAGAAAAAAGATTAATACAATCACAACTGTCATGGGGTGATTTTCTCTCTGGGTTATTTTTTCTATTGTGGTTATTTTTTGTGGTGAAATAGTAATGTATTTTTCATCTGATTTTGTAGTATGAACATTCCCCGACAACTTTATCAGCTGATGGTTTGCCTGCCCTTCTGAGCAATTTAAAAATTTCTGACTTCAAGGAAATTCTAAAGCCCATCCTTGTTGAACGAGTTCCAGGAACCAAAAGTCATGCTAAAGTTAAAAATGTAAGTCCAATCATTCGTCTTAAAACGTTATTCATTCATCAAGCCTATTGTGCTGACTTAACTTTACGTATCGGTACCTTTGCCTCTAATAATCTGTAACTATCAAGTTTACTTATGCATTATACACCTCTCAATGGTTAGGAATTGATCATATCATTCAGAAGATAATTTGGGAGAGATCTTGTTCTCAGACTCAAAAATTTCGGTATCAAGATGACTGAACTCCCAATACATATCTTAAATGCAATGTTTCAAAATTACTGAGCATATTTTATTCTTCAGGAAGATAATAATTAATAATCAGCACTACTGCTTATAAATTTTGTTAGGATACCCACAGAGTGGTGAAAGAAAATTAGAGAAAATGTCAAACGGAAATAGGTATTGGTCTGTTTTCTTTCCAAAAAATATATGATGTGTAGAAATTTTGTCAAGATCCTATTAAGTTGTATTTATTTCACTCAGAACTGTTGTAAATACTCCAAATCATTGAATTCTTTGTTGCCTACTGAAGCAATAATTTTTTTTTTTTTTTGTTATGCAAGCAGATGACCTTAGGGAAGTGATTAGAAAGGTTTCAGTTTTTTTTCTTTTTTTTTCTTTTTTTCTTTTTTTCTTTTTTTTAAGTAGGTAACTCATCTGTATTTTTGAGTTAAGAGTTGCACCGAAGAGGGGATGTTCAGAAAAAGTCTCCTATCCATAATCCAAAATATTATCCTTATGCATTGATATTTATCTGCTATTCAGGCAAACTTAAGCAGGGTGCAGGGAAAGGAGAGTGGTGAAATAGATTTGTGAGTGGATCTGTGAAAAGGGATCTTATTTTCTAGAAGAAGATTTTCCTTAAATTTTTAAAAATGCATGGAGGATCAAAGTCAGGAATATTTTTGCAAGTTTGATGCTAAAATCTCAAAAATTGACGGAGATGTTAGTCCTGAAGTCCCAAGACGTAAACTCCTGGGTTGTTGAAAAACGTGGTTTAAGTGTTTGCTAAAAGTTCAGGAAAATTTTCTCCTAAGATAAGATAAGAAAAGATAAGGTCCTAGCTTCCAAAGCTTGTTTCGTCACATATTATGCTTTATTCGTACTTACCTAGTTCAGCAGCATTTCAGGCCAAGTCATGCAAAGTTAGAGATTGGGAAAAAATTCTTTATCCCGACCCAGTCAAAGTAGCATTACTTCCAACAACACTGAAAAAAAAAATATATATAAAGGATCATCCTCCATTATGCATCCACCATTTAATCTCATCAAATTTTCTCTGCATTTTTCAGTATATCACAAAGAGTATGCAAGAGCTTGGATGGACGGTTGAACATGATGCTTTCATCGACAATACACCTTTTGGCCCCTTCAATTTCACGAATATCGTTGCCAAACTGAATCCTAATGCAGAACGATACCTCACGATAGCAGCGCACTATGATTCCAAATGGTTTTCTGAAGGGTCTTTTATTGGTGCCACAGACTCAGCAGTGCCTTGCGCCATGATGATCCATATGGCTAAAAGTTTGCAGGATCAGCTCAAAGCTCTCGATTCGAATGTAAGCTTGAATTGTTGTAAACAAATTCCTTTTTGAGAAAGTCATCAATGATGAAACTGCAAAAATGTGTCGCTCGGTTGGTGTTTCAAAATCTCTTTTTTCACTTTCAACAAGGAGAGTGAACCATCATGGTTCAGAATTTTCACAGAATTGGTTTTGTACAGAGAGATAGAGTCACCAAATTTTCAACGAAAGACATTTAGTAGTTTCCCATGTGGGAAATGAAGTATTACAGGAAGTCTGTAGGTATCTAATTTACGGCAGCTTTTATAATGGAATAGAAAAATTGTTGAATAATTGCAGAAATGTGTCCTCTGCAATAGCCATCGAAGTCGATTCCTGTTTGATGAACGAAATTGAGTATGTTTCATTTTCGATCTTTTATATTTTTCAAATTTGAAAAACAGTGTTTACGTCATGAGGTATTGGAAAAGAAGCAGATAAGATATGATATGCAAGGAATTGAAACATAAATTCTACGGTTTCATTTTTATCATGTTTGTAAATTAGCTTAGACCAAACTGGCACAGATTCAATGTGAATCTTCATTTTCCCCACCATTCCCTGTTGGTTTTTTCTTGATTGAATGAAGCTCCATCAGCTGCATTCTGCAATCTTGTTTCTGAAAGTTTAAAAATGTAACAAGATCATGAGTGAAACATTTTTTGAACTGTTTGGTATCGAGTTTTTAACACCAAAACTGTATAATTATGTGGGTAATGGTTTTTGAGCACAGGGATGTATGCAGTCCCCTATCTTGCCATCCAAATCACCACAAAGAAAACATTTTTAGAAGTGATATTTTGTTTTTTCTCATTTTTTTGTATTTCTTTATTATTTTTTTTTTTTATCTTCAAACTTTTAAGAAGTCTTCAGTTTGGAATTCTCTGAGTGTTGTTTGAAGAAGCTGTCATGAACCTTGGTGATTATTTTATTTTTATTTTTTCATTGATGCAGAAGCTCAGCCTTATGTTTGTATTCTTTGATGGGGAAGAAGCATTATACCAATGGACACCAACAGATTCTCTCTATGGTGCAAGGCATCTAGCGAATGTTTGGCACTCATCACCATTTCCGACGGACAGCAAATCTACAACTCATCTCCATAGAATTGTAAGTTTACTGATTCATTTTTTCCTCAAGTAATTTGCACAATCTGGTCAATATGTGCAGATGCACTGTCACTCCTCCCATGTTTTGAAGTCAAGCTGTACTTGTTGAGACAAATGGTATTCAGTTCACATTGCAATCAATGACATCTCTTACTTCATTTGCATACATTGAGGAGTAAATCTATCAATGTGCGCAAATGAGTTGACATTCATCTCAACATCTGCCTAACAAGCTACCCAAGATTCAGTCTCATAAACCAATCCTCTTCTTATTTCAGACAATAAATGATTGTTAGTTAACTTGAACTTCAATTGATGGAAAAATTTAACATTTGGAAGAAAATTCTTGCTCCTGATGGCCATTTCCAAAAGTTTCTCTCCTAATTTTAATCTGAATGCTACAAAATTCTTTATTACTCACCTCTTTCTCTGGAGAAAAGGCCTCTCGGAGAAAGGTCCTCCAAGGAGCAAGTTCTTTAAGGAATGACTATACAAATTTAGCTGTTGCCTGTTCTTTTATAATTTTTTAGCACTTGTGTTAAAGCTTTGTAATTTTCTTGTTTTCCAGGATCTCCTTGTCCTTTTAGATCTGATCGGTGCTGCTAATCCTAGTTTCTATAGTTATTTTCCAAATACCCATAAACACTATCAGCAACTGGTGGGTATTGAAGAAAATTTAACCAAACTAAATTTAATCCATCATAAAAACAAGCGGGTACGATACTTCAAAGCAAAATCTACGTCTGCTCGAATCGAAGATGATCATTTGCCGTTCCTCGAGAAAGGTAATTTTAACCTACAATTAGTATCGATATTCACTTTTTTTGTTTTCCAGAAAATTTATTGCTATCAACTGCCAGATTTTGTTACCATGCTGCCATAAGGTAAAACAATATGAAACCAAGCAAGGGTTAATCTCTGCGAGACTAATTTGAAATGGAATAAAAAGTCTGCAGCTGTTAAAATACGAATAAAATGTTAAACTAAAGAATTATAATTTTTCTCTTTTTTTGTTTTTTGTTTAGTTTTCATAGTTCCAAGTATATTAAAAAACCATTTCTAAGTACTCACACTCATTGAGCTCTTTTATTCACTTTAAACCTACTTTGAGTCAATGGAGCCTATGGACTTTTTTGATTCAGATTAGTATATGACTCATCCTGGAAATTCTTTAATCAAATAATTTAGTCACCGTATAAGTTAATTTTTATTATCACAGAGCTCATTTTAGCTTATCATTTTCTCTTTTAGTTCATACAATACATTCTGTAAATTTACTAATGTTATTTCTGACTATATTCTACACTTTTAGGGATAAGAGTATTGCATGTAATCCCTCTTCCGTTTCCGAAAGGCTGGCATACACTTGATGATGACGAGCGGCAGCTTGATTTTGATTCTATCACAGATCTAACTTATATTTTCATCTTTTTCACCCTTGACTATCTCCATGCCAGTACGACAGACGAAATAAGTCAAGACAAATTGTCTGATGAATCAGTCGTTTATTGCGGATCTCTGTTTCTAGTCGCTGTCTTTCTCACAGCTCATTACTTGCGATTGGTAAAATTATACAAATTTAGTTTTGAAACAGTGTGCTGTTGGATTTACACCTGATAAATGTTTGTTTGTTTTCCAATCTTTGCCATTAGCCACAATCACACAGCTTTGAATGTTTTCGCCTTGCTAAAAAATAAAATTAACCTATTGTTAAACTATTTTCTCAAGGAATAGCTAATCTGTTATAGGAGCACAGAAGTATACTACATAAATTTTAACTTGGAGAGGGTCTTTCTCTCAATGGGAGACCTAAGGTCTTAAGTAAAACTAAAACTAATCAATTGTTTTCGAAAAACCAGGGATTTTCTTTCCAACACAAAGAGGATTTACTGTTATTTTCAAAGTAATTGGAACTTTGATGCATCCATAAAAATAAAAAATGGTTGTAGGCATTAAATACACAACGCTTTGGGGGAGGTGGGAAGGGGTCAAGGAGAGGGTTATGCCATTTTGTTTTTACAAGTCAAAAAGAAGGGACCTTTGCCATGGAAGCATTATAAGGGGGAAGTGAGGGGGGGGGTCGAAAAATCCAAAATTTAGTGTTCCTTATTTTATGAGGAGCCTCCAAGGTCTACAATAGAAAAAATGTCATGGTTTTTAGTTCCAAAATCTCGCAAAGAAAATGATTCTCACATTAGTAAGTTCGAATTTTTTTTTTTTTTTTTTTTTTTTTTTTTTTTTTTTTCTTTTTTTTTATGGTGTTGAATAAGGTGTTTTTAAAATTTCCAAGGAAACACCCAGATCCGTAGAAACATTTTGCCTCAGCAAGATATCATCAACAAGTATATTTAAAGCAGATCAAATGGAATGGAATTAATACAAATGACATCATTTGTATTTTTGCCATTAATTCAATGTTAATTGCAAACACTTACATCGTTTTTAGGAATTGATTAGATCCCTTACATACCATTGGAGGGTACTTTCCATCGTGTGATTGGTTTTCCTCTTGAGAAAGAGATAGCATGTTGCGGAGTGCTGTAATTCATACTTCGTGTAGAGGTCCATTCAGTCACATTTTACTTCATAGGATGCATCACCGTCTATTGCTGTCTTCAACAAAAATATCTGTTCGGTGGTTTTGTTTCAACAATTTATGTCTCCTAATCACAGCAGGTTCATTGTATAATCCTTTTTAAATGATCCTGATGGATAGACAGTAGTGCTAACAGTATAGGAATTCATCAATCATTCGATGAAGATTCAACAATTGACCCGTAGCAAACCTTCATTATCTGCAGAAAAAAGGAAGTCCAATCTCAATAGAGACCCTAATTTCTTTCTTATCTCGAGCATCAATTTACCTATTCCCTGAATATCTCTGATTGCTTTATTCTTGCAATGGATATGTTGCATGTGTGAGGGATTTGCGATTTGACTGCTGTTTCTTATGTAAAAGTTCGCGAGAAACACGATGGTGCCACTGGTTTTCTCTTAAATCAACTCCCAAGCGCAAAAAAAGCTCTCAAAGTGAGGCCAAAATGGAGGGGATATCCCTCCTTACCCTGATAGTCCACCTCTACATCAAAACAAACATGCAACATTTCCATTATTACAATAAACTTTAGTCCAGGTCAATCTGATGGTATGTGTTCTGTGGTTAATTTTTAATCTCCGAATTTCCTCTATCCAAGTTTTTGTGACAGGTAACATCAGTGGTGGTGGTGGTGGTTTTTTTGTTACATTTTATTTGTGAAATGATGATGAATTATGTCAAGTAGGGAATTAAATCAAGCTTTCTTTATTTTAACATGTTGTGTGCCGCATAAGTCCTCTTTTTTCAGACTAATATTATATCTTATTCCTCTTAATTTTTTTTTGAGGGGGGGGGGGGGGGGAGGGCTGAAGAACTTCCCACCACTCTCTCTCCCATTCTTCAAGTATTTTTCTTTACAGATTGTTCACTGTTTTGAGAGTGTTTAGTAGGAGAAATGGAAATAGAGTAATGTTTTTGCAAAAAAAAAAAATGTATTAAAAATAAATTTTTATGATAATGGGAAAGTCTCTTCAAAATGTTGCTTGTAAGTCAGCAATCCTTAATCTATGGGCTGCAGAACTTCGGGGAGCCACAAAGGGCATTAAGAGAGATCCCAAAAAAAAAATATAACTAATTGAAAAAGTGGAAAAAGGAATTTATAATGCGTGAGCAGGGGAACATCGTGACAAGGAAAGAAAGAAGCACCACCCTAAAAGAAAAAACAGGTCCTTCTTTACAGAACTAGAGAGCTGTCTGAGTAGGAGCTTGAGTGTCAGTTAGCGAGAAGATTTAAGAACTACCATCATAAATCATGCCCCTGTTGATCCATTTTTGGTACTTGATTCTATAAATTATGTTTACCATCACTAATGTTATATCATCATTACGCTGTATCTGGTACTTAAAAAGCACTTACTTTCAACAGACAAGAAATAAGGGTTCAAATATTTGCTTCAAAGATGTGTAAATGTCTATATTTTATTATTCTTCTCTCTTTCTCAAGCATCCTTAATGCTTCTTTACTTTGACTTTGATCATAATACTTCGTCTTATTTTCTCGCAAATCTGCTTAAAAATGATTTTTCTGTGGTTGATTTTTTTAATTTATTGTAAATGTTTTTGTTTCAGATGTGGATATAGTGCATTTAATTACGCAACCGTTTCCAACGGTCTGGCATACACTAGATGACAATGAATCCATCATCGATTACCTTTCAGTAATAGACATCATGAAAACCTTGGAAGTATTTATTTTAGAATATTTACGGTACACTGCGTAAGGTTTCTTGCTGAATGCATTCTAAGCTATTTTCTCAGCAAGTCAACAGAATTCAATATTTATTGATTTTGACGCTTCGTGTTACCTGCATTTTACATTCCTTTTGGTCTTTGACTTTTAATGATTTCTCCAGGAATTGTAACATTTTTTAACCTGACCCTCCTGAAATGTTAAAAAACTTCAACCCTTACTCTGAAGCGCCCAACCAAAAAGTGCCCATTTATCTACTTAACACTTCTCAACTTTATTTTTACAATGACTTGACGCACAAACTGCATTATTAATTAAGGACCCCCTCCACTAATGCGCACACACACATCACTCAGAAAAAGTGAAGAAAAAATTCAGCTTTTTATTTTCATTGCCCCCAAATAACATCATATTATAAGCATTTTATTACATTCCCTTTTTTATTTGCCTAAATAAGCACAAATGTTTTATTTCTTTGTCATTTCAATAGGTAACAAAGAGATGAAATATCTTTTAACCCCCTTTGAAGATAATGCCTTGTGTGAATCTTTAGGTTTCTGTACACCATTCACTTTAAAAGTGAAATTTTAGTGTTTTTATTTTCTCTTGAAGATAGTCAACTATGTGTGTTTTAAGTTGTCCGCGCAACATTCACTTTAAAAGTAGAAAATTGTGCCCAGGTCATCAAAAAATGCTTACTTGCCTAAAATGATACTCTTCAATGAATGGGAAATTATTTACATAGTTAGTTAGTTAAATTTCCCTCTGTTGTGCCAAGATGAATATAGACATTTTTAAAAAGTTCCTGAATCACAGCTAAAAATCAAACTACTGATATTTTTATCTTAGGATACAGAATGAATCCTTACATTTTTTTTTTGTCCGTGATAAGTTTCTAATCCTGTCGAACAGTGAAATTTTAAAAACTGGCAGCTCCTCTCATTCTGAATCTTCCAGGATAATTTGTCTAACTTCTCAAGTGGTGATAAGGGGATAATAGAGTAATTCCTTTAAAAAATTGTCCTGCAATTTTGTAAAATGATTGAAATCATGAGTCTCTAAAATTGTGATATTCGAACAAACAAGATGATTCATCAATGGACATTTCAACAGTTTCACAATTTATTAGTGAAAAGGCTGTATACAGTCTTCCTAGCTCTTGCATTCACTTTTTATGACTTTAAGCACAAAAGAACATTAAGTATTTTGAATATTCAAATATTTACCTCTGTACCATTTGATATGATAAAACAATTTATGAGTGGAAAGTAATGGTTGGAAAAAGTCTGAAATTTTAAGGTAAATCTGTGTACCTGAGATGAAGAAATGTTGAAATTTATGCACAGGCCAGTACAGCGAAAAACCAATTATGGGTAAAAAATATTGATTCTCAGTTTTTTTATGCTAAACACTATTTTACACTCTCAAGAACACTAGGTCAAGGGTTCAAGTCAGAATTGGCATTATTACTGATGGCAGGAATGTTTAACTGATTGTGAATAGATTTTGAGAATGGTAACAGTGCCAGCAATTTTCAACGGTGTTTACCTCATATTTTCCATTCTTGGCCCTCAAACTTTAAGTTGCTACTAAAGGGAATTTCAGGCCTCAATTGGTGCAGTCAACTTCTCTCAACTATAGTATGGTGCAGGTATCTAACTTTTTCTCCCCAAGGCACACTTTCCCTGACTTTTTCAAATTTGTAGCGATTTGTTTATTGATATTTATAAAAAAACTATCCAATTATCTGTTAAGACATAAATTTGGACAATATTTTAAGATATATACATATATTGTTTTTAGACTTTCTGAAGGTTAGGTATTGTGATATCCCCCCCCCATTTTTACCCTCTTATCAACAATATACAGCTCCTAAATACTCTATAAAGACTAATACAATAATTTATGACAGTATTTCCGCATCAATAGTTTTGAAGTAACTTCAAAAATCCATGCCCCGTTTTTATTCTTTTCTATTTCTTCACATCATTGTGAATTGCGTCTTCGCTCTTCGCAACTCTCTCCATGAAAATGTTTTCATTTTTAGAGGATTTTCAAAACAATTTTTTCAGTATTTTTTGGTGCAATAATTGAAAGACAATGTTCCTAATAATTTTTAGATGGAGTATCTAAGTGGTATTTGTTAAAATATTCACAGAGCACTTTTATAACAGTTGCAAATTTATCGAGAGTATCCATGGGATATAAATCATATTGTACTTATTGTTCTTCATTGTTGTTGCATTAATTTCAGAAGAGAGCTTACCTGTTATTTTGTTTCCTTTATTTTATTTTATGATTTGTGTTAACACTGCATCCGTTCTGTTGTTTACTTTTAAGTCTACATCTAGTTAACTTTGAAAAGTTGGAAAAGTGCAAAAAATGTTGACAACTAAATTGATATTTACTGACAATATGTCCGTTCTGAAGGCCTTTTTAATTAAAAGTGTACTCATAAGTTCATAGCCAGAAAGAATTTTTAGATTTATGTACTTCCAATTCTGTCAGTTGCTTAATGTTAACAATGAGTTATTATGATGGAGAAAATACCCTCTCTTCATCAGAATTTATTATCATACCAATAGAAAAGCAGAGAAATAATGAATGTTATGTTAAACAGGGTTACCTCAATAAATTTCTATGAAGACCAGGAATCATTTAGTCTTGTTTATCATTTATGTTTTTGTGACCATCCTCAGGAGACAAAACCTTAGTAATGAAAAACCAATAATAGTGTCATTGGTACCAGCGCATGTAAGAGTGTTTATTAACATTTTTGCTCCAAAAATGTGCGATCATGTCAAACAAACAAAAGTCTTAAAAGTTTGAAGTTTTGTGGAAAGTTGGAAGAAATTTTTTCAATAGACTAAAGTGTTCATGATCCTTGAGAAATTTTGTAAAATTGAAATAAATATCATGGGTCAAACTTCAGAATTCCCAGCTATTTTTAGACTTTCTACCCGCGGTGATTGCGGTGGATCGCGAACTGTACAGTCACCCCTTTTTCATTATTAAGTAAATGAATTTTTACAACTTTTCTCACCCAAAAGAAATTTCATTCTGGTGTATCTTATTTTGTCTATCTGGTTTTACCTTACACCGAGGTGATTATTAAGTGGAGATAGGTAAACTTTAAGGTTGAAATCATGAATAGTTTCCTTCTTATTCTCCTCCATTTCACTCATCTATGCAAAATCATAGAAAAATAATTAGACCTCTCATGCCCTTCGAATGACAAGAATTCATGAAAGATCTCGAGAGCTCTTTGAAAAGAGATTAACATTTCGATCTCTTCCTTATAATCGTTGGGATTGGTATTAGTCTGGTGTATTTTATTTTAGGGCTTAAAAGGGGGACATCCTCCCAAACGAAAATTTCTAGGTCCCGCCCATGAAAATTTTGTGTCGTCTCATCAATTGAGTCATAAGCTTAGTTTCATTACAGTTAATTTGATTCGGTAAAGTTCGAAGTTTTAGTGTCGTCACCGGGTCTTATTTTTACTTTGATGAATGTACTTACTCGCATACTAATTCCGCGAGGGCAATGACCTCGCACGGCCTTGAGTATGACCTTGACCCAAATTGATCCATGCCTGGTTTTTGTTTTGTTTTCGGTGCTCCAACCGGCCACCGGCCACCGTTGGCTATGATTTCGTAGGTTATGTTATTGTTTTCGTTGTATTATCCATGAAAGAAAATTATCTTAGCTACAGCTCTAAGCTCAACGAGTCCTTAGGAGTTTTGAATGCTGTCAGACTGTCAGAAATTTTTTTGAATCAGGTAAGTTCTCTTCTAATAGTTCAGCATATTGTCTGTATTTTCCAATCAATCTATTTGACCTAAAAATGAGAACTGCCACCTCTGCGCTGCTGTCTGACCAAGTTTTTGAGATGCGATAAACACTACAAGAAAATTACGGCGTGTCATAATGGAACAACAAGGTGTGCCTTCACAAGTTCTGATAATCGAGTTGTTATCCCTGTGAAAGTTCATGTCCTGAGCTAGGAATGTAACCTTGCGATACAGGTGCTGACACCAAGAACTTAATGGAATAGCTATCGGATGACTTTTGGGAGGAGTAGTGGATTTCCTAAAGAGATTCAGCACGGGAGGAAGAGACAGCACTACAAATATCCCTGTATCCCCCCCCTGGTAAATATCCCCGTATTTCCCTTGCTGGAATACCCAATCTCCAAAGCTACTATAAACCTTTTCTGCGAACCCAGATTCCTCATCTTGTGGATAGTTACGTAACTTATTGACTTAATATCCAGTTATATGAATATGTAGGTACTTTTTAACCACCTACCATGGAAATTTTGTCATGCACTTCTCTCTTGAAATGTTATCTTATGTCACTTGGCTGGTGTAGGTTTCGCGCAAAGATTCCGGAAGTCCGGAGATTCCCAGCCTGGCGACCTGAGTATGATGGTCTCAACGAACGTTTTCCTCGGGCTGGTTGTACAGTTGTGACTAAGGGGATAGGGCTGTGACTGAAAAGGTCCAGAATTACCCCTTGTACGGTACTTGAAGTATGTAGTATTAAAAAAAAAAAAAAAAAAATTATACCTGATTGTGCTTCACACTTTTACAATTCTTTTACAGCCTGATTCTAACCATGGCCGAGGACCCTGCAGTAGAAAAACTAAGTGCTGGTCTTCTGGAATTATATCAATCTCCACTTCAGAAATTAAAAATTGAACTCGATGAACTGAAGTAAGTATCCCAACACTTTCTTGACATTTTTACATGCTAAGATAGTTATGCAAGGATCTCATCTTTAGAAGAGAAGTAAAAGGAAAAGTGGCTTAAAATTAAACAGGAGGTATTGCACACACTAATCAAACTAATCCAAGAGGAAATCGAAGGTATAAATCAGTTACAATAATTCCGTCTCTGGAAACATTTCAATTTTATTTACCTAGTTTAATCATTCAGGCAGATTTCGATTCAATTTACAGACTTGAAAAACAGTGATATCTTGTTTAGAAACTCATACATTTTTTTAAGGATCCGTGCTGAATAATGCTCAAATGCACAGTTTAGACCATGTCTGTAATTCTCCTTTTTCCCATTCCATTGCCAATATATCGTAATCTGTCTAAAAATTCCTTATCATTTTTCAGCAAGAAACAAGGAAATTTATGCAGCCAACTTCATGATGAAAGTGTCAAGTTTCATGGTTTAGATCCTGGAGAGGAGCTCAAAAAAACTGTAGGTTTTTTCCTATCTGTATATCATTAGTATCATTAGTTCTATCTTGTATGCTTCCCCCCCCCCCCCACAANTTAAAGAATAAGTTTAAAAATAATTCATGTTCAGGTCCTAGAAGCTGTTTTCAAGGATTCTATTAGAAAATTCACAAGATAGGTATTTGTGACGAAGGTAACTCAGAATAAAATTGGGCTCTTGCATATCAGTTGTATATGGGAAAGCAATCACTCAATAAAAAAATGTGTAGTGAATGATTTTACTCACCCGGACTCTGATTTTTCTTGCAAGGGAGAAATTAAAATTTTTGTAACTAGTGCTAAATAAATACGTCAATAGCTTGACTGGAAGTTAATCTCAGTAGTTTTCACTGTGGGAATGTTTCTCGATGAAATATAAATTAGGAAACACACATTGCATGCTTTAATTCGTACCTTATGTAATGATCCGTACGCTCCTCCTAGTTCAATTTTTACAATTTCTTAGACAAGGAGGGCACTTTGTTGGGGGTTGCTCTTCCTCTGAGGATGCAACTGCTACAGAACATCTCTCTGATAAGACTTTGTTACTCTGCTGAAATACATGATTGTAACTCAACTATGAATTTTTTTCTAGCCTCATCATAGTAATCACTTACGTCATTTATATTTTCAGTTTCTAATGATGAAGGTTTATCAGACAAGATTAGAAAATGTAAAGAAAGAAATGTTTTCTCTGCAAGACCGAGCAAAAAAATTGAAGGTAATTCTTGGAATATTAAAGTTTTTCTGCTATTCTATTACTAGTTACAGTTTAGACCAACGTATAATTCTAGATACCAAAAAATATTCAGTGACTTCTGTATGAAGGTTGAGCTTGCTGTGCGTTTTAGCATCTTGTGAAATTTGATAGCAATTTGTTAAAGTTACTCTGTGGGGATGAAGCCAAACAATTAATCTCCTAAAAGACTGTTACTAATTCCCAAAATACAGTTTTAACACATTCACTTTAGCGCTAGTTAATCTGACTAGCATTGATTTATTCTGTTGAGGTCAAGCAAAAGCCTGATAGAACACTCCATGTCTCTTTCATGCTACGCAGAAATGGCTATCTTTGACGCATTCGGTCAAACTATCAGTACTATAATATATCAACCTCTTCCTATAATTTTCTTCACTCATATGTTAGTGAATTTTGTAGTTAATAAAATGATGATGCAATTCTTGTGATGCTGAGGTGAAATGTACCCAAAACATTGTGATAAAAGTTAATGTCTATTTTCCACTCCTAATTTTCTTGCAGCCTAATAATAAACATTTCTTCATTTCCATACAGAAACGAGCACTAAGACTACAACAAATGAAAGAAAAAGAAGCTTTGGAACGGGAAATACGCAAAGAATCAAACCAGTTGCGAGAACAGGACTTAATTGCAAAGCCAGGAAGCTCCAGTTGACAGTCTAATCTTTCACTCATCACTTGAATGATGTTCATGCATTTGTGTTTTGTTAATATTTCTAGGCTATTATGTTAGCATATTTTTGTAATCAGGTGTATAGGGTTTTTGAAATCAAAACATTTGTTACTGTGTAACTTCTAGCAATATTATTGATGTGATATTATTGTTAAATCATTGTAAGTATTATTGCCATCTATTTCTATAAAGATCATTGAAAATTAAACTGTACAAAGGATTGAAAATACTTATTTTTTGTAAGCAAGAATACGTTTTGTTAAAATTTTTGCAAAATGATTATACTTGCCGGAAATTTCTTCTAATTTAGAATCTCTTATTCCTTTGTTGAAACAGTAATACCTTGGAATCTTGAGGAGATAGAGGAAAGCAAGAATTGAAGAACCAGCTGAGAACATTTTAAAAATAAAAGCTTCCAAAACAGAGGAAACTTAATCTTTAATAACTTTTCCCCAAAAATCAAGTTTTTCATGTTAATGAAATTCTTTAAATAAAGAACAATGTTACCTTAAATCGTTGACCAGTACCAATCAGTATTTGAATTCAAAAGAGATTTAGAATTTTCCCTGATAGATGTTGACAAATTCTGATGTTAATCACTCAGTTGTGTATGTAGGCATTGTTTGAGGGCTGTTTGAGGAACAAGCAAAGGACAAGACCGAGTTCAGTTAAGATGTCTTGATAGGACTGTCCTGCTGGTGCCGCTACAACAGTGTCTCAGCGGCTGGGCTCACAGTGTTGCGAGCTATGGCTACTATTAATAGGCACTTTGATGCGTAAAAAATCCCAAAAATTGACTGACCGTGAATCGTAAGTGGAGGAGAAAAAGGAAAATATAAATCACTACCTCGTCTAAAGCTACAGCTGTAGCCTGAACAAGTACATACCAGGGTTTCATTTCAGAGTTCTGCTGAGCCTACAGCCGTCATTCTTGTCATAAGAAAGGAGAACATTAGTGCGGGAGGTCAATGTCATTTTGGTGTCCTTCTTCAAAATGGACTCATTTTTTAAAATCGACAGGACCTCTCTTCCTGATCTCAAAACCCGTTGTCCCCAAGTACCACAGACCACAGGTTGCAATAGCAATTGCATAGGGAAAATATTGCAATTCCACTGAGTGTTGTGTATGTTGCCTAGCTCCTATTTGAAGGGGCCCCATTTATTGAAACTTTTTGCAGTAAAATTGAAATACAAATGAGATGCAATTTTTCATTGCATTGCATATTGCCTATCTTTCTGACACATGAAGCTCATTTTGTTGATTGTTTAAAATCGGCATAAATTGACTAAATGATGTGAACATATTGCAATTTAATGGTAATAAAATAACAATTTTATTGAAATCAAATTGCTAGGTAATTTATTTTCAATATTTTCGTTGCCCTGTGCTACTTGGGGGTCTAACCGAAGCTGGGGCATTTTACCGCAGCAAATATTTAAAATAGGCTGTATACTGCAAACAAAATGTCTCATTTTAAAAGTAGCGCATGAAGTCTTACCAAGATATACTTCCTGAACCCAGAAATATGTTAAAAACAGGCGCCAAGGAACGATCTACCTACTGGAAATACTCGCAACATTTCGGGTTGCATTAGCTGATCGCCGGCGTACAGTGGATCTGGCCAATTAGAGAGGCCGGACCTACAATTTTAGAATAAAATTGAAAATTTTGTTGTTTATCTTGTCATATTTTAAATTTTAAGGGGTGTTTTCAGAAGAAAATTTTACAAGGAAACCAATAAAACCACTTTTAGAACCTCAAAGTTTTGTTTAAACGGAGTTATGGGCGTTTGAAGTTTCCAAATTTTGTCCGACCTCTCCCATCAACTCGATCAACTGTGCGGCGCCGGATTGCGAGCGAAATTCAGGCACAGCGTCCAGTAGGTAAACATGTTCCGAATCGGAAGTATTCTGCATTTCTGGGTAGGTATATCAGCTTATCGTCGGAAACACTGCTATGCTAAATATTTCCGCTGAACGTACGCTTAACAGTTAACACTGTGAAAACTATCGTGCGCAAACAGAAAGTTACAGACGATCAGCTAATGTAACCGGAAATGAGAGGCTTGGAGGACAAGGCGCATAACTAGTTTGAAAGTCTATCCTGTGGAAAATTCACGAGTAAAATCCAACTTTAAAGCATCAAAAAGTGAGTTTAAACCACAAGACTCCAAGTTTGAAACGTTAAACACGTAGGTACATATTTCTCGAAATAGCAAAAATTGCACTTTAGCGCCTTGTCCTCCAACCCCCTCAAATGATGAATATTTCCGCTGAATATTCAATTGACGCTGTAACTTTTGCGCGCAATGAGTGTTTCCAGCGATCGCTGTTTTAACCAGAAGTGTTGAGTATTTCTGACATGTATTTCCCTTTTCGCTACTTTTTTAGGACAACGTTTTTTGGGGATCAGAAGGTATACTATTTACATTCGAGAAACTCTGTCTGCCTCAATTCGAAATGAGACATGTTTTCGTCATTATCGTCACGCCTTTCAAGCCTTACTGCAGCAAAACACCCCAACTCCTGTCGGGCCGAGAGCGGATTTTTAAGGTCAGGAAAAAAAGTTAGTACTCTACAAAAAATGTCGTCGGCTTCATTATTGAGATGAAGACATTTTCACCAGCGCCACTCCAGAACGCCTCATCTAGCTCCGGTTAGACCGATAGCTGCATTGAGATCAGGAGTAAATCCTGCCAATCGTAAAAAATTCATCCATTCTAAAGAGGAGCACCAAAATTACAGCGACCTCCTGGATTAGAAATGATCCAAATACAAACGATGTGCAATCAAAGAAAAAAACAACAATGGACCACTAGACAAGGTACAAATTTAAGAAATCTGATACACGTTTCTTAACAAGAATTTCACATGGATTACGATTTGCGCAACGAAAATTACTAAAACCAACTGCCTAACGAAGATATTAACGTTTTTATTTCATCGATTGAACACTGGGGAGAAATTCGTAAGCGCCGCCGCCCGCGGCGCACTATGGTCCAAAACTAAAGAATAGAAAGAAATAAGTCGGATAATATGACTGAAAGATCATATAAGTTTCGTAACTGATGTTTCTTGAGTCGCTAATTTCGAATTTGATGTCAAATTGCCTACATTTTAACACCCTGACCTATTAATTGTGGGCAAGTTTACGGCACGCTGCGGCGCGGCGCGGTGTGCTGCCAGCTCGTAACGCGCACTGACGCCTACAAACCTAAGGGGATACCTCACGTATTGCGCAATGCGTGAAGTATCTCCTTAGGTTTGTAGGCGTCAGTGCGCGTTCCGCGCTGGCAGCACGCCGCGGCTCTCCCGGCGGGCGGGTGGGGAACGATTTCGTGCGGGGAGAAACTCGTGTATCGTGTAAATGGTTTTTTTTCTTTCTTTCTTAGTTTTTCTTTAAATTTTCGACTTTTAAAATTACATGCTGGTCGTGTTAAGTAATTAGTGAACTCGCAACGCTAGATGAAGTGTAGTAATAGAAGGCGGGCTGTGCGCCATGCGGGTTGCGGAATACGAAGGGGGGGGGGGGCTCATAAAATTCTCTTTGCTCTGTCGTTTATTTCACACTGGTCACGAGGAATTTGAACTGCCTGCTCACAAGAAACTCGAAGCTCTACGTGAGTCAAATCGCGCACCACTACGGTTTCAGCAATCGAGCAATCGAGCAATGTACATTCCCCACCATGTGTGGTTCAAACTATGAGCAATTTGCTGTAGCTGAGCCAAAGCGTCAAGATTGAGGTTGCCAGATTATTATATCTCAGAGACTATCACGATAACGTTTAGCGCGCGATGTGAATCACGTGGAGCATTGAGTTCTCATGAGCGGGTGGTTTGAATTCATGCGTCAAGAACCATTAAATATCTTCGTAAGGAATTGAATTAGGTAATTTTCGTTGTCCGCATCGTGCTTTACGTTAAATTTTGGTTCAGGCTCATGCATCAGAATGCTGAAATTCGTACCTTGTCTAGTGGTCCAACGGCAGTCCATGACCGTTAGTCCACAAACATTGCGACTGACAGATCAAAAAAACGTGAGAACCTATACCTAAAATATCTCCATCTTCGTCGATTTTGAGTCAGTCGCTTAGATTTATACTGAAGGATACATTTTATCTGCCTTTGTGAGATTATGACCGATGAAAAGCTGAGAAATTGCTTAAGAATGACGGAAAAATGTATCTCCCGTTTAGCTCGAAAAACACGTGGGTATATCCGAACCTGCTCTTCTTTTGCGCCTTCATTTTTCGGCCTATGCAACTATTCGTACGTCTAGGAGGGCCTTCTCAGCGCAAAGCTGAACTGAACAGCTATCAGCTCATCAACTATTTTTTTTGTTTGTTCAATTTTGTTGACACAACTCGGGCGTCTTATGTAATTTGAGACATTTCAGTGTTTTCCTTTTAAAATTACGTTGTTATTTTGTGGAANATTGCAATTTAATTTCAATATTTTCGTTGCCCTGTGCTACTTGGGGGTCTAACCGAAGCTGGGGCATTTTTCCATAGCAATATTTAAAATAGGCTGTACCTATGCTGCAAACAAAATGTCTCATTTTAAAAATAGCGCATGAAGTCTTACCAAGATATACTTCCTGAACCCATAAATATGTTAAAAACAGGCGCCAAGGAACGATCTACCTACTGGAAACACTCGCAACATTTCGGGTTGCATTAGCTGATCGCCGGCTCGTTCCGAATCGGAAGTATTCCGCATTTCCGGTTAGGTATATCAGCTTATCGTCGGAAACACTGCTATGCTAAATATTTCCGCTGAATGTACGCTTAACAGTTAACACTGTGAAAACTATCGTGCGCAAACAGAAAGTTACCGACGATCAGCTAATGTAACCGGAAATGAGAGACTTGGAGGACAAGGCGCATAACTGGTTTGAAAGTCTATTCTGTGGAAAATTCACGACGAGTAAAATCCTACTTAAAAGCATCAAAAAGTGAGTTTAAACTTCCTTTCCGCCATAAGACTCCATGTAAGTTTGAAACGTTAAACACGTATTTCTCGAAATAGCAAAAACTGCACTTATGCGCCTTGTCCTCCAAACCCCTCAAATGATGAATATTTCCGCTGAATATTAGGTATCACTTGACGCTGTAGCTTTTGCGCGCAATGAGTGTTTCCAGCGATCAGCTGTTTTAACCAGAAGTGTTGAGAATTTCTGACATATATTCCCTTTTCGCTACTTTTTTAGGACAACGCTTTTCGGGATCAGAAGGTGCTATTTACATTCGAGAAACTCTGTCTGCCTCAATACGAAATAAGACATGTTTTCGGCATTATCGCCACACCTTTCAAGCCTTACTGCAGCAGAGCGCCCTAACTCCTGTTCGGCCGAGAGCGGATTTTTAAGGTCAGGAAGAAAAGTTAGCACTCTACAAAAAATGTCGTCGGCTTCATAATTATTGAGATGAAAGACATTTTCACCAGCGCCACTCCAGAACGCCTTATCTAGCTCCGGTTAGGCCGATATAGGTGTACTGAGATCAGGAGGAAAT